TAATTTCTTGACATTTCAGCGAATGAAACTGGCAAACACGTGAAAAGATTACATCGAGCCTAATAACTTGCACACCTCTGTATTTTCATCTATACAAGTGTGATTCGTAATACGCCCCCGACACTTCGCATAAAATTTATCTACATAATTACAATTACGCTCGATAAAATAAGCAAACGCTGAAACACGATTCAATCGATTAATCACATTTACGTTACACTTAGACCGTGGATGCTTATGCAATATTCTGTTCTATTGCAAATACATCTGTAAAAAAAAAAAGAAGAAACGGATAGTTAAACAAGAGATTCGTGACTTTTATTTAGGAGTTTTGGAAGAAATACGAAGTAAAATATATATGTATATACGTGTTACAAAAATTTCATTAACCCACGAGGTCCAGTGGCCGGGTCACTGGCGACCCATCGATGAACACAATCGCCGAATTGTTTCATGCAAACTGAAAAAAAAACCGTGTATCGTCCTTACATCTATGTGTGAGATCTTGTCACGGGTCACGATTGACCCAGCCACCGTCCATCCCCCCCGTGGGATTAACTTGTACGGCATAAAATCCACAGTCTAACGATAAAGCAAAAAAAAAACGGTCGCAGCCATAGGTCTAAAAAACACGGAAATGCGTTTTAATTCAGATCACGCGTATTCACTTTGAACACCATTTTTTTTCTGGGCCACACTTTCCGATAAATATTGTACGTATATGAACAAAACGATTAGCGTCTGTCATCTAAAAATGTGATCCATCGATTTATTTCTTTATCCACTTCGATTATTAAACATTCGTCCCCTTTAATTCTTTATGGCGTAAGAATACTTTGAATTAAAATAACGCATCCTGTTACGCATCGACATCTTTCGTGGTGAACCTCGGAACCACCGATCCCTTGCGATCCATTGTGGACGATCGACAATTCTCCTATTTCTCGAAAATCAGTATCATACGAGAAGAAAAACAAAGAAAATAAACGATCGAAATGTGGATCACAAAGGGTAGAGATGTACGGAGTTCCACGGTATATTGCACACGAGTTTTTCTATGTACAGTAAATCGATGAGTGTTCGAATGCTCCTCGTGCACTGAGTGTTCAGATGTCATCCCCGCCACTGGGGAGGGGAGTTCCCGTGGAACTAGTCAAACTCTTAATGGTGGGGATGATGTTTGAACACTCTCAGTGCCAAGGAGCCTTCGAACACTCATCGATGATTTACTATCAATATTATGTTACACATTGATGAGTACGTTAAGCCTTTACCGTCGATGATTCAATCTGTACAAATACGTAAGGTACCGCCCAGAAGCATCAGGACACCTAGTCGGTATCGCAAATCACAATATGATCTTTCGTAAAAATTGTATTAATCAATCATTATGACTGCTTTGGTAATTCTCTAGTGTTAATATCCCATAAACAATTTTGGTAATTCCTTGTTAACGTTCACCACATATTCGATAAGTGTCCTGATACTTATAAGGGGGTGTGTATGTGATTCACTTGCACTCGCCTCTCTGCCTCTCTTCGCCACACAAATAAATCGATAAACGCAACCACCGCATTCTTCGATATTCGCGCGCTGACTTGCCCTCTATTGTCGAGTTTTAACACGTTGACTACCAGCATCGACGCTCGCGAAATTAATAAGTTTCTCGGGATTCATTGATTTACATATTTTTATCATCGTGGGGTAATAGTTGAATTCACGACCAATTCAATGACCTATAGTAGTGTGACCTTCGTTTGACCTTGAGTATGAAAAATCCACAAATTCATGAAAGTAGATTTAAATAATAAAGCAACTACGATATTGAGCTTCGTGTAGAAATGGATTTGTTAAAATAACTTTTTTGAAAATAAAAAGTGAGATTATACTTAAGGTGCTCGTGTTAGGTGCGACACACTGTATGTATCGATTCTGTAATTTTTATTATATCCTAACACAGTAATGAGTCACTGTACCGTGAAACATGAACTCTGATCCCATACTTTTGGTCGATAGTGTAAACATACAGGGCGTTTCATAACATGTGGGATCCCATTCAGAGATGAATAGAGGATACAAAAACAATGAAGGATTTCAGATACTTTGACCCGATCCACCGAGTAATGGCCACTTATAAATGAAAAGCTTGTCGATATATTCAAAATTTTAAACGATTTTCGAGTATCGTGTACAGGTCTGCGGTCAGTCAAATCACACACGTATCGGTTCACAGTTTTATCGTTAAAAATCATCAGCATGAAAATGACCCACAACTCTAGAATAGGATTAAACAAGGTTTTACATTTTTACAGATTTCTTTTCCCATTGCTTTTGCATCCACCGTTCAACATTGCCACACATATCGAATACATTGTATACAAGCGGATTTGGGACATTTTGTACAAAATTACATAACGCTTCGCAAGATTCGAATATTGCACCCTTGTTAGATTCAAATATTCCACCCTTTTTTAATCTTCCTATTAACGTTCTCGAATCTCCACATATGTTTCAGCCGGATTTCTTTTTATTTAGCCTCTCAGAACACGAGTGAAATGGGTGGTCAATGTGTTAATCGATACATTTAATATATCAATTAAACCGTGGCCTTGATAACTCTCAATTTTTGTTAATATTAAACTCTAAATTTTTTAACATATTTTAGAAAATTATAATATTTCTAAACGGAAAAGAAAAATAGGAAAATACGATCGTTCCTGGTCCATATTAGTCACATCGGTACGACAAGAGCGGGACGAAGAACGAAAAAAAACGCAATTCCATCGGATCACTTGCAGACGGATCGACAGAATCGATAAACGTGAAAAGAAAAAAAACGAGATCTATAATCGGATTCAGTAGCCGCGTGGATCGATGATCTATAAAAAGTCGATAAATATCGACCAAAAACTAAAATAATCTCCTTTTTCGTTTTTTTTTTTTGCAAATTTATATCGTTTATGCTTTACAATCAACATTGATTCCAAATCGCGTCATTTTCGATCGTCATTAAACTCGATGATTTACATGCATTTTGAGATATTTTCATTATTATTTAATAATCGTATAGTTCGCGCGTCGGAAGTTATTTGAAACTGGAGGCGATACTTTTTTAACTAAGAGAGAAAAAACCAAACAATTTTTAAAAACAATCTCCGATTGAATATCGTTGTCTATATATGAAAATCACTAAAACGAAAGAACTACGGATCCACTGAAATCGTATGGTCAAATCATCGAAGAACAGTTAGTCGTTTTCGATTCGTCCATGTCGCATATAGGAGAAATACAAAACAAACGGGTTCGAAAAACCGATATAGATAGAAAAAAAAAAAGAAAATTATACAGCGTAGATCGAGTCGGGATGATCACGGTCTGCCGATCGAGTGCTGGCAAGGTCCTCTGGTAGATCGCAATATTTTATTAAACAATCAATTGATTTCCAAGCATCGATCTAGCTACACTAAATATCATGTGCGCGTATCATTACCGATATCTACGCAATCGACAAACAATTCGTTCGCTTGGCCGTCAATGTTCGCGAAAAAAAACAATCAAATCCCGCTCGAAACAAAATGGACGCCGCCCAGAAATCATTTAAACAATTATTGACGGATCGTCGTTAAAATCGGCTAGGCTACACGAGCCTCGATGGTATTAAATCGGAAATGCAAGAAAGAAAATAATCCTCGATTCACGATTCTTCTATTCCTCGGATACATTTAAAAAAAATAAGACGACAACAGGGAAAGAAAGTGGCAATAAAAGATGCACACGATGTCTTCCGGGATATCCTAGAAAGAAAAGAAACATTTCGAGTCTCGATCGAATGCGCAACAATGCAGTATATGTAAATGCTATATACATAATGTCATTTTACACCTCCTGTTCGCGCGGACACAGAAAAAAGAAAACAATTATTCGCGGGTGTACAAAACGAGGAAACGATCGAACGATACGGCCGAGCGAGGCGAATCATTAGGCGACGTAGCGACCAGTCCGCCATGTTTGTTCTTCCTCACGCTCGTGCTTCCTCCCTCGCAACGGAACACGGGAGCCGACAAAAAAAGAAAAGGAAAAAATACAAATGGCCACACACACCCACACATACATATATATAGTCTATTAACTCTTCGTCGCCCGACAAGGCGTTTCTTCTTTTTTTGTTTCGCGCGAAATAATATTATTTCCCGTTCCCATGGGCGAGAAAACGAACATACGTATATAAAAACAGGGGAAATGTACGAACTGGACCAGAACATAAACATTGCATTTTTATTAATACAGTTTTTTCTTTCTTGAAGGTTCATTGACACGCCTGTTTATAATCCACGAACTGGGGTAGGGGGGAGGGGATGGGGGACACGATCGTTTTCGCGAAAACAGGCAATCGGCGTTCGTATATGCAAAGAGAGGCAAGTTGCGTACATAGAAACGAGCGACCCGTGGAGACGAGTCTTCTGACAAACCTTGTCCCCGCCATCTTTGCTTTTCCATTCTACGAACCCCCTCCCCCCGCCCCATTCTTTTTCTACACGTGTTATATACCTTCATCCAGGGGTGGGGGGGAGGGGACACGATGGGAGTTAGCAACGGTCAAGGACGAACGGATCCACGGGTCGCGGGCCCCATCCGATGATAAATATATATATATTTTCTCGCTTGTGTGTGTATAGTAGGTACTCCGTGTAGAGAAACGCATTTACAGAACAGAAGTTTCATTTTGCCGTTACAATACGATTCTAGGTGGATAAATACGGACGATTTTCCATTACCGAAGCGACACGGCCCGCGACCCCGAACGGGGGATCGGCTCTCTATCTCGAGAATCGTTCCACGGGGAGCCGCTTCGATAATACAATATCTAGATCATTAACGAAAAAAAAAAAAAAAAAATATTATTAACGGGTGTGTACACATGGGAAATTGGAGTCTCTTCCTCTTCCGTGTTCTGTGTGATATACGCGTGTACATCCTCCTCCTTTTTTTCTTCTTTACATCTATATATTTATATAGTTTATGTATATATGTATATAGGCGAATCAATCGCACAGAAAGCGAGGGGTGGGGGGAGTATCTTCCCGTACGCCGAAGACACGAAGGTGTCTTCGATGGAAGATCTCGGGGCCACGGTCCCAGGGGGGCGGGGCATGGGGGGGAATCTGGCTTCCTCCGAAGGGTTAAAGAGACGGGGTGGCTCGCGGGACCAAAACTTTTTGATTGTCCCGAGTTTTATTTTCGACGGTTCGCAAAACCAACGGGTGTATGTACACAAATATCAAAAAACGGTCGCGTTAAAAGCGGGTGCAGATCTCGTCTTTCTTTTCTATTGTTTTTAATTTTTGACACAGATTCACACGTGGGCTCTGCTCTACCAATTGTTGCCCCGTCCCCGACCCCTGAACCCGTTGCCACGGAACTGGCCGCTACCGCCACCGCCACCACGTTTCATGCCCCTCGGTACGAAGGTGCCGATCGCGGGGCCACGAGGGCCTCTGTCCATCCACGGGGCCCCCCTTGGCCCGCCCCTGAAGCCTCGTCCACGCGGCGGACCGCCCCTCCACGGTGGGAACGGAACAGGTCCGGCGAGACGGGGCCGGAAATTAGGTCCTAAAGGGCCGTCGAACTCGTAGATACCAGACCCCGGATGCGTATCCAAAACGGTCGCCGCCTGGGGAATGGGTCCGTTCACGCTGGAATCGGACACGTTCGGTGTCTGCGGCCCATTCAAGAGTAGCCTCTTTTTACTGGAGTTCAGATCGTTCGGATCGTCGAAACCACCGTTCGTCGATGGTCTCTTAAGATCGTTGCTCGACTCGTTCACCAGATCTTCCAGTTGCTCCATGTGCTGCTGTTGCTGCTCGGCGAAGCTGATCATCTCCAGAGCAACGGTCTCCGGGGACTCGCCGATCTCGCAGATCTTCTCCGATATCACGGGCTCGGACTCGACGTGCTCCTCGTACTCGGATATAGGCACGTAATGACTGTGCTGGGAGTCTTTGGAGTCCGCGGCAACGGGCACAACGGTCACTTGTTGTTGGTCCTCGGGCTCCGAGGACGGGCCATCAGGCTCGTGCTCGTGAACGTGACTGGATCCGCCGGAGTATGTCGATTGATCGTGATCCCGTGAGTTGGGGGTACCGTGCGACGATCTACGATCCGGGGGATGTGACTGGGGACTCTCCTCCTGTTCCTGGTCCGGCTGGTGGTCCGTGTTCGATGGATTGTCCTTGTCGTCCGGGATACCTATCGGCATACCCTCCTCGTCGAGAATCACCACCGTGTCCGGCGGTTGGAGCAACAGAGGTCGACAGTTCGGCAGAATTTCCGGCGACGATCTCTGGTGCTGGTCCTGAGATCGTTTACGATTATTCTGAATGTTCCTTGGTTTGTTGTGATCGTCGGAGTATCGGTCCCGTCGATTCCTTGAGAAACCACGACCGCCGCCCCGTCCTCTGTCCTTTCGATGGAACGGCATGTCACGGTGCGGATGATCAGGCTGCGAATACCTGCCGCGCATCTGTGATTCGCCGAGAAACTCCTGATTCGATCTCATGTTGTGATTCTCGCGGTACTCGAAGTCCTGGGGTGGAAAGTCCGGTTGGCCACGCATCTGATGGAAATCCTGCGGGCCGAAGTCCTGTTGGTTCTGCAGAAAACTCGGTGGCGGCCGATTCTGATGGAAACCCGACTGCGACGGATGGAAGTCGGACGACGGATTGTGACGGAACTCCCCTTGGTCCTGATGAAACGATCCCTGATTCGGATGAAACTGAGGCGGCGGGGGCGGAGGCGGAGGTGGTCCGGAATGCATCATGTGCACGTCCTGCATCATTGAACCGTGCGGCCCCGGCATTTGCCCCGACGGAAGCGGGATCATACGCATGTCCATGTCCATGTGCTGTGACGGCGGTGGATTACCAACTCTCATGTCCCTGTCCTGCGACCGGACGTCTACCAATACCCTCCCCTTTGGTTTACTGTCGGTCTCGTCGTCCGACATCTCCATGTCAACACTTTCAACGATATCACCGGGTTGCATGTGTCGCCTGATTTTGCATCGTGAAGATTGTAGTTTTAAGAAATGATTTTTTTTTTGTTTATTTGATTTTTTTTTTACGCAACTGGTATAACAGTTAAATAGCGAGTCGCGAGATTCTTACCGGTAATCCTGATCGCCCGTGGACCACAAGCTACTACTATTGGGTATCGTGCTCATAGAATTGTCGTTCACGTTATGATTGGCCGGGCTGCCCGTCAAACTGATCAAGTTACGGTGATCGACATCCGCTGCTTTCATCAATCGATACGGTAATTGATTCTCCACTGTCATCGGAATTGGTATCACCCTAGAAAAGCAAAAGAACAACAGATTTAATAATGCACACGTGAGATGAATTCTGTTCACGGGGATCAAACGGGGATCGATCCTGATTCTTCACCTATGATCTACGTCCCCGGTGGTGCTTAGAAGAGAGTCTTGTGGTGGAGGATCATCGTACTCCATCTGACAGGGTTTATCCACGTGGTCTCGTTAGATGGATCCCACCTATCAGACTCTCCGTCCATCCAGGCTTTCGATTTCTCATCACACTCACCGGGCCAGGTAGGATTCATGCTATTCTTTCCTGAAGTTATAGCGAAACCCGCTATGTTACAAAGGATTAATTATTCTACAATCGAAAAAACTTCTCTGATTTCTGTTTTATGTTAGGACTTCATTACCCTTTTCCTCCCATTTGGCTGGTTCCTTGATCGTTTCGTTCGGTGGTGTCCACGTGGGAAACTTGGGTGGCAACTTGTTGTAACAGTTCTCGTCGTCGAGAAAAATCGGCGGCGGTAACGGCGGGGGTGGTAATGGATTGACTGTATTGTTATTAGTAGGAGCGTCGAAGAGCCCGGTAATGTTACTCTGACTGTTCTGACTGGAATATGGAGATGGGGTATGCGACTCGCCGGACATATTCCGAACGGGCAATGGCGTACTGTGGGATATCTGGCAATTGTTCACACCCATCATTCTTGAGATCACAGGGGTTACAGAATGCTGTCCTAATACGGGTGAATGTCTGTAATTGGAACGCTGCGGAGACCCTACTTGGGAGTCGGGAATATCTAATCCCAGACCTGGGATTCCACCAGGGTCTTGTGTTCCGTCAGAAGAAGGAAGAACAGTTTTTAAGAAGCTAGAAATATTAAAGTCTGCGCTAGTACTTTCATTCTTGGAGGGCCTCATGCTGATTACTTCTATTGGTTTAGCCTGAAGAAAATATACATGATGTTTATAATCTTTTAGTAAGTAATAGATATTTTATCTCGATTAGACGTACCTCTAAAGAATCGTTATACTGTTGTGACATTCCAGTAGGCGTCGATGACCTCTCGTTAAATATATTCCTCTGCAAAAGCAATAAATATGTAGTGGTCATAATGCAACACGGTAAAATCGATAAACTTTTTTTCCCGCACATTTCTTACCATATTACCAAAATCCATATTTCCTCCTATAAAGGACGAAAAGTTATTGGTAAAGTCACCAGAATCGTTGCCCTGACCCATTTCAGGAGCTGGAACAGGCACAGGATCATAATCATGCGAGTATGATCCGTACATAGATGGTGGAGCTACATCGATCATTCCCAATTGATGCTGAGGTTGGTTTTCATCTCCAGGAAGGTCTATATCGCTATCAGGACTTGGAGATGGAGCATTGATGTCCGGTGATGGAATTGGAGACACTAATGTTGGTAAAAGTTCGTCCAATTTTTTCTTTAAATTTTTCACACGACTTCCGAAATTCCTGTATGCCTGTTTACAAAGTGTTGTACATTAAAGAATATCGATAAATCTAAAAACACCGGTATTCACTGTTTTTCACACTTACATTAGTAACTATTTTAACTTCACCCCTCTGAGTCTCATAAAACTGATCTGCTTGTTCTAATAACTCAAGAACTTGTGTCCTTTCCCTAATTTCTGCTTCCAATGCACGAACATAATTTTCAACATTTACCACCGCTGAATCCACTTCTTTCTCTGCATCCTCAACCCTCCTTCTATCTTTAAGAGAAGCGCACAATTCTTCTGCATTTTCAACATCTACATTACTTTCCCTCAAGTCTCGTAATCTAGCATCTGTTGCTTGTTCCAATGTAGCACATGATCTCATAGTAGAAATAAGTAGAGCAGCTTGAAACTCTTCCGGAGCTGCTGACTGCTGAGGCTCCAATTTCTTTTTCGGAGCAGCTGAAATTAACCCGGACAAATCTGCCAGAAACTCTTCATCGTACACTTGTCTCTGATCCCAGATCTTAAATATCCTTAATATACGGTGCTTCACTTTCTCGTCCCTGACCATAGTTGTCGCGCGTTGCAGAGTCGTCCCCCACGACTCCACAAACTCAAAATTCTTTCTCTTGGAATATTGAATAACATCATTCGCCAGGTAAAAGAGTGTCAGCCGATGTTCAACTTTTACTGTCATTCAAAAAAACATTGCATTGCCACAGATCATATTAAAATAATAAAACAAGAATATACACTATAAAAGAATGAAGAATAAAGACTTGCAAACAGACCGATTTCAAAGATACATCACTTATGAGTACTCATTGTTAATGAAATTGATTATAGAATTAAGATCTTCAATGAAGATATTAAGAACAACTCAAAGGATGAAAATTAATGACTCTAAGAAAAGGCTTTTCAGTCACGATACAGACTTCAAATAAATTTCATTCCCCATTGAGCAACATCAAACGTACCTTTTTTTAAGACTTGCAACCAAGTAGCAACAATCTTTTTATGGTGTTGTCGCCTCTCCAGACACCAGGCCGAGAGACTCTGTATAGACTCCTGGGAATCCTTCAGAGTGTGAAGTCTTCGCTCAAAGAGGTCCACATCAAAGTCACTGTTCGCCATTATGAGTTTTGACAATGCATTTAACAGACTGATTACGAGCTCGATCCGATATCACGTTTTAACGTGAACCACCGAGAGGAACACGTGGAGCGTTGTTCAGGTATCATAGGTACAACGTCTACCTAGTCAATCAACCTAACCAAGCAACTATTGCTGATGCGTCAGTCATTGGGATATTTAACATCGTAAACGTTCACCGGGGTCAGATCATTTTACTCGTAAACGACGACACAGTTCCCCCGGCTTCTCGGATAGTGTTTCGCACAGAAAACAACAGAAATCTTTGAAAACCACTCGAATCGGAGTCCGTAGAATCAGCACGCTGAAGACACCGCTTTCGCGTCACTCGCGACGCTCGAAGAAACTTCCTCGTTCCGGCAGGTAAATATCCGTCGTAACGATACTCTCGTGCACTCAACGATATCACGCGTGGAACATGTCAACTTTCTCAGTGCATCTCAAAACTATCGTATTCCCGTGCAACCAATCTTGAAAACAAGAGTCCGCCATCTTTTCGGAACCAAAACACGAGCGCGCAATGGCCGGCGCGATTTTCTAGTATATACAGGGTGGTCCAGAACCAACGGACAATTGCACAGGGGGTGAAATGGTGATCGAGAACGGACGTAAAATAAAAGTAGTAACAAGTATTCATTGGCAGATATAAGATGTCAAAGTATTCGCTGGAGAATTTGATTCTATTTTAAAATATACGACTGTATATATAAAGACAGTGGGAACGGTGGATCAATTATCAAAGTATCGATACACGTTTGAATATTGAACAGCATTCATTGTTATGTACGAGGGCTATACAACATCAAAATTTTTAAAGATACAAAATATATATTGCATTTCACGATCGACGAAATGTATTGGCTGACAAGGAAAGTCTATAATTGGAATGGAACGTTTCTATTATGAAACCTAGTCTAAAATGCAGAGCCTGGTGTGTATAAACAAAGCCCTGATTACTAACTGTTAACGCCGCGTCGTTGTTATAAAAAAATTACTTTAAGGATTAACCACTTTAAGGTATTTGTTTACTTCCGCTTGAAAAAGGTGTTCTCATCTCTGTTGACAATCTGGTGCGGTTGAGTTTTAGTTATTTTCCTACTCTATTCCATTTAATACACTTAAAAGCACACGTAATTAGTATCATTTACTTACTGAAATACTAAATGACGTGAGAAATAAAATAATAAACGGTTCTTATTATTATCAAGATTTGAACCCGGACCTTCCGGTCGGACAGTCCAAGAAATTACCTCTTCTAGCAACAAAGTTCAGAATATTCCCTTCCAATGAAGGTAAGTGTGTATCTTAATTAAAATGTTTAATGTAAAGTGATTTTTCATAACAATGGTGAAACATCCCAGATAGCAATTATTATGTGAGGACATCGTTTATATACATCATACCCTACATTTTATACGAAGTTTCGTATAAAGAAGTGCTTGTCCTAATCGTACATTTCCTTTATTAGACAACTCTAACCAGGTAGACAGTACTATTGGCAAATCAAGTGTGGTGGACGATCAAGTGAGAGAAAGACCAGGAAAAACGAGGGAAAGCCTACTCGCTGTGCCTTGGTATTCGGATCTTCCACAGAACAGCACACTTTATGGAAATCAACAAAATGCTACACTCGCGACATCTTCAGTAGAAAGTTCACGAATAATTTGACGTAACAATGTTTTTCCTGTTGAGTCCGTGATCTCCCGTTTGTTCGCGCTCGATAGTCGAATGTGGTGGAACGCGGATGTAAAGTAGCTTTGTCATCACCACTGATTTTATTTACTGTCGTTCCCTGATTAGATATTCCCGTTAAAGATTAAAGGTCAGTTTTATTTGCGATATTTATTAACAAGACGGCGGACACGTCAGTTCAAGTAGAGGCACGGCTGCGTAAGCATTAAGTTCAAGCTCCTTGTGTGTTCCATCCCAAGATCGTTTCAAGATGTTAAAGAAGATGAAGGTCTACGTTATTGGTGTCGGCATGACGAAATTCGAAAAACCAGGGAAACGCGATGATTTCGATTATCCGGACATGGCAAAGGAAGCAGTGACCAAGGCACTACAGGACGCACAGATTTCTTACGATTCGATAAAAGCTGCCTGCGTCGGATACGTTTATGGCGACTCCACCTGTGGTCAAAGGGCACTGTATGAAGTGGGAATCACCGGCTGTCCCGTGTACAATGTAAATAACAACTGTTCTACCGGATCAACGGCTCTATTGATGGCTAAACAAATAATAGAAAGTGGTAATACCGATTGTGCTTTGGCTCTTGGGTTTGAGAAAATGGAAAGGGGCTCTTTAATGTCCAAATTCATGGACCGTACTAATCCTATGGATAAACACGTAGAAATTATGGCCGATATTGCTGGTAAGGGAACAAAAATATATTTAAATTTATGCTCTTTAAGTTTAGTTTCTACATTTTTCTTCTTTTTTAACATTAACCACAGGCATAAATGAAAGTCCAGTCACTGCACAGCTATTTGGAAATGCTGGACTAGAACACATGAAGAAGTATGGCACAAAACCAGAGCATTTCGGAAAGATTGCTTACAAAAATCATTTACATTCCATGAACAATCCATACTCTCAGTTCCAAGATAAATACACCTTGGAACAAATAATGAATTCCCAGAAAGTATTTGGACCGCTCACTAAGCTTCAGTGTTGCCCAACATCCGATGGTTCGGCAGCTGTGGTTTTAGCCAATGAGGACTTTGTTCGCAAGCATAAACTTGAATTTCAAGCAGTAGAAATAGTAGCAATGGAAATGTCTACAGACTTGCCTTCAACGTTCAAAGAAAAGAGTTCCATCAAGCTTATTGGGTATGAAAAGAAACATTTCCATAAAGCTCGAGTTAATTTGTAAGAACAGCTGTAAATAGTAGTTTTATGTTTCATTTTGTAGATATGATATGACAAAGAATGCGGCCGAAAAAGTATTTACACAGAGTCCTTATAAGCCAACTGATGTGGACGTGGTAGAATTACACGATTGCTTCTCAACTAACGAGCTAATCACCTACGAAGCACTAGGTCTCTGTGCACCCGGTCAAGGTGGCAAACTGGTCGATGCTGGGGACAATACTTATGGTGGGAAATATGTAGTAAATCCTAGCGGAGGTTTAATCTCAAAGGGACATCCTTTGGGGGCAACTGGATTGGCGCAGTGTGCTGAGCTCTGTTGGCAGCTTCGTGGTCAAGCTGGCAAAAGACAAGTGGCCAAAGCGAAACTTGCCCTCCAACACAATATAGGCTTGGGTGGAGCTGTTGTGGTTGCTCTCTACAAATTAGGTTTCCCCGAGCAACAGCAACAACAACAACAAAAACAGCAAAAACAGCAAGGTGCAACGAAACCCAATCTAAGTGGGCATCCTGATCCAACTGGCTTCAAAGCGGATGCATTGTTCAAAATATTAGAGGTTGCGATGCAAGAGGACGAAGATGGTCTGATTGAAAAAGTTCGCGGAATATACGGGTTCAAAGTAACAAGCGGACCGGGTGGCGCTGAGGGGTTCTGGATCGTGGACGCTAAAACGGGAAAAGGAAAGGTTGAATATCAAGGGAAAGACAAACCGGATGTTACGATCACCATTAACGACACCGACATCGTTGACTTCATATCTGGAAAACTGAACCCGCAGAAGGCCTTTTTCCAAGGAAAAATTAAGATTCAAGGCAATATGGGAATGGCAATGAAACTGATCGATTTACAGAAAAAGGCTGCGAAAAAAATTGAACTACTCCGTGCAAGATTGTAGGGTGTGGAAATCTGGAAATTCACGTTCTAAAGATTCTTTCGTACGTTATCGAAATTGATGTAAATATGATACCGATAAACGCTTAAATTTGAAAGATTCGGGAGAAAAACATTACGTAACCGTGCAATCGATACTGATTACGAACGAATTGCACACTCATCTATATACCTGAAACCATAATTGTATTTACTCTCATTCCTGTTACGTAAACATAAACCTTTTGAGCAAAAAAAATCAGAATGTTTACGAGTTATTATACAGTTAATGTGTCGATAGGAAATTTTATTTTTCTAAACAATGTTAATATCGCCTAAGAAATTGTTCAATGATAAAAGAATAGCTGTACGACTTAATTACATTTTACAGTCTATGCATTTCGTGAATTAATTTACATTAAATACCAGATCAGTTTTTAATGAATTCTTAAATGAATTTTCTGTATATTTTAAGCCAAATTGGCTACCTTTTTTTTTGTTCTTTATTAATGAGAAAATAGTTATTATGGATCCATGGAATTATATACTACTGTTATATTGTGCATAGTATAAGTATATTGTTATTCTCTTTTCATTAACTAATATCTGTCATAAAATGATGGAAATGTATTACTATTTGCTCATTTTGTTATATGCATTTCAACAATACTCTAAGAATTTAACGAAATCTAAAAAAATGTTTATTATTATATTGAAATTGTAATAAAATTTTTTTACAACTTGCTTTTGTAGTAAATATTTACAATTATTATCGTTGAATTGTAAATGTAATAATTCTAAGCAGGGTGCAACATATGTTATACACAATTTTTTATAAGAATGGTGTAGGTTTTTATACTTATTACCATAATGTTTTTATTGACAAATAAATGATATATAAATTTTAAACAAATTCTAGTTTTACTGTAGAGTAAGCATCATTACCATTTCTTGTTTATTCAAATTTTATTAATGGTAGCAATTACCTATTATTATTATCATTTCAGTTAAAAATAATGACAGTTGTTTGTATCATATTTGTGAAAACTGGTTTAAGATCAAAAAACGGTGTTTCTGACGTAAGTACAGTCAAGAAACAAATTAAAAGGATGAAAAGTACATAAGTATTCACTGCTATCAGCAAAGTACCTAGTATGAGTAATGTAAACGATTGATATTCAAATTTATATCGGAAACGTTTCTGTTTCATTTGCGAATGTAATCATTAATCATTTAACCTGTACTATGTATTTGGTATGGAGGTTAATGTTCGTAAATTTATCAGTGCAAGGTAAATGTGAAAGTCACGTACATCGGACCATCATTGTAGCCGTTTCTGAATAAATCATTCGAAATTCATTGATATGGGTATCAAACTAACAAATAGCATTTTTTAGTTCTTCAATTTATAATAGTATCAACATCGTAACGTAAAAACAAAGTAATACGCGTTAAAGTGTTAAAATTAACCCAAAAACACCGTACCCAATTTTCGGAAAATAATTTCAAAACAATAACTACTTGTAGAAACAATACAAAGATGACATTATTACAAACTGAAATTAACAGTGGATACCATGAATCACCTCCAAAGAAAAATCTTTTCCAGAATTTTTACCGGTCCATGGACATACCTCCGTGTCAATGTGTGGATCAGTACAGCTACGTAAAGGGACCCATACAACAGATTGAAACTTGGAGCGTGTACTGGGTTAAATACAATTCTCGAATTCACTGAATTACAATGCAGAATCGTAAAAAATGATTCTTTCGAGTAGTTTATCCTACGTTTCACCTGTATTCCATCCGTTAATCCTTGCAATAATGATGGTTTCAGCAATCAGACAGTAGACTCAGACCCCAATTCCAAGGTCTTCGAATGGGAAACCCTTATTCTAAACAACTTTCGTAAACTCGATCTAAACAGACCCATTCATCAAGGATCAAGTGTATACAGCCTTGTACCTGATTGGGCCTGATTACACCAACGATTGTCAAAACTCGAGTAACTAATTCGCGACAACCCAATGCCCATCTCGAGAACGCAATAGCTCCGACGACATTCGAGATTCCCATAATTGCCGGTAATAAAGTTATCCACCGAAAAAAAAGAAAAAAAACCGGTCAATGTGTAATAAAGCATGCCTGAAACTGGACTCGACGATAATTCATCGAACCGACGGCAGTTTCTGGCACTGGTCTGTCTGCCGTCGCGTAGATGTTCTCTAGGATCATCCTAAAGGCCCCCGCGTGCTCCTCGTACGTGTACGCGGGCACTCACAAGAAACCGTACTATATTTATAGCTAGAGATAAATATACACCTTGGCGAGCCTCCAAATTACCACACGTACGGACTCACCGAGTTCGAGTAACGGCGTAACCCCTGTAATAGCAGCCATCGTGTCAGTGCTATTAGTGACGTCTATCGACGTTGCAACTTTCGCGGGCAATCGGGGAGTGTAGTAGCAAGTGCGAAAAAATAAAGAGTGTGAGAGAGGCATACAGAGAAGAGGAAGTGACCGGGACAGTGTGTAGGAGAAACATCGAAAACATGTAAACGCAGTCTACCGGACCCTTGCGAGTTATCGATAGAAGAAAGCTACGAACTGGGAAGTCCCCGCGCGCGGACTGTGATCGATTGTCGTTCTCTGGTCGATTGTTCGTCTGCTTAAACGTGTACAACGATACATTTAATATGAGATCGCCAGGATCACCTTGTTTCCCCGGTATGGAAGATGAGCTCGTGAACGACGTGTTCGACCGTTCTTAACGACGGTTCACGGATAAATTTAATCGTGACCGCTTGCTGCATTTGGGTTAACATCGATCGAAAGTAAGTACACACGCTGGTCGATACGTAATTGCGTAATTACTGACCGGGATCCAGAGTGCTCGTTGCGTGCACTCTATTTTTCCGTCGGTCCAACGATTTCGCGAATCGATAATCGACCTCGCGCCGTCCGATAATCGACTATATAGATTTTCCTTTCGACGTGCCGCGTAGGCTAGACTCTGACACACGGAATTGGAAACCGCGATGTATTTGCAACCTTGTATTTTTGGAAGTTAGACGCGCACAGACCACGCGTGGGCTTCGAACGATTCTAGGCGGGATAATTGATATCTCGTCGTGCGGTTTGATTTATATTTCGATGCGCCGAGACGCAGGAGTAACGATAGACGGTGGTGATGCGGTGCGGACTGGCTGAAAGTTCGCGCGCTTCGACGTCGTGTTTCGAAGAAATGCTCCGTTAGGTATTCAACGGTTTCGAATGAAATCGTGCTGATATTTCTGACAATTGTAGGGGATAATACTGCGGCCAAGTGTATTAATGGACTGCATTGTAAATTGATGGAAAAACTGTGGAAATCGCTATTCCAAATTACTTACCGCTTGTTGTTCCTTAATGCCGGAATCACTACGTTAAAATTGAATCGGAATCCATCGAAATCCGAGTACTGTTACCATGCAATAAAAAAAATCTTCATCGCATAGACTCTCGAATTTCATCCGCAACATTCCAAATTCGATATTTTCTCATATTATTGATGAATATTACGAATAATAGGTTCTACAAAACGACAAACAATTGTGAACATTATAAAAAATGGTGTCTCATCGAAGAAGACGAAACAATTGATTTTCGAGTAATGTTATTGAAATCTGCAAATTCGTAAATATTAATATTTTCATAAATGTTTAAAATATATATTCTGTTTTCCGAACTGTTTCTCGAAAATATTACAAACAAATAAGTACGAAGGTGTGAAAATAATATTGGATAACGTGTCAAAATACAGAAGACGATTTAACATTAGAGACTACCCTAATGCATTATAATACGAGATCCCGTCGGTTCATTTATGCGTCGCCAAGTATTTCGTGGTTCTACAGAAAGCCAAGCTGCCCTACCCGTCTTGCGAAACGGTATTCTCTTATTAATTCAAGGTTTCGTTTCTAGGTCCTCCCGTGCCGGTTCTTCGAGACGTTTAGAGAATCGGAAAAAGGGCACGGGAATATGCCCTGCGTCGGGGATCTCACGTCGAGATTCTCGATTCACAGTGATTCGAATACCCATCCGTGCCGTTTATGGTGGTACGAACCCGTTCCAGGACATTCTCTTCGTGTAATCCACGTGACTTTTTTCAACCGTGTCTCAATAATCCCGTCTCACTGCTTGGCCCTTAACAAGCGATTTCTGGTCATTTAATATTAATCAATTTCACGGCGACTAATGACTCCTTCGATGTTACAATTTTTCAGTGGTACATCTTCGTATATATTTTGTTTTTCGTCTTGCATCACCAAGTGGACATGGAATGGATTTTTTAAATTATATTTCATTTCGAACGATTCATTTGTAAATAACGTACTTATATGTTATCCTCTTCTACAGGTCTGGATTAAGATTTTTGGGGTCCGGGGCTCTCAAACCTTCTATAGGGCCATCTTGGTTGAAAAGTGGGAGGGGGGGTGTAATTAATTTTTGTAACAAAACATACAATACAATACATAAATCTTCAAAAATTGAGATTTATTCTAAATAAAATTAAATAACAGTTAATTGTAACGAAACGGAAGGCTTGGAAGGGGCCCCCCTAGAAAATGGGACCTGGGTCTATGGCCTCCCTTAGTCCATAGCCCCCCCCCCCTATCCCTTGATCCAGCGCTGCTCTTCTATAATCTCTCACGTTGATGATATCGTTTGTTCTGTCATGTGAAATCCGCTATGTATAATATCGTCTCGTACTATCTCGTGAACTGACCGCCTGTCTCTCAATTTGCAACTGACGATTTAACACTTATTTAAACGAGCACCAGTGATCATGAATTTATCATTACCGGTTCAGCCGTACGGCAGCTTCTGCTACGAGCGGAAGAAGTCAATGTTGTCATTGTAAATGTATTTGTAATACGATGTTACACGTTTATAACACGCTATACGAAATATGTAAATTCGAGTTATGTATGTATATATATATTGATTCACATTTAATCTTGCAGAATGCACCATATGTATTCGTCGAAGAAAGGTGACCCCCTTTGCCCCCTCGGCTTCCATCCCCAAGTACGATGGCCGACCCGTTGCAAAAGATGCTTCAGGTATTTTTTGTTTCTGTTTTTGGTAATAGTGAAAGGATATATATTTTTTCTTAAAGAGATAAATGACAGTTGTATGTTTACGAGACAACGAATGTATGTTTTTCAGGGATTACAAGGAACACGGGGGTAAGAAAGATAGCCTGAGGGACATCACATCGTCCACACCCAGTCTTTCGTATGAGCAATCCTCGGGCCGGTGAGTTCAAGAGGATACTGATTGATTTAATTTAAATATAGTTATAACCAATAGGGTCCACAGTACTTTAACTTATCCCGAAGTATGTTTAGAAAGGTGTAATAGTACTCGTTGTACTCCTACAAACATATTCGCCAACTTCTTCAGTCCTATAAACTACGACCTTTAAGTTATATAGGTCGATGAACGTGTTCTCAATAGATCAGATACATATGGTACCAAACCCGAGAGATACAATACTGATGGTACCACACCTAAGAGATCCGATACTAATGGTACCAGACCCGAGACACCCAATATCCCCCCCCCCCAAGAACGGTCCTGCCCAAGGGGTTAATATTATTATCATTGAAAATTCAATTTTAACAGTTATAAAATCTCTTAAGTGTTCATTCACTGGTGCGTTTACCCTATAAATAATGTGATATTATCAAATCGATAGGTATCTGTTTCCATAAATATGTTTATCTTATTTCAGTGACTATAATATAGGGGATTATTCGTTAAACAACGCCTTGCTTTTTACAGTTCCAATGAAAACGGTAGAAGAATTTGGTCGTCCGCGACGAACCTGGCGAAAGATGATCAGAAAACCACCACAGAATCGCCGTCGTCCGCGGCAGCCGGTTGGACGTCACTCATGGATCTTTCTGCTATCGACAAAGAGGAGGAAAGAATGGAAGGTGACTCTCCATGTCTAAGCGATTTTTTTTCTCTCTGCAACTTACGTAACAACGAATTACCCGTTTTTATATACAAAAAGCAACTTCGCTGCGCAATTCCATACCTCGATGAAACAGAATTAATGAGCAATAGCAAAACAAGAAGTCCCCGATAATTGCTTATCGGTGGACTGGAGACGTTTATGCATTTATAGCGTTCCTTAGGTTGAAGAATGCAATAAAATGAAGACTTCAGTGAAGTTTAACACTGTTTATGGGATTACTATTGTCGTAGTAATGCCTCCAGTGTAAAATTTAAAATTCTTTCCTACTTTAATTACCAGATACTAGTGCCTGAAATTGTGAATTTTTGCATAAACTTCGCATTCGATTATATTCATTCTCGTGCTAATTTCCGCTAAACGCTTCGACAGCCAGGAGGAGGCCATCGAAATTGCAAATCAAGGAGGTCATAGACAACAGTAACGAGAGCGCTTCGGAAAACGATGTCGAGTTCATAATTCAGGTAAATCATCACTAAAATGTTCAAGCTTTAATTTGCTTTTCATGTACACAAATATTCAATGAATGTTAACAAAGTTATGGAACATGGAAAGTAAAAAATTAATGATAAAATTCGCAGGTAAATCATAGTTTACACGTTCAAGTATTTTGTTTACCTTTCATCGTTGCTCGTCGAATCCAGGCACGGCTTAAAGTATGAGAATCAAAGATCGGTAACGCTTACCGTTATCCCCGATATCTTTAGATATAATATGTTATTCTTGGAGACCGTCCACGATAATGCAAAAACACTCGATTGATTGTATCCACGGGATTTATTAATAATCGCCGTGTTTTATTTTGATGTTCAGGTGAAGAAATCACGGACCGGTCATATGAGAAATTCCGTGGAAAATGACGATCACCGGATGGAAGAGGTAACGACAGAGAAAGTAACAAAAATCGTTCGAACGTTTCGTTCTAGCTTTCAGTTTTTCCTTTCTCTGACCAATGCTTAATCTTATCTTGGGTTTAGCACACCCAATATTAGATTGTTCGGTCATGTTATCACTGTACCATCGTTTACTTTTTTACAGTTAAACATTAAAAAAAAATTACAAAATCTCAGAGAATGATACATAATTTAATTTCAGGTTATCGTCTACTTAAAAGATCTTATTAATCCTCTGTAAACAAGTTTTATTTTTACTGAAAAAGAGTTTTATACATTTGACTTAACAAACGATTGTACAGTGCAGTAAAGACTTTGATAAATATTTTAGAATATTTTTCTATGTTTTGAAAGCTTGGAACAGTAAAAAAAATTAGGTTAAGACATAAACATTTCTATTTCTAACTTATTAAGCCATACCCTATAAATTAAAAATAAAAATGGTTATATGTAACTTATTTATATAATTATGCACGTGAGAACGGAAGTCAGACGTAGGATAATTTCGGCCCAGATAGCACATGACGCTATTTCAGGTTTAAGGCGCCTTTAAGCCGTCTTCAAGGCGTCATGTGGTATCTGGGCGTCAGATTGAAAACAAAAAATTTTATTTATGCAATTCATGTAATCGGCAGAGCGAGACGGAGAGATTGCGGACGCAACTGTTCGAATTACAAGCGCGATGCGAGCGAGCAGAGAAAGAGAAAAGCGAGATCCTGATGAGAAGGTTGGCCACCATGGAAACGATATCGAGCAAATCGTCGCCGAACGAAGTGCAAAAATTACAAAAGAAAAACGAAGGTACCGAACAAGAATGAAAAAAGTAAAATATTTATATTGAAAACCATTTCTTCGTGTTTGTTGGTCAGAAACTTACAGAATCTTTTAAATGTTCATTCATTGGTGCGTATACCCTACTTAAATAAACAAGTTATCTATAGAGAACTGTAGTGAATTCACCCTTAGACATTGGCATTGTTTCATCTGTAACATTCTATCTGGCTAGCGAAACGGTTTCAAATTTTCACCGTTAAAAAATGATTTCTCACTTTCACAATTATTACCATTCCGAGGAAATATTCACCAGCAAAAATCTGTTACAAGTTCAATCTGCTTTTACTGCCCTGGTGTTCTTAATCTTGAAAAATTCGCAATCCCAATTTCCACAATAGCGTGGTATTTGCCCAGGCTTAGATGAACAAAATACATAAATCTTCAAAAATGGAAATTTATTTTAAATAAACTTAAATAAAATTTAATCATAACGAAATGGAAGATCAAAACGGGGCCCTACTGGAACTTCGGGCCCGGGGCTACAACCCCCCTAAACCCCCCCTTGATCCGGCGCTGGTTTACGTGTTAGAGATGTGGGTTTGGTCCGATAAGGGTTAAACAATCATGCTCGATAACATTTTCAGCCCTGACGCAAGAGAAAACCAGCTTGATGACGAAAATCCGAGAGTTAGAGAAAGAGGTGAACACGAAAGCGTTCAGGGGCGAAAGGGATCGAGAAAAGGATGATCTACGATCGAAATTGAAGGCGGCCGAAAATCTGTGCGAGACGTTAATGGACGAGAACGAGGACATGAAAAAGGAGATCCGACAACTGGAGGAAGAGATCTACGAGCTACAGGACACATTCAGGTAATCCAATTCCTCTTCGTTCCTGAAATTCTCGTAACTCGCTGAAATTTTACGTTCTTTTTCCTCTTTGTTTTCGTTTCTTGTCTACTCACGGCATGTCTACCTTGGCTTCCTTTTTGCCCGTTTTACACAGTGGACTCTAACTATATTGCCACTAAACATATTGCCCCCAGATCCCACCACGTTGTGCGAATTAAACAAACTCGCGTGATAAACAGTAGACGGACGTTTCCGTTCGTGGTTTATTGTTGAACGTTAATAAAAATAAAATAGGAAAAACATACAGAGCTATGTGATAAAAACAAAAGAAGAAAAAAGTTTCAAGATGAGCAAAAGAAATTCGATTTATTTACGAACGAAAAACTGTTTATGCATTCGCATCGGACGTTTATTGTACCGAGAGCCGAAGGGCCAGCTGAACGCATTCTACTAACCGGTTTGTTAACTCGATCTCCATAATGGCGAATCACGACTCGCTTTTCTGTAGATTTTTTGAGTTTTTCATGAATAACATAACTGTGTTGCGGGTGCGACTGATCATTTCGTCGCCAAAAAAATAAAAACAGGATAAAAATATTCTTGTTCCTGGGATAGGGAATAGAACGCACCCGGACACTTTGAAGGCATAGGCGTAGCCAGGTCATCAGTCACTGAGGGGGGCCGGGGGGCAAAATTTACCTTAAGACCCTTTCCCCTTTAATGGCCAGAAAAAAATGGTGATATTTAGGAAATTTTTGTAAATATTTAGAATAAGGGAGGCAGCTCCGATGACCTTGACCTTGACATATATTGTCAAGGTCACCCTTCTGAGTAACCTTGAGAATTTTTGATCGACACGATTAGCATCACCTACAATTTGCAACGCTGCACGAATATTAAAACAAAATTGTTTTTATTTACTTGAATGGATAAGTTTTTTTTATCATACTTTCTTTGCATTATTTTAAAAAATTCCTAAATATTACCTTTTTTCGGACTGCTAAAGGGAAAAGGGGCCTTAAGGTAATTTTTATATATTATTTTTTTCCTTAAGGAGGGCCAAGACCCACCCCCCCCCCTTCCTGGCTACGTCCACGTTTGAAGGGGCTCGAGAACAGTGTTGGGTTTCCACTTACTGCGGTGTATCGAAAGACGAAAAAGGGACAGGTGTCGAGAAAGACGAAGAACGAACGAAAAATACGTAGGATTCTTACAAAAATCGAATTTGTGGACGCACGAGAAAAGGGGAAAGGCGAATGGACAAAGAGGGTAAAAAGGAATCAAAACAAATCTCTCTGTATAGTCACGCGTCCATGAGGGAAAACGAATGTAAAAAATAGAAGAAAAAAAAACAGAAAAGTGCGAAAGTTTTTTTTAGCAAATGGAGCCATCTGAATTGTTGCAGGACGGACGATTTGGACGGAGTGACGATTTCCAACTGGTTTTCGAAACTGGAACGTCGGGGCTTTCGTTGCCTCGGGATAACCCAATTCTTGCAACCAAAAAAATGGTAAAAAAAAAATAAAAAATAAACATAAACGGACGATGAGTTCTCGTCGATACGGATCAAATTTTTGCAGTCCAAAGAAGAAATGGAAATAGTCTCCCGATGAAATGTCGGGTGAATCTTTAAAGAGCTAATTGAAAAACCGAACTTTCGCGGTTTTTTAAAAGAGAGCAGTACGTGGAACGTTTGTTACTGTCGTCGAACCCTTTCGATATTTTCGAATTTCTCGGGGCTTCTGATTTGATTGAATGTGTACACGTGAGAAATTAACAAAAAAAAACAGGTAACTATATGTATGTTTCTGCCGCGATTTCATTTTATCACGCTTGCTCTCAATGGAACTGGGTAACTCCCCTCCCCAATGTACGAAACGTTAATTTGAGACACGACACTTTAATGCTTCATTAAAAACATATCGAAAATCAACTCTTCTTTTTTCATGATTTTTCAAGGTCACATTCAATTTCTTGCAAATACACATCATAACATAACATGTGTCACTTTTTTTTTTAATTGAATTTTGGAAGGAAAATTGAAGGTGACCTTGAAAAATCATGAGAAAAAAGATTTGACAAAAAATTTGCTATAATCACGTTAAAGTTCTCTTGAAACCATGCTGTACCTGACAAAAACATTTTCGATCGGACTGCTAATAACAGTATATACCGGCCAATAAACGACGTACATTTCATATGCAACGACCAGACAATCGTCTGACCCGTTCAGGGAACTTAGCACACGAGTACTCTGACCCACGCCATTATTCGGTCATCCTTGAACGATGTTAAGATCCGTGTTGCACAACGACGTTTCGTATGCAGTTCCCCCTCCACCCCTCTGATAAATTATCCGGTTCCAAAACACGCCTGTTGTGTACCGTTTTACACCGAACGACGATCGTCGAAAATGATATGAGTAATATATCGATATTTCGTATTCTTAAGGGACGAGCAAGCGGACGAGTACGTCCGTCTGCGAAAAAGTTTGGAACAGTCGAATAAAAATTGTCGAATTTTATCGTTCAAGCTGAGAAAGGTCGAGCGTAAGGTCGAGGAGTTGGAGACCGAAAAAACGTCCCTGGAGAAGAGATACGATGAGGTATGTGTGTGTAAAATTGATATACAGGGTGAGTCGATACGAATTTACTATAAAAAATAATTTGTTATATATTGATTGTATCAGAAAACGTTTTAATGAATTATGTAGCATTTTAAGGGATGCATCGGATGGATATTATTTCCTTTCATTACACCTTATTTTGTTTTTAGATATCTACATACATGTATATGATTTCAGGTGAAAAAGATCGAGGAAACATTGCAGAAGATTAAAAGCGAATTCGATAATAGGCCTCAGAAGAAGGCGAGCGATCTCGCGACTAGAGTGCAACTGAAGAAGCTCGTCGACGAATTGGAGAAAGAGATAGGTTCGCTATGGGTGTTAATAACGAAGTATTTTCTTATTTTTTTCTTTTATTAAACTTAAAAAAAAAAGAAAAGTTCCGATTGGTTTCGATCGATCGATATGAAGGGAGAACGATAATTATGAATAGGCAGTTTGAGATCATTTTAGAATTTATTTCAAACGGAAACTTATGCCTACGGTTTGCAAACTTATAAAATGATTCGAGGCCAGATTCGAGCACGTTGAGGTGACTTTAAGTTTGAATATTGTATCTGCAATTCTGCTCGACAGCGAAACGAAAGAGAAATACTCAACGAACGGTACGCGTTACGTGTTAATATCGAGGTTCAAGGTCATCTCAAGGTCATTTTAAGCCTTTTGTTCCCACTGTAGCCATATAGCTACGAATTCAAAATTATGAAATAAAATATTGGAATCGTTTTTTGTATCGAGCGGGACATACAATGTGATAATTAGTTTTTCGATGTGCTTCGGAAACAGCTGTAAAATAAAAATATTGAAATCTTAAAATATTCTTGTGAATCATTTATATGTCGCATAATATACACAAAAGTGCAGCAAAACATTTTTCTGGTAATTGTTACATAATTTGGGAATGAAAGGGTTAAAAGAATGTTGAGATCAGCGTCGTCTCTGTAATGAGAAAAAATTTTGAATACTGCACTTGGAGAAACTCAAGGTGACACGTCCAACGAACGCTACAAGTATTATTCTAGACATTTCTGTAAACGATTCGTTTGTTCGTTTGAATAGTGTGCACAACGTTGAACAAACGGAATTCAAAACCTTTTTAGGCGATCTGATGGTTGTTTTTACAAATATTTCCGAGGGCAAGGATATGGACATTCATGATATGAAATCGAAAGATCACGCCAAATACGATAAACTCTTGAAGGATCACGAAGCGCTGAAAGAGAAATTCGATTCCCTGACCAAAGAGTTGGCCGACGAGAAGGAGAAGAAAAAAGCACAGCCAAGCACAAAATTAGACGAGAAAAATTCCGATCTACAGAACAGTAAGTGACATTTTTTGGGATATTTTAAATGATTAAGTCCCCAAGCAAGGAAACAAGGCGATTTGTTACACGTTTTCAAAATGTCGTGGAATCCAAGTGAAAGAAGAAACATATGACGAAAAAAAAATATTAAGCGAATCTTTGAAATCTTCTTTCGTAACTGCAACCCAAAAAATAGAATTCAATGATGTGAATTCACGTCCTAAGGGGTTAAGTTGGACATGGAAACATATTATTAAGAATTTTCTTTTTTAATGTTTCAGCGAAAAAGAAATTAGAAGAAGTCGTGACCCTGAGGGAGGTCGAGAGGAAGGCATGGGACCAGGAGAAACAAGGGTTGTCCGAGGAGAAAGAGAAATTGAAGTCGAAACTTCTGTCGCTCTCTGCGGAGAAACTAAAAGTTTACAACGAGGCTGTTCAATTGAAGAAAGACTTGGGTAAGAAACGTACAAGTATACAGGGTGTCCCATTTAAATCAACCCACTCGAATATCTCCGAAACTGTTGACGATATTAAACAATATTTCAGACAACAGTTAAGTGATATCAGGTAGACTTCATCTGAAACATTTTTTAATATTGTTAATAGTTTTGGAGATATTTGAGTGGGTCGATTTAAATGAAACACCCTGTATAAAAACGGATGAAAATTTATCGAGGCGAAGAATGGTTCGTTGATTTCTTTTTTTTTTTCGTTACATAGAGACTGCGAAATCGTCAGAGAAGGAAGGAGCGAAACTGGAGAAAACGATAAATGAAATGAAGAAGGAACTGTCGCAGGAACGAGACAGGTGCAAGAAGTTGCAGGACGATTTGTCTGCGTACACGGAAAGGGAGTCGAAAATGACGCAGTCTATTTCTTCTGTGAGCATCTTTCGTTAGTTAAAAATATTTCGCCATTTTTAATTGCTTAAACGTAGGAATTCCAATTTTTATAATCAAATAATATTACTTCTCGAATGAGTAGACACTTGGGAAACAATTATTTAATCTCATTCACTGTTTAAACATCATGATGACGATCTTAGAATAATAGTATTGTTCAAATAAAATTATGACCAGCTCTGCTAATAATTACGCTTCTCTTAAAGGTCGAACAAACGAAGGCCAAGCTGGACGCTGAAGTGAAACGATTGAAGAAAGAACTGGAGAACACAAAATCCTCAGACTCCACAAAAATAAACGATCTGACCACGGAACTTACGGAGCTGAGAAAAGAGAAGGAGAAACTTCAGTCACAAATCGACGAGGAGAAACAATCGAGGGAAACGGAGGTGTCCACGCTGAAGAAAAAAATCGGTTCGTTGGAGAAGACCGGGCTGAACGCGAAACGGATGAACGAAATGCGTCAGACGTACAACGAGAAGATTTTAAGTAAGTTTTTCGGCTGTGGTATTACGGTGCGATGATCAAAGGGACAGGGGTCCAAAATATGTAAGGGTGTTCCAAAATTCTAGGACAAACCGCAACATGCATATTCCTCGTGCAAATACGAATCGAAAAGCCCTTTACCGTTTTGTAATCGAATTTGCACGAGGAATATGCATGTTGCGGTTTGTCTTAAAATTTTGGGGACACCCTATATAAGGCAACAGTGGCTTACATTACAGATCTGGAGAACGAGCTGAAGAAAGGCCAACAGGAGTACGACAACTTGAACGAGAAGTACAATGAACTTTGGAAGCTGAGGAAACAATTCGAAGAGGACAACGAATACCTCAATAAGTAAACGATAAATAATAATCAGAATTCTAGATAAATAACCGATATATTAATAATTAACAGAATTTAACGATCTCCTAACTTCTTTTATGTTTTTCTTTTTTGTAATGTAACTTTAATGTCGCGTTGCAGCAAACTGCGAGAACAGAACATTGAATTAAGCGGCATCCGCAAGGAGCTAGAATCGCTGCGACAATCCACAAAACTGAAAGAAAGCGAATGGAAATCAGAGAAATCTACGTTAGAGGTAAGTACAACAATTCCCAGATAGCACATGACGCCTTGAAGACGTCTTAAAGACGCCTTAGACCTAAATTAGCAAGATCAATACTTTTTCAATATACAGGGTGGGTCAATTTCGAAACACTCTTTATACAAGACTTATTTATCGCGTTTTTGTGTGTGCAATTTTTGTTCAGAAACGCGTGAAAGAGAGCGAGTTACCGAACAAAGCTCAGATAACAGACCTAAACAACGACATCAGCAACTTGAAGAAGGAGAACAATACTCTCGTCTCGCGGTTAGAAGACTTAAGGAAAGCGGTAAGAACTGTCTCTGGAATTGCCATTTCAGTTAACCCATTAAGTGGACCGTATACGTGGCACTTGTCGAAGATTTACTATATATTGTATAATTATAGCAAATCGTTCTTTTATAGAAAATCACGGTCGCGAATGTATAATAAATCACTGTTAATAATTTTGCACGCCATTTCTAATCATAATGCGTTAATACAACTGTTGTTTCAACCGTTGTATTGTTCATTTTCCTAGAATGACGATCTCTCGGACAAACTGAAAGATTACGAAGCTGTGTCGAAGATCCATCAGGCTCTGACGCCGGACACGAACGCCCTCGAATCGGAAATACGAAAGCTGAAGAACGCGTTAGAGAACATGGAGAGGGCGAAGAAGGCGGATCTGGCACAGTGTAAGTTACGTTACGAGCACAGGATCACCGCCATCAACGACGAAATTCAAACGATTCAGAACCAGCTGTCCCGATACAGACGGGAACGGGACACGTACAAACGTATGCTCGAGGGCGCCCAAAAAACGATCGGGGATCTGAAGTCCGCGAAGGGCAGACAATCGAACGCGTCGTCTGGAAAGTCTGACGAGGTTCGTTCTTCACGAATATACATTGTTTCGATTTTTTAGGAACCTCGATAAAAGTCACAGTATAACAAAATAGGAAATCCTATATTAACCTTAAAGGGGTTTTTTTTCACTCGAAGAACAAAGATCTGGCAAAAATACAATTGCCTACTACTTTTACCGAGGTCCCCTATAAATTTGCAAAATTTAAACCAAAAACATCGAAAATTTTGGGTATCGAAAGATTACTTTCTAAATATACCGCCCACATTTCAGGAGGAAGAAGTGTCTGGTACCAGCGTGCTGGTGCTCGAGAGGCAGATCCATAACCTGGAGGATGAACTGTCGGAGGCGCGATTGGAAACGTCCCGATTGAAAGCAGAACTGGTGTCCGAAAAATCGGCCAGTCACGTTAAAGTATCGGAACTTCAATCGCGAATTAACGAGGTATTGTGATTGATTAACCGTGGTCTCCATTTGTTTCACAAAAATGCGTAAAATAGCTGGGGACCTGTTAAAATTTTTGTATTTCTAGCTGGAGGAAGAACGAATGCTGACGAGTGGTAGAACAAAAATACCAGGTCTCAAAGTTCGTATGGAGTTGGCGTGGCAGAAGGAGAGGGAAGAGCATCAGAGACTGTTGCAAGAAACGGCTACGTTGGCAAGGGATTTGCGACAAACCCTATTCGAAGTACCTTGCATATATTGCACTCGTTGTTCAGAATCCACTCGAGACCATTGTGTAAAAAAAATTGTAATTTTTCAAATTATTAATTTTAGATCGAGAGAGAACGGTCGAAGGAACGTTTGGAGAACAAGAGACGGCAGGACCAACTGAAGAAGGTGTACGACGAAGAGAAGGAGGAGAGCAGGAAGAAATTACTGGAGGTGATTTGCATTAGAATAAAGTTATACAATAGTGTTAAAGAATTTTCGTGATCAGAGGGAAAACACCGTGAAAAATTTTTCTTCTGTCTACAGTTACAATGCGATTTGCTCGAGCTGAGGGACGCTCACGCGAAATTACGTACCAGCAACGAGAAAATGAGACGGGAGAAAGAACGTCACGAGAAGGAACGGGAGGAACTGAAAGAGGTGATCACCAGAAAATCGAAACAAGAACAAATCGAGCTACGGAATATCAATGTACTGCTGCAACAAGTGAACGATTTAACGAAACATTTGCCCGAGTTGAACGGCATCGCTGAAAACGGAACGTCGAACGCTTACACACCCACTCCACCCAGGCGATTAAAGGTACGTATCGAACTGATGATATTATAAAAATAAAATCAGTTCACTTGGACCAACGGTTTGCATGAATTATCGTTGTTTGACTGTTAGGGACCAAAGTCGAGGGAGTCGTCGCCAATGTTGGACTCGAGAGGGGACGTAAGAGGTACGATTAATACGATTAACCGTTTTAAATAGGGTAGATGTCCCAATTATTCCCACCTTAAAAGCGTAGCGTATCTTCGTTTAATTATTTTACGTGTTGTTTAACCTAGAAGTCGTCTAATCCTTATACGTTACGGTTTTCTTAAGTAAAATAAATAAACTGGCAGTATTAGAAACACTGGCAACAGTCGGGACATTTACTCCCAGCTAGCACATAACGCTTGATGACACCTTGAAGACGGCTTAAAGGCGACTTGTGCTATCTAGGCTGTACCATATCCATTGAAACAAGTATTCAAGACTTGCATTATATCAACGTGTCTTGTGTGTACAAGGATCAAATTCACAACTCGCCGAAAGAACAGACAAGTTGGAGTACACTATTAAAAAATTGATGGACGTAGCCAGAGAGCTGAAGGAATCGAAGAAAGCCGCGGACGAGTCTACCGTGACGCGATTAAAGAAACTTGGTAAAAGGTACTGTTATTTATCAATAACAATCACTTGTATCGTTTGTTCATCGAACGATTCGCATTAAACAGTCTATTTACAATTTTACTAGATCAACATCCGTGGAAAGTGATCCTGGAAAGGGTATGACAACGGCACGCTCCAAGCCACGTTTGCAGAGGAAGAGTTTATCTTTGGAACAGACATCATCACGGAACGAAGAGGTACGTGTACAAGTTTATTATTCATATAATAATAACATTATACAATTTCACAAGAATTGTACTCGTCTTCAATTAGGAATTTTTTACTCGAATATTCAATGTTTCAGTCACAGCGTATATGGGGCACCGATAGCAATATGTCTAGTTTGCAGTCGCTAGAAGGTTCGGATATCGATGGACGAACAATGAGCTTGCAGAGAGATTCCAGTGTCGATAGGTAGTATTCGTACATTCGCAAAGGGAACACAGTGACCACTGTCCAATCGTTAACCGTTTTAATATTTCTTTACAATCAGCCGCCTCTCAACTGGTTCCACAAAAAGCGAGATGTTGGAACGAGACAAGAAGCACAGTAAAGGCATCATGAAGAAGATCACGAATAAATTAACCAAATCGGCCAGTGTAGACAATCCAAACGTTTCCATGGATCACTCCCTTCAGGTAAACAAGAGAAATAGTTTATACAAATGCACACGATAGTTTCGACATTTACATTAATCTCCCATATGACAGACATCCGGATCTGAAACGAGCATCAACGAGAAGACTGAAAAGAAAAATCTGAAGAAGAAGTTAACGGACATGTTTAAAAGAGGTTCCAGAAGCAGCAGGTGTGTTCACACTTCTGTTGAATTAGCAGTAACTCGTTCAGAGCCTAAATAATAACATTTATATTTGTAACAGTCATTTATAAATAATTGAAAAAATTAGTACAAGTTATACAGAAGCCATTATAAATGTAATGTCTGTGACCATAAAGATTTCAGTTAGAGGGATTTTCCTTGATAACAGGGGAGTTAAGAAATAATTATCCATGTGTATTTTTAGTGTCGAGAAGAAGCTGAACTCCACGAATCACAGCAGACCACCGTCGAGGAACTCTACAACATCGAACAAGTAATATTACAACATCTTTATACAGCCATTCTTTTACCACAGTATAACCTTATGTAAGTGTCGGCACTAGCATCAAACGCCACTACAATTGAAAAGAAAAGATTGCTCAATTTTAGAGTATCAGAGCATATACACGAGAAGAAAATACGAAATATATTCTTGTACATATCGGATGTGCTTTTACTAATTGTAATTACAGGACATGTAAACGGTAATTACACGAGCATTTTCAAACGATTCATTGAATGTACACACGATGCTGCAAAATATGAAAGAACACGCAATAAAGGAACAATGCGCCTGTTGTTATTACGACTATTTACCTCAATTCATTTCATTATTACATGTATCTCACGTCCTCTAATTCACGAGCTACTACGACGTTCCTTCTTCGACTTCCGTTTGTGTTTCGAACTCTTGTGCTCTTTATGCCTGTGCTTTTTCTTCTCCTTCTTCGATTTCTTCGATTTCCCTTTCTCCACCCAAACACCGGAAATCTTCGAGTCCTCCTTCGGTTGTGGCACCACAACACTTCTAAACACAGGTCTGAAGCTCTGGGAACTGGACGCCTCGGGTGTCGAACTTTCGGGTATGGTTAGCCTCGAGGGAAGAGCAGGTCCATACATATCGGGCAACATTATCACGTCGTCGTCATTCGTGTTACTATCTTTGCACTGATTCGACCCGATCTCAACTTCAACATCATCCGTTGTATTCATGTCCTTCTCTTTACACACATTTTCATTCGCCTGTTCGTCTGCTTTCGTCGAACCGCAAAGCAGGTTATCCAAATCGACCTTCGCGAAAATTCCCCTCGGCGGAGAAGTGTTCCTATTTGTGTTCACCTCGCTCGCGGTTTTCCCAATCAAAACTGACTTCACTGCCTCGCTGTCCATGCTCACTTCCGGCTCCGAATCGGAATCTTCGCTGCTGCTCAAGAAAATCGCCTTGAAAAGATCCTTCTTCTCCTCTGACTGTTTCTTCGACACCGATCTTGATTCCTCGTTGTCTTCCTGACTCGCGACAGCGCAGTCCAAATCCTTGAACGCTGTACGCGTTTCTGCCTTACCGTCCAGATTTTCTTCGACATCGGAAACATTCGAGGGGATTTCTTGGACCTCTTTGCCGAAAACCTTTTCGTAGGAAGCCTCGAAGTTTCTCACCTTTTCAGACACAGGCACCGATTGCTGATGATCGTTAAATTTTTTTTCCGATTGTCGCTCTGACGTCACGCGACCGATGACATTTCTATCTTTTAATTGAGCATCAGCTTTGTCTATTTCGTTCATCGCGGTATCGGTTGCTCTCGAAAATTTCGTGGAATTGTTCCAATCGAGGGAATCGAAGATTGAAAACTTGGCCGGCTTTTTCTGCATCTCTGGCTGTGCACAACCGACTCTTGGTTCGGGGATATTAAATCTTTTGCATACTATACTTGCCGGCTTCCATTCTATACGCTCTCTGGTCAGTTTTCCGAACATTTTCATTTTCACAGCTTGCTTCATTTCATCGTCCTGACTGCATGTCGCAGTGCCAGCGTCTGAACTCGTGGATTCCGTAGCATGTACGAATTTGTTTGCAACAAAATCGTTTGTTGGCTGATCGAACAACCTAGCTGCTTGCTCGAACTCGATTCGTTCATGCTCTCTGTCCCATTCTGTCATTGACAGTAGTTGTATACTTTCCAGCTTGCTCTTTTCACCCTTCTTCGTGAAGACCAAATATTGCTCGAAGCGTCTCTGTTTATCAGGATCTGCTAGAAACGGTTTCACCGTGCTCTTTTTCGACGAGCCGTCCTCTTCAGATTTACTTGTGCTCTGATCTTCCTCAGACTTGGACGAATCTTTGAATTCCTCCAAATTTTTCAAGCTTCCATCGGCGTCCTTGCCAGAACCAACAATACCGCCTTTAACAAAACTCTGAACATTGAGCTTATCCATCCAAGACGTGGCTGCTTTAACTTGCTGACTTTCCAACCTCAGCCTCTCTTCTGTTTGCTGTTTCCCATGTAAATTCAGCGTCTTGGTAATAATATTAGACGCAACCGACGGCACCGCGTTCGGATGCGTGTCTGACACTTTCTTAACAGTATGCACATCCTCTAATATTCTAGCCCTATCAGCAGCTGTCAGATCCTTACGTTTTCCATTTTCTACCGTACGGGGAACGTTCTCAATCGGTGGATAAAATCGACTTTTCCTAACCGCGTGCATCGGTACAAAGTCTTTCGGTAACTGTGGTGGTGGAAACACCTTTATTTGCTCTAACTTCTCTCTCGCCGGTGCAAAGCCAACTAGACAATTGCTCGAGTTTCGTGAGCCGCTGTCTTCAGACCACCGACTCTTCGGTTTACGTTCAGGGCCTAACGAGAAGTCGTAACGCGACATATCATCCCTTGCGTAAATATCTTCATCGTCTGCCTCGAACGCGCCAACGCCAAACGCTTGGCCATGTATCGACAATTTTTTATTCTTGTCTTGAACGCTAAACGCAGGAGCATCAAACAAATTTACATGACTGGACAGTATAGTTCTTCTGTCTAAACCACTGTATCCTATACCGAAGTAGTTATCTTTTGGGTTACATCTGTGGGAAAATATATGTATAATTATTATTCCGATAATCAGAGTATTTTTACTATTCGTTAAAATGGTAGTACAAAAATTTCAGATCACCTGAAGGGCTCATAATCGTCAGGAGCAAACATAACATCTCCGTAATCGTCTTCCGAATCTTCTGAACTACTTCCCGAATCTGGTCTTCCAGCCTTCAACTGCGATACTCTTATTTTTTCGTTTCTTTTTCTTACTTTTGCCTTCTCCTTCTTGGTGAGTCTTGATCCTACACCCTGACCGGGTCTCCATCCCATTCGCTTCAATAACATAATACCCACTGTGTCCCTGAATATTTACATTAAACATTAATTAAAGCATCTTTACATTTGCCATGGGATAAATGAATTTAACACTTACTTCACAGGTTTTAAGAGCTCTTTTAATACTGGAGTACCAGGAATCGGACCACTACTCTCACGATTTGTTTTCTCTCGTTTTAATCCTCTCTGACCATGATCAATGTAATCACTGGTAGTACGAATACCAGTTGGAGCAATTCCAAACTGACTTGTATCCTCCTCATCCATAAAATCCTGGGCCCGCTGAGTGACATTGTCTGCTTTACTACTCCGAGAAGATTTAAATTGCTGTGGTCTCCATCCATCTCTGGTGCCAACTGTGTTAAAGTACCCAGCAGAAAAACCACCCGTAAATGCTCCATGAAACCTACGTCTACCTTGGGCATCGTATGCATACTGATCTTCGATTGTCACAGGTTTCTTCCTTGGAACATTCTCTGTAACGGATTCACGTGATTAAAACAGTTCTAGGATAACTGTTTATTTATCGTTTCGAGTACTACGACATACCTTCGTCTATCGGATCTAGAGGGACTCCGAAAGACACGTAATTCTCGTCCTCAGAATCACTCATTTTTAACGTAGAATACTTCACTGGCGATAAATAAAATTAAATGAAAACAAGACATAGACAGTTTCTCGCTAATTTATACAACTGTCAAAGACAGAGTATTTTAGGTTATACAACACGCATGTAATATGCATCTTATAACAATATTTACTGACGCTGGCTAGATAACTATCGTTTCATTCGAACGAGCTAATCTTATGAAATAGTTAAAATTTTGAAAAGGCACAGATCAAATTTTGAAATATACTAGCTTTTTCGATCTTCTAGCATAACGCCCAACAGTGAATAATAACAGAGAAAATAAGTAGGCGATTTGAGTTCCTGAGTTACAATGCTTCTATTATAGAGAGCAGCCCATCGTGTCGAACCATTATAAATTTAAAGTTTGATAATAATTGACCTAGATATATGAATATTTAGATTGAAATATAAAGAATGACATTTACAATCAATTGTATCAGGTTAAATTAGTTATAAACAAATAATATGTGCAAGCTAACCTATAAAGTTTATCACGAGAACATGATGACAACCATTCGTTTCTACAAATTGTTGAAATATACGAATGTGTTATCAATACAGGATATTGTTTGATGAAACTCTTGTGGTTATAAATACAGTGGCGAACAATATATTGTAACATATTGTAAGTATATGCAAGAGATAAATAATAAATATAAATAAACAAAGTACAGTTTTGAATGAATATAATTATTTTAAATTTTAGATCGCATTTAGATGGAATTAGAAAGAATTATACATACAATACATAGATTGAAAATTCCTGAAAAGGGCAGATTCTTATTTATTTAGAATTATTGATTTACTAGTCAAAATTTTGAAAATGACCTTGGAGGATGCACAGAATGCAGCCCAAAAAGCAGTACACTTTGACACTAATAGCCAATACAAACAAGCTTTGTACTATTACAATACTGCTGTTACATGTCTTACTAAACTGCAAGATTCTGTATATGATCAGAAAGTTACAGAGTATCAAGGTAGAATAGCAGCAATACAACAGCTGAGTAAGTTTATTATGTCAAACAAGAGGTCATAGTTATTACTATTGATGTCAGACCTAAACCACATCTAAATTATATGCAATTTTTCCAAAAATATGATTAATTACTTATAGTTAATGAAGAGGAACAAAACCAGCATGGAGCACAGCCTGTGCATCAGTCAGAATTGCAAAGATGTATGTTCCTTGTAAACCAAGCACAAGGTGCAGATGAAGCAGGGCTAAAAGATACAGCTGTAAAATTGTACACAGATGCTGCTGAACTTGGACTCAAAGTTGTATGTAATGGCTATTTGTGACTACAATATATGATTATTTCCCTCGTAGAGAACATTAAAGTGAGCTTTAATTTTGCCATCGCAGAAAACTACGGACGCGACCGTGAAAGGGAAATTAACAGCTCTTGTTCGACTGGCCTTAGACAGAGCAGAATCGCTGAAAGATTTGAAAGTAGAGAGCAATAATGATATTCTTAAAAAACTTTCCCAATTACCTCCTGTACCGGAAACAAATTTGGATGTAGATATAGAGACAGTATCACCGGCATCGACAACCTCAACAAGTCCCAGTAACATGGGTAATCAAAATCTTCGTTTTTGAAATTGAAATCATTTCTTCTATGATAATTTTCGTTTGTTCATAATTCTTTGAATTATTCAGGCAAACAGACTCGACCACCGCTACATCGTGGCAGCAGTGCTCATCTGAAAGTAAGCGGCGGTAGTAGTAACTATTCCAAGGAGGAGAAACGGGTTTTACTTCATAGCTCTCACATCAACAACAACGAATTCGTACCTTTTATGAGCATCGATCTCTCAGAAAAGTTTCAATACGCTATCCCGTTCACTGACAAAGACGGTTTGCTGGAATTAGCGCCAAAACAAAAGCCTGATTTTGCGAAGTGGGCTCGTCCAGAAGAATTGTTCCCCGAACCAAAAATGCTCGCAACTCACCACGTCGACTATTACTGCATAAAACAAACTGTTCGTAAAAAGCATTGGTAATTTTCATACCGATAATTCTCAACGTTGTGGATTACAATTTCGTATTCAATTTCAGGTGGTTTCCGATTGTTCTTTCGTTGCATCCCTTGCGGTCAGCGCTCAATACGAAAAGCGATTCGGGCGTAGACTAATCACGTCCATTATTTATCCACAAAATAGAAGTAAAGAGCCAATTTATAATCCTTTCGGTAAGGGCTCTTTTTATCTTACAGACTGTTTTTTTTTTTCAATTCTTATCGAATTATGGTTTCTAACTGACCCTCCAGATACTTTATTTTAATAGACATTAAATCGCGAGTATTTTATGTTAGGAAAGTACATGGTGAAACTACACATTAACGGTGTGCCACGCAAAGTTATAATAGATGACTTATTGCCTGTGAGCCGATACAACCAATTACTTTGTTCCTACTCTAGCAATCGTGGCGAGCTGTGGGTCTCGTTACTTGAAAAAGCATACATGAAAGTAATGGGTGGTTACGATTTTCCTGGTTCGAACAGTGTAAGCTGACGTTGCGTGTCATGTATCGCTAAAATACAACTTGTTACTTTAAAAAAAATTAGCCTATTAATTAAGAGTTACTTTTTCTTTTTAGAATATAGATTTACACGCGCTGACTGGATGGATTCCAGAGAGGTCGGCCATAAGACCAGGCGAACCGGAGTTTAATAAAGACCACTTGTTTAACATTTTATTAACACGGTTGCACAAAGGAGATGTACTGGTGACAGTAGCCACCGGTGAATTGTCCGATTCAGATGCTGAAAGGACTGGCCTCGTGCCTAGTCACGCGTATGCGGTCCTAGACGTCAAGGAAATAAACGTAAGTTTTTCATTTATTAACTACGAATCTGTGTATGTATTGAACCATAATTAAAAATGTCATATTTTATAAAATATTTTTCATTCCAGGGGGAGAGATTGTTACAGCTGAAAAATCCATGGTCGCATTTACGATGGAAAGGAAATTATTCTGAACTCGATAGGACACATTGGACCAACGAACTGAGAAAATCTTTAAATTACGACCCAGATTCTGCCTCTCAATTCGACAACGGTATATTCTGGATCGACTACAACAGTGTATGTCGGTTTTTCGACCTGTTTTACTTGAACTGGAATCCAGGTCTATTCAATTACACTTTCTGCATTCATCAGTAAGTAATTATCATGTTTCGTCAGACGTATGAATTCTTTAATCCCCTTAACGCACAGTTTTTATTTTGCAATGAAATATCCCCTGCCTGAATCAACTCAGACTTGTGCGATAAGAGGTTAAGTATACAGTGTTTTACTATAAAAATACGTTTTTGGTTTCCAGAATGTGGAATGCAGGAATAGGTCCAGTAAAAGATGCATATAACATCGGCGATAATCCGCAGTTTTTACTGGATGTGCAAAGCAACGGTGCAGGAGTTATATGGATACTTCTTACTAGACATATTACAGACATTGCAGACTTCCGGCAGAATCAGGAGTACATAACAGTATTAGTCTACCGAAACAGCGGAAAAAGAGTGTATTATCCTCGTAAGCAAAAAACCCATTAACTCATTCATTCATACATATTTTTTTTATTATTCAATAATTTAATGTATTACTAATCGTTTCATTCTATAGATGATCCACCACCGTACATCGGTGGTATAAAAATAAATAGTCCGCACTATCTTTGCAAAGTAAAATTGGACACCCAAAGCGACACTCGATACACTCTGGTCATTTCACAATATGAGAAAACCAACACAATATATTACACTTTACGTGCATATGGAACGTGTCCATTTACGTTACGGAAAATACCAAATTATTACGAATACGAAAAGGAGGTATATTCTTTTCTGTTTCATGTGCCAATACAACTTAGGTATTTCTTTATAAATGTTAATGATATATTTTCAGATAACCGATGGTCAATGGAGTGGTATTACAGCTGGTGGATGCATTAATCATCCAACGTATCAAAATAATCCACGTTACCAATTACAGTTAGAGTCCTCGAACAATAATAACTATCTATTAATTATACTAAAGGGTCCAAAACAATATCAAATAGGTTTTGATATCGTATCTGTCGTATTGAATGATTCAGATGCGCCTGGTGCATTCAAAATGAAAAGCTCTGGCCTCTATAGGTAATCTATAAATTGCATTGTACAATACTATTTATAGAAACTGTACTAATCATTCCATTTAATGCAGGTCGGGATTTGTCTATTTAGAATTGGACGATGTACCAGCCGGCACCTATAATATTATTCCATCAACGTATATCCCCGAACAAGAGGGGCCTTTCTTCTTAACCTGTAAATCGTCTTGCAAACTGCAACTTCAACGGCTTCAGTAACTGAAATTCATCTACATACGAATGACTGTTTTTGTATAAAAAAAAAAGTTTTTAATAGCACGTTATAAAATTGCGACAAGCACAATGTACTATGAGTTTGTACGCACCGATTGTGATATGTAAAAAAGATGTAAAGTTAACGTTACCAAATCCGTAAATATACCAAAATATACACACGCATGCCATTAATGGTGAAATGATCGCATAACAGAATACTATAAAATGCTTTTATTTTATATTTCAGAAGTACAAATTAGTATTGAGACTAGACAACTACTGACTGTACTATGAAGATTTCTGTGGCACTTTATTTATAATTAGCATTTACTTGGTGCGCTATCATTTGGCACGTATGCGGCTGAGTATCAATGGATATAGGCTTCTCAATATTTCAATCAACTATTTAATATTCTTTGTACTGTCTTTACGTACACGTACACAATGGGAAAGAATTTTAATTTTTCGTTTCGGTTAATACGTCAAATAAATACTACGCGGCGGCATACATGTTCTTTTCAAAATGCAGTATAAATACAGTATCTATTTTCATAAATATATTGTTAATGCTTTTTATAAGAATTACAAAAGAACGCTTTTCACGTTTCGTTACGTTTCATATACTTCGCTGTGTTTTGTATCTACCATGTAGAAATTATATTCTAAAATATTAGTTCTAGATTGTACAGAATTTTTTTCCTTTTGATTTACACCATCGCGTTATAAGTCGACTATATCTGTTGAAATTGTATTCAGTGTTTTATATTGTACATACCTCAACAGCGTTACTTGAACAATTTAATTTGCATTGTGATTCTCAAATAAGACATTCACACTGTTGTCACCCTTCGTTTAATGTATAATTATCGTACGATTGAAACATGCCAGAAATAGTTTGAATCATAAGCTAATAATTACGCTAACAATTACTACTAATTAATAATGTTATTGTTTCGTTAATACAATAGTAATTGTAAATAAATAATTTCGTGGCCTGTGTGAAATAATGGTTTATGAAACAGGAATTAAACGTAAATATATTTACACAATTACTGACAGATAAATTAATTAGACAAAAAATATGCACAATTATACAAAGAAATATACAGAAACTCAATTTGAATTTAGAATGAGATTGTAAAGAAAAATAAATCAAGTGAAACTGTTAAAAGTATAACAGACGTTAAGACTATACGTTCCTGCTTTGTGACTGTGATCTGGATGCATGTAGAAGGCACTATTGTCAATAATTTCAGTAAATTTTATTATTATTATTAACATGGAACGTATCAAAATGGCATTGTGCTTTTGCTGCTTACTGTTATGATATGCCTAACAGATTCACCCAATCCTTAATTCATTACCATTGAAAATGTTCAATAACAAAGTGACCACCCTTTGCAGTCCAGTCGTATTTGTAACAAAAATATTCTGACAAATGTTTTTCTTTTTCTTTAATGAAAAGAAAGTACAAGTGTACTTTGTATTTGCGATTGCTAATCAGGTCTAATCACCATTAATTTATCAATATTTTGAAAATGAACATACGTCGATGAAAAGGGACACTTACACAATAATTAATACTTTAAAGAACCGCAAAGGATTACAATATATGTATATGTACACATGGCATCGTGATTTCATAGTACGCGATATACAAATCCTACACGCAAATAATTTGTGTGTCGCATTCTTTGTTGAAGTAAATCAATTCAACGTCTATATGTATAGATATTTCATGTCAGTCATAAATAAATAAATGGAGAACTTTTCGTTAATAATTTTTATAATTCGATTTCCGTTCTGCATATTGTGATTCTGTAATTGGAAAGAGATGCAATCTGAACGGACATTTCGAAATTATAATTCGCTAAATTATTATATGAATCTCCCGGCGAGCATTCATTTTGTGCGCGAAAGATAATTTTGCGGGCAGTTTTGAATTGTGATAAGATGAAATTACGCGACCACTCGACTTTGCGTAAGGATTACGTATGTAGGCAGGACATAATGATATTTTGACATTGCGAAAAATGGGCGGAAAGTAGAACACATTGTACACTTATAAAAAAATAGTACGCTTTGTTAACATTACTAGAACGTTTAAAGGACGTCAATGATTCTTAAAGAGGCAACTTTTCAAGATAGATTATTTTCTGGTACATTTTACATCACCGTTTTTGATTAATTCTTTTTTTTTTGTTCTATATACGTTTAATTGTATGTAATGTCATGTTTTCACACAAAATCAAAACATTGCCATTAAAAACAAGACGGTGGAGAGCATTACGAGGTTTAAATAAACCTAAACTTTAATCTCTTTAAGGTTGAACATCTGAAAATTTCGAGAGCCCCTGTCAGAATCCGTGGAACGTCTGTACTCGGAACGGAGCCACTCGTATACAAGAGCATTTCAAAGGATAGATTAACCTAATCCAGATACTTTGCCAAGTGTCAAAGTCCCTCAGCCGAAAAACATTTTGATTGAACTTGGTCTTGATCAGAATCCCGTTGAGGGCTATTTTCGAACACTATACATTTGCATGCAGGAGGTTAAGATCTGTAAAAGTTCTCCAAGAGGATGATACAAGTATGAGGACTTTCAGACTTCGTGTCATAATTAGGAATATGATTGAAGCTCACCGTAAGACCAAAGGAGATGTTCCAGGCTGTGCAGATTGACTATGTGAAACTCCTTGTTTCGTGTTCTAACCTCTATCGATCTTACGCGCGAAATAATTTTGAACTTTGTTCGACGCACGAACGCTGTATTTTTAAACAGTTTTCTTTACTGCGTACGTTAAGCCCACGCTTTTCTCGCGACACGAGCATAAATTCTAATACTTCACTAGCGTCCACCATATCTTTTAGTCCTTCTTCGATAGAAACTAAACTGTACACTGTATATACGATATTAGAAATTGTTACGATCGCTATAAATAGAATGTTTATACCTTGTCATAGGTTAATAGTAAAGACGGGTCGCTACGAGTGAAAAAGATTTTGTTGTTACACGAGCACGTATTACTTTCGACTGTATGAAACAATGAAATATTGATACCTGATTGAAGATGAATTACTTTCAATTATTTTATGTTTGAAAACGTTTAAAGATTCAAAAATCCTGTCTTCTGTTTCACTTTATAAAATTACATTCTGTAGCTTAATGAAATAGATTAACTATAGACTTTACCATTTTCTTTAAATTCTGTACTTAATTATTTTGTAACGCGTCGTTTTACGGCTTCTCATCAAAGGCAATATTTCTGTATTGACACCTCTAGTAATTCTAACAATTTTTTTTCTCAACACTCCAATCAACATTTATAGATCTTAAGGCTGTGTGCTTGATTTCATGAGAGTGGTCATATTTGCACTACTATCATCTCGCGATAAATAACAATTTGAAGATAGAAAACCCTACAGAATTGAACAAAATCAGAATCCTTTCCACTGAAAGAATCTGATTTTTACAATCTACATAAAATGTCCGAACTACTACCTGGAATTTAACTTTTCGTACCTCTGCATCTTACTATCGTATACGAAAGTCAAAATTCGTCATAACATCTATAGTTGAACTACAATAAAAAATCGTTTTAAATAATACTTCAAGAGTTACGTTTTTAGGTTAACTATAAATTAGTAAACATACTTCGTCAAGACTGCATTATTAACAAACGCTCGTCTAAATTAAAAACTTTATAAGCTTGAGGATGATCTTTTGTCGAGTCAAAGGCGCGAAAAGTTATATGCTTCTTTTCGTTAATTGAACCAACTGGATGAAACATTCATTCGCGAAACAATAGAAAATATGTACCTATTATAAATATTATATATCTTTCCTACTAATCAATAATATATGTGCATATTATTGTCAGAGTACAAAATTATCGTCTAATGATGTGATGCTTTTTCGTTTTTAGTAAAGTGTAAGAAGAATGGTAATTACAATGCGCTCCTGGTTCTGAAATTGATGTCAAATTAACATTTACTTTAACATTTATTTCAGTACTTGAATTAAATTTACCAAGTGACAGGAGGCCCTTACTCTTGAGCCACTTTTTCCCCTGGCGGAAGACGAGTTTTCTCGCGAGGGTACATTTAAAACAATTTCAGACTTACAGCATTTTGTATCATCATCGCCCTCTGGTCTCTCATAGAGCGTACAATGTCTAATGGATACACTGGTTGATTCGCTTCGATAAGACACAGCGCAGTCTCCATTAATACTAAAACACCTGTTCTACCGATTCCAGCCGAACAATGAACGACAGCGGGTTCTACAATCCCTGTCCGAGCTGCCCGCACCCGTTCGGTGAAAGTTGTGAACTGTCGCCAATCGTTGGGTACCCCATGATCCGGCCAACTACAGTACTGCATGTGTGTTATATCTCTTTCTTCTCCAGTCTGAAACATACAGACGCGATTAACATTCGGACGTCATAATAGGATTAATAAAAGGCTTATGAGTAGCACCGACGAGGTATAGGAGTAGACATTTCGTCTAATGTATTTTTTCGGCCCACTTTTCTGATTCCCAGATTCGCCGTTCTCATAACGTAGAGGTCGCTAAAATCACACAAGCTTTATAACCCCTTGCCAAAAGTCTATTCTTATACCTCGTCGGTGTGAGTAGACTGTGGATTGTAAACGGTGAAGTTAACATCAGATCTAATATATTTTCCGTCTTATTCTTGTCAGAATAAAATCCTGAAGAAATAAACAAAAATTTAGCCTTTACAAATCACTTTGAAAAGTGTTATTTTGCATAAAGTTACTGTACAAGTCACTATAATCGCCTTACGTTTATATCGCGGAGTATAAATTCCCTAAATATAAACGTGTCTTCGACGTTCTCAACGGCAGAAGTAAGTGTGAGATTCCGCAGCGTAAGAGTTTCGTTGAGCGCCGGCCAATACTGATGGCATTTCGCTCGGCCACGTTCGACCAATGTCGTCAGCATGACGACAAGGGTGCTGCCCGCCTCTAGAACCATCTGCCAGAAGTCAGCGACAGTGGACGACAAAGGTCCTTGAGTGGCGATGTATCTGTTGATAATCCCCGACCCTGGGATTTCCATGTTCACATAGTTGGCGTTGATGTAATCCCCGTTCGTAGAGCCCATAAGTATCACCCGTGTAACATCGTCTAAACATACAATATGAATTTTCGTCGATAATGAAAAATTCACTAAAATTTAACGGAGGTTTTAGGTTTCTGTTAGGAATCTAAGAACCCCTAAGGGTCACAATTTTCAAAAATCCTTCGAGATACATTTATATATCGTTAAAGACATATCCAAATTTGAACAAAATCCGAAATGGTGCTCTAAAAAGTGTCCAATTACGCGTGGAATGACCCCTGAGTAAACAAGTTTCTATTTCTTTTTAATTTCTGTATATTTATTTGTTAAAAAATCTGTATTAGTTGTACTACTTACACGGTGAAATATCACGATAACGATTTTTGCTCTGATTCTCTGGTTTCTTCGATTCCAGAGAGGTGAGCTCCGGATTTTTCCGGTACAGCTGCTCGTACTGGGCTATTAGAGCGCCACTCGCGAGACCATCGGCGAGAAGCAACATCGACTGCGCCAATGCATCCGATCCAATAGCGGCGTGAGGTGCGTCTGGTACGTATCTTAAAATTCAATGAAAGTAGATACCAATATTAGCATTTTATAATTATTAAAACGATAGTAATACTCTGAATATTTGAGATTAATTTCGCGGTTAGATGTCATACCTATATGGAGGTTCCTCTTCGGACGTTTCATCGGTACCAGCCAGTGCATTATACAAAGCATTCGGTCTCACAGTTAACGTCAGCTCACCGGAACCCGAATCACGAGACTGACGAATTAAATTTACTACGTGCTCGTGTAATAATCCACTCACATCGATCCCATTGATGTACACTACCTAGTTACCCAATATATTCGTAACGATTACTTTATGACATAACCATGTATTAGGGGAAATGTGTACCTGATCTCCTTCGTTTAACTTCGGATAACAACGATCAGCCGGTGTGTTCGGTGCTACCCTAGATACTAAAATAGGCATATCGAGGTCTAAGCCGCCTTTCACGTTGAACCCAAATCGACCTTGTTCATCTGGCGTTAGAGTGATTGTCACCAATCCATCTTCCACGATCTACAAATCATTACACATTACATCATCTAGGGTAAATGTCCCAATTACTGCCAGTGTCCCTAATACTGTCACTTTATTTGTTTCACTTAATAACAACGTAACGTATAAAGAATTGTATAATTAATTTCTAGCGTTATACAGCGATGAGAGGAAGATAAGAGAGAATCCTAAAATTAAACGAAAATACGTAGACGATATATAATATTGTTATGGTTTATTACACCAGGAAACCTTCCTCGCAGTATGCGAAAGATTCTCTCTCTCCATTCCATTCCAGTGTGCGATAGAAACCGGTATCGGAACATATTCGCCATTGCCGTCCCGACTGCCCGCAACAAAGTTGACAAACCGGTGTATGAAAAATAAAATTTTTATCATTTTCACTTTGCTCTAAATGAAAGGGAATTAATGTACTATAGAGATCTTTGTGACAATAATGTGTTTAAACACGGCTCTTTGACGAAGAACTTTAAAACTGATCGATAAAGAATAATTTCAAATGTGGACACCTTATAAAGTACTGAATGAAGTTCTTCGAATCTTCTTCCTCTTTCAATATGTATATTTTCTATATTTCTAGCACATACTGGAAGCTATTTACAAATTAACTTGACAAACTGTCTAAATTCACTGAATCAATCACCTGAAGTTGTACGATCTCGCTGTCGCAAATAATCAAAACAGAGAGCAAGAGACATTTTGTTTTGCCCCACTCCAACACGAAGTTAGCATTATTAGATAATACTGTTTGAAATCTAGATTTTTACACTCGAATAAATAGTCTAATATTTTATATAATTTTACGAATTAAAATTCTATCGACAGATGTCGGTTCATTGAACGGATGTTCACGAAGAAAAATCAGGAATTATAAAAATGAAAATTTTATTTTTCTACATACCGGTTTGGCTAGTTTGTTGTATCGACTCAGCTCAAGCCGAGCACAAGTTGTTGCACTCTCATGGAGAATATTTAACAAAGCGGTAGAAAAATTGAACATAAATACCTGAGGAGCGGGCGAACTAGTAGGTTCACTATAATCAGGTAGGTCGTAAATATTTCTTTCAGCGGTTGTATCGTCGTCTGCGTAACTTAGGACTCTCGAACCTAGTACAGGAGAAAATGCATTGCCCTGTGTATGCGAACCCGTTATTTCGTCCCGAAGAGATAAGAAACCACCCTCGCTATCGGTAGAGGAAGAAAATAATTAGAAAATTATATATTCAAGGGATAGAAAATCCTGGATTATGAAATTATTTTCAACTAACTCATCGCTAGGATTGCCTTCGCCCCATGCTTGACGAGGCTCACGAGCACCGAGAGACTGAACTTTGTTGTCGTACGGCCTCGGAGGTCTTCCAGGAAGTACGGTTAATTTTCCTTTATCATCTATAAGCGCAGCTGACGTGACTCCGTGGACCAATCTCTTACTAGGGGATCTATATTGTTTACTGTATTAGAATTACTTCGCAATACGAGAGATAAGAGAAATTCCAAAGTGTGTTCCATGTTACCGTATGAATGTTCTCTCCACTCTTGCTCTGTGCTTGCCATCTTCGACCGTCTGAAATTCTGTACGTCCCGAATAAGTGAATCTACTGCTCAAGGTAAGGGGAAAACGCCTAGACCTCATTTTCGGGCTATGAAGTCTGAAGAACGTGTGATGCTCCACGCATGCTTTCCACAAGTTCTTAGAACTACGATATGTCTGCATGTTGAATCCCAGTAATGTATCGTAGTTTTCGGACTGTAACGGAATTTTAGACGTATAGACGAACATATCCTCGTTTTGTTTTAAGCACTGAACGCTTTTGAATACCTGTTCCCGTCTGAGTTGAATGAAAAACTGTTTCCGTTTAAATGAGATTTTAACGATTTTCGACCACGAGAACACATTGATCTTTAATCCGTTCTGAAATACCACCAAACCTATAGATGTTACGCCTAATTGTATTTCTTTGTTTGTTGAATCCTGCGAAACATACAAAGAAACTTTTATGAAATAGAATCGTTTGATGTTAATAGAAAAACTGGTAATATATGTATGTACCCTCGCCTTGTGCAATTCTACTCCATACATATCTAATCGTTTTGCATGGTCTAAAAAATTGAATTCTGCGTCAGCTGGTAGTTGACCCCTAGAAAAGTACGAATATTTTAGAATTTTTTATTTCAGAAAAATATAAATCATTAATATTGTGCACGCGGTCTCCACCTACTTATGAAGTTTATGTAATTCCGATATCTTTTTCTCCATTTCTTCGGTCTGACCTGGTATTAACTGCAACCTAGAAAGATATCCTGGACCATGTTCTTCGGGGTGATAATCGCCTAACTCAGCTGCAATCACATCAAACCGAATGCAGTTTAAATTAATTGGAACACAAAATATTTCTCCGTGCATTTATATTCTTACATTGAACCGTATAGCTGGCAATAAGACATGCTGTACTTGGTGGTAACTGGAGTTTCCCTTGAAGAATATCCCTTCGTATTTGCAGGTAAAATTGGTACCTAGTGTATTCTTCTTGCAATTTGCTAGGATCGGATACATAGAACTTCACTTTAAAATAGAACTGTCCACCTGAAACGATTAACTCCATGAAATTTCTCTGCGAACTTAATTCTCTCTTATTGAAGTAAACGTGTATTTAAATATGATCTTTACCCTTACTTCGTATCTGCTTCTTGACTGGTTTAGTAGGGTCTAACCATCTCTAAAACATCACGCAAAATTACCAAGATTATTCGTTTAATCGGATACAAAAGTATTCGAACCAACTGTTTCTGTTCTGGGAATTGTATTACCATTATATCCGGCGAATATGTACAGGCTGTGGCTCCATTTTCTGCATACTGCAAACCAAAATAGTCTTTCTCGACCAGTTCTAAATGTTGAAATACTAAATCCAGCAGTGCTTGACCTTTTGCTCTCTTCTAAAACATTCCCAGAAACATATATTGAACATGGCGTAGGGACTAGATATTCTTTTCCCTATTGCAATAACTTACATCCAGTTGAAATGTATGTTGCGTGTCGTCGAGAAAAACGACCGTAGCGGACAGTGATTTCAATCTACGATTCCTTGCTAACTCGGCACCGCGAACGTGGTAGCTCCCGCTGGAGCCACTCAACGCTCTCCGCGATACGCTTTCGATCATCTCAAAGATATGAAGGCGTGTCAACCACCTTCCCGACACCACCTCTCTGCTATGCTGACCACCTAAACGAACAATTTCATGCATAATCAGACGTGACATTCGGTGTGCATTAAAAAAATAAAAAAAAAAATGCAAATTTATAGAGATCGTTATAGGAAAGAAATTAATTGTATTTCATAGTTTGATATGTTCCCAATGATGTAATAAAAAAAAAGTTATTAACTAGAATTTATCCATGTTCGGTGAAAATATAGAAATACATATTTTTCATGGCGAATCCAAGGTCACTGAGTTTCTGAAATGGAACCGTATAATATTGTATTCAACCAGTAAAAGGTGAGACATTTTTATTTATACAATCATAAATCTACAGAGGTGGAAATCATAGAATGCAACTGCTGCAAACTTATATAGTATTGTGTGAATAAAAGTGTCACATTTTGTACTGGTTGAATTCATTTTAATATCTCCAATAGTATAGTGGTGAAAAATGATATGGTCCCATTTTAAAAACTCAAGGTGACCTTCGGTTCACTACGAAAAAAATATAACATCGAATTGTTTGTTATCGTTATATGTTCACTCAGCACAGATAAATTTTGGTTAGTAGTTTGTTTTGTTATATTGTAAACGTCTGAAAAATCGTGGATACCGTTACGGTATTGTACACCTTGTACAATCTCATTTTGCGGCGACTTCGATCACTCTTTCTAAGCACAAATTTGTTTACGTAGGACAGAAAGCTTATAGGGAACTATTTAGTTTGCTTATGAAGGTTATGTCAAAATCCATGCTGTCAATTTTGCGAAATACTCGAAACGAACGAACGCATCTGACGAAGACCAGGCAGGCCGATTAATTCTTAAGTCACTGTTAAAAGTGTAATTACATTCGAACGATGTCATTGAAAATAAATTCATCGGGTCAGTAATCTAACGTCAGTTACATAAGCAAGTTCATGTCTACTGCGTGCCAGAATAATGTGGAACGGGCCATTCTGAAAATAGTTTACATAAAAGAAGCAAAATGAACGTGTTAAATGCCAATACACGTGAACCCCTAGCGCCGATCTCAACGACGCTTAAAAAGTTGGAAAATTAAACGAATTCAACTGAAAGCTGCACTTTCTCGATTTATTATTATACAGTTACGTTTGTGAACGCGTTGAATTATCGATGAACAGGTTCGACCGCAAAAATTGAACGCAACCCGTTGCACGCGAAAATGCATTCGCTGATGCTGCCTTTTTTTTCCCCGTCGTTATTATATTCCAAATACATTATTATTCAATAAATCAATTCAGAGTAGAAAGACAGGCTTGTTTCGAAAGGACATCGGAATTTCGGGTACGTGTACTTCCGGTGTCAGTATGTACATGTTTAATAAGTATGTATGTTTTGCTAAACAGTCGTCCCGTATGCATCGTAACGACTGTCCCGCAATTGCATTAACCCTTCCCTACGATACACGCATGTCAAACGTCCAAATCAGTTGCACATCTATGAAAAATATGCATTTTTTTTATTACTAATTATAATTTGCGATGGTTTTCAACTGTTGAGATCCAACCAGTAACAGTACGTGCAATCCAATATCGTTCGGTAAGAAAATAAGCATGTTATGTAGAGCCTACTTGACATATATATACGTTTTTCGTAAACAAGCAGCTACATTCTGATGAGTATATGTATGCCTCTCGTAGCTAAAGGGTTAAAAACGTGCACCATGTAAGAACCACGCTTACATTCATGATCCGTTGCAGTGCTTCCGATGCCGCTTTCACAGGTGTCCTTACACAGTTGACAGACGAGCAACAGCTACCATTCATTAGCACTGTCGCGAATCGAAGTTATCAAAGCATCGAGGAAACGTGGTACTCCTCGAACGTGTCAGAGTATCGCCGTGAATTTTTTCCTCTTTAAAGGCCCTTTCATTATTCCCTATATCGGCATATTAGCGGTTTAACGGCCGAGTCGTCATTGTTTCCCTTGAGACAGGATGCATCGATATTGTTCGGCGTCGATCGCTCGACTGCCTCGGAGGTAGTATTTGATGGAATGCGTTTTTTATCGCGTAAAACTGCACTTTTTTCACTTGCTCGGTGGCAACATATAAGGTAACACTCTAATAGATCGGCACGAACCAGCAACGATGTCAATGGATTACGGCCCGGAGTTCTCTCCCGCACACATTCAGAACGATCATAGCGGGAAGGTGCATAGGTGAACCAGTAATCGTATCACAGTTCCGTAATAATTCTGTCTTGTTTTACGACGATATGTCGTGGAGATCAGACTCTTATTTGCAATAAAATTGACGCCCTGATAGAAACTACTATGTACACATATATATGTATCGAATTACACATTCCGCGTGTACGTGTGTGTTAATGTTAGTCATAGAGCAATTGATTTTTAGACGGTACTATCGATGTTCTGAAAATGTACCCTCGCGAGCAAACTCGGCTTCTGCTAGGGGAAAAAGTGGTCTAAGGGAAAGGCCTCCTACATAGGCTGCATTCAGAAGACGCAACCGTTGAGTGATTTCACTAGATTTCACAGATCCAAGGTTTTATGAAACTTCTGTATGGGCACAAAACCAATTTAGTCTTCCGTAATCAATTTCTGTATTTCTACTTTGTAATATAAATAATGAAAGTATAAAATGGCAGAAAAAAATGTACTTTTAATGCCTTTCTTTGAATCAATTATGCAATTTGGTAATAACAATCATTATATTTGAGTGAATTTCTTAATATAAGAATGATCCATATGTATGTAGAGTATAAAAATTATTATTGTAAAGTACCTTTTTTACAATTGTGTTGACATTTTACAAAAATAAAGTGTAAAGTCTTTGTACAAAGTTCGTAAATATGGGTATCATATTTAAATTAATATTAAACATACATAACACATACTATGTACACCATTGCATTACCATTCAAGTACGGAAATATAAGTCGCTAGAGACAAAGAAACGAGGAAATATATTAATTGTAACAAAACTATATACTGTAGTTTGAAGTATAAAGTAGCTTCGCTGGGATTCTAGAAGGTGGTGCACAACATGCAGGCACACAATTATATCTACAAGCCAGCTTCCCTAAATTTGGACACTTTGCGGAAATTTTAGCCCACCACTGAAGCGGGCAGCAATCAAGCGGAGCGGTCGCTTCCGAATGATATTGTACAAGTTCAAGATCTGCCTTCTCCTCTGCAGGCATTCCACTTTTTGTCGAACATAAACCACCTTAGTAAAAGTTCCATACCTAAATGTGGTTCATTAATTATTAAATGTTACTAAATATTGGACGAATTCAAATTATGATTTATGATACTTGTACGTACCAGATAAACGACTTTTCTTATTTGGAGGCTCGTCCTCAATTTTAATAGTTGTTGTAGTATCCCCAGACTCTTCCTGTATTAATTTTGTCAACGTATCTTTAATAGGAGTTGCAACTAGATTTTTATCTTCTTCAGTAGCACATGGAAGTTGCTTAAATCTAATGTTATACATTGTTTTTAGGTATATTTTCATTTACAGACACACCTGACAGTGCTAAACACTACAAGTAAAAATCTATAATTACCTTGGATCTAGAGTGGTAGCAATTTGAAGTAAAAGAGTAACATTGTAATCTGCATATCTATCGTAAAGTATGTCCGATAATGATTCTTTGAAAGATCTAGCTATATCGCTGTCAGTTTCTTTTACTTTGAGATGAGAAGATACAAGTTGCTAAAGTAATGGTTTTAGTAATGATATCAAAGGCATTCTTTCCTCGCTAAGCGTCATGATAGTAACTTTGAACGGTTCAAGAACATTTACGAGATCTTCCATGATCTTCCACTGTTTGTTTGTTAGATCAACCATCTCTTGATCAACTCCTTCCATGCTTTCCAAAATCGATGTTACGATATTACGACGTAGGACTATCTGCTCGAGCACGTTGTACGTTGACGTCCACACGGGCGGATAATCCATCAGCATGGTATTCTCCTCCAGCTAAAATCATGTTAAATGAATTTAAAAATTTGCTTATTCATCAATTAACAGTCAATTTAACTATCAATAATGTGAATAGCTTTTCACCTAACTAGGATTGCATAGAATTTGCTAGGGACTTTACATTTTAAATAGTTTTCACATACCACAAAATAGTACTTTAAAATAATCTCAGTACGATTTAACATTTTCCTTAAACCGTATGATTGCCATGAAGAAAGAGCAATTTGTCTATCAGATGAGGGGGTAAAGCGGCTCGCCTTGTATCATACAGAACTTGCACCTCCGCTGGGATTCTAGAAGGTGGTGCACAACATGCAGGCACACAATTATATCTACAAGCCAGCTTCCCTAAATTTGGACACTTTGCGGAAATTTTAGCCCACCACTGAAGCGGGCAGCAATCAAGCGGAGCGGTCGCTTCCGAATGATATTGTACAAGTTCAAGATCTGCCTTCTCCTCTGCAGGCATTCCACTTTTTGTCGAACATAAACCACCAAGTAAAAGTTCCATACCTAAATGTGGTTCATTAATTATTAAATGTTACTAAATATTGGACGAATTCAAATTATAATTTATGATACTTGTACGTACCAGATAAACGACTTTTCTTATTTGGAGGCTCGTCCTCAATTTTAATAGTTGTTGTAGTATCCCCAGACTCTTCCTGTATTAATTTTGTCAACATATCTTTAATAGGAGTTGCAACTAGATTTTTATCTTCTTCAGTAGCATATGGAAGTTGCTTAAATCTAATGTTATACATGGTTTTAGTTATATTTTCATTTACAGATACACCTGACAGTGCTAAACACTACAAGTAAAAATCTATAATTACCTTGGATCTAGAGTGGTAGCAATTTGAAGTAAAAGAGTAACATTGTAATCTGCATATCTATCGCAAAGCATGTCGGATAAGGATTCTTTGAAAGATCTAGCTATATCGCTGTCAATTTCTTTTACTTTGAGATGAGAAGATACAAGTTGCCAAAGCAATGGTTTTAGTAATGATATCAAAGGCATTTTTTCCTCACTAAGCGTCATGATAGTAACTTTGAACGGTTCAAGAACATGCACGAGATCTTCTATGATCTTCCACTGTTCGTTTGTTAGATCAACCATCTCTTGATCAACTCCTTCCATGCTTTCTAAAATCGATGTTACGATATTACGACGTAGGACTATCTGCTCGAGCATGTTGTACGTTGACGTCCACACAGGCGGATAATCCATTAACATGGTATTCTCCTCCAACTAAAATCATGTTAAATCAATTTAAAAATTTGCTTATTCATCAATTAATAGTCGATTTAACTATCAATAAAGTGAATAGCTTTTCACTTAACTAGGATTGCATAGAATTTGCTAGGGACTTTACAATTTCTAATTGGTGAAACAGGTTTATTATTGTTCCACTCCACCAAGTGATGATTAAAGTACAGTTCCCTTTATTTATGCAACCATTGTAGGTGGAATTCTACCATAACATTGTTTGTGTATAATATAATTTTAAGTTTACCTCCAGTAACTGTTCTTGCATAGACAGAGCTGCCGATGCAGCTGGATGGCTTATGATAGCTCCGATAGCTGCTCTACATTTAGACAATATAGAAGCAACCTCTGGATTTTCAAAACAAGCTTGAGCGCATACTTGCAACGTATGAAGTAAACAAGGAACTAATGTTAATCCCCGATTTGTTAAGGCAGTTAATAGTTCTGTTCTAGATGTAGCTACTACCACAGCAATTATCCTCTCTATTTTCAAATCCCAATCAAGCAACAAAGAATCTATTGTATTGCCCCATTGAGACTCTTCCCAATCCAACGGCGCATGAATTGTACTTAATACTTTACATTCTAAAACTGGTTCACCTGCATTTTGATAGTAAACAGAGATAGTAACAAAACGTTCATCAGAATTTGATCTCCACTCTTCAACGGTAAGACCCACTTCACCAGTGACACAAGTCAAAGTTGTCGCCACTGATTCCCGGAAGGTGTCATAAATCTTTGGTATGATTTCATCTTCTAATTTATTTTTATTCGGAATTTCGCAAGGCGACCGTAGAGTTGCGACTAGCCTCTGAAATCCTCGGCCTTCCACTACCTCAGGTAACTGTAAGTCCATTATAATGAATTCTGCTATAGCATCAGACACATTTTTCCCGTGGATGCTTGACTGATTAATAGCGTTCTCTTCAGGCATAAGAAAGGCCACGTTTTGGCTGTTGTTACTGATATTAGAACCGCTTTTAATCATGACTCGTAACGGCTGACCGATTGAAATGTCATCCTCGATGTTAGAAAGACTTATATTTGGATCTGTCACGAACTGAATGTCCCCGTTTATTTGCACAGTACCATCAGCATTAGTAGTGTAAATATGTTGTGCGGACGTTAGACCTGCCTTCAATAACCTCTTTTGAGCTCTCCGCTCTTTCGTTTCTTGTGAAACTACCTGTCTTCGAGGAGGATTAGTAGCTTCGAGTTCTAACAGCTCTTGAGCATGTTTGTTTTGCAAGTGCATACGTAAGTTGCTGGTGTTACGATTGTAGGCGATTTGAGTTTTGCATAAGATGCAAACAATCTTTACTTTAGTGAGAATGTCTCCATCGTCTGTGGCTGGAAATCCAAAAAACTTCCAATAGATACTTCGCATCGACATGGGCACCACTAATTTCTTGTACGTGTACGTATGCTTTTCTTCCATCATTTTTGCAAGTACCATTTGCATTTCGGTCTTAGAATCCTCCGCCGTGGCGGATTTTCCGCTGTTCGACAATGACATTGATTTACTTTCCATGATTCTAAATCAAAAACCCATATGTGCCGGACGGGTCTTGTTGTCGTTTCAGGTATTAAAATTCAAATATAACGTATTTCTTGTATTTCGGCTATTTCATAGTGTCTTCTTTCTAATCAAAATGGAGGATTTTCGTTGCATAATTTACAATGTAACCGTTCGAAACGATGCATTGCTTTTCCGTTTATAATATCCAAGCATCCAAATTTACCGCGAAGCAATCCGATATTTCAAAGCAGCGGTTGACGAATTATTTCAGATATATCGAACTTCAATTTCTCGTTTTGAAGAGAACGATGCACAATCAGTTATCGACCACCTCTCGTAACGACGCTATCGACTTTCGTTCTCTTGTTCAAAGAAATATCGCTATGTAGACCTCTCAACTAATCGATCCCACAAAATGGTTGCGGTTTCAACGTGGCGCCATCTTTATCGATTATTCCGTTCAAATAATACTAATACAGGTAATTTCAACGAATAATTTTATTTTACGGAAGAGCATCTATTTTCATTTAGTTTCTCATGATGTTTTTTTCTTTAATAAGATTAATATGTTAGCAGTGATGTGAAGCTCGCGCTTGCATTCACAAAATATTAGGGCGGGTATGTAACGAAGCATATTAATGAAAACGCTCCCTAAAAAAACAATAGTTCATTCGCCAACCGCTTGGAACTTCGCCAGTCTACTTTTACGCATTAGTTTCCGCCGCATCAAAAACTATTCCCGCGGCGTGGCCCGTAGTTTGTGGAATACGGTTGCGGTTTGGTTATAAATCCCGCCATCTCCGCATCAAACGGCGAATTCTGATAGTATTGCGTATTTTGTAAGGAACACCAAGGAAAATGTGATAATACCTAAGCGTATCACGTCGTCTGAATGTTTAGTTTGTTATCGTTTACATCAGGACGATTTATTATAATTTTATGTCGGGTTGATTTCGTGGTAGCGTGGTCTGTGCTGCACCGAACGTGTTGAAAACAAGGAACTATGGCAAACGTATCTGTTGACAAAGAGACATTCTTTCGGCGTATGAAGCGTCTTTATGCCGCGTGGAAAGTAAGCGACTTGTCACGGCTCATATCGTTGTTTTCAACTACCGTAATCCCACGATAATTCAAATAATTGCTTTTTCGTTTTTTCCACCCGACAGGATGGAGAAGTTGGTACAGATGACAGTTTTAGTAAAATGGATTGTCTTGTCTCCTCCGTGGGCACTGACGAGGACATTGTTTATAGTAAATCCACAGCGTTGCAAGTAAATAGCACTTTATTTTTAAATAATTACACTCCAGTACTTATTATTTGTTTCGGACTAAAAAACAATTGCTTAACCTAATTTTCATAATTCTGAAAAATAAAATTCTCGAAGATTAGCATTTCACGGTGAATACTTTGTATGCTTCTTTAATATAGTCGTGGGGAAAGTTTGGAACCAGGTTCTGTAGCTGTACAATATAAATTGAGCTTTAATTATATAACTAATTAAAAGTGATTGGAATCTAAAGCATTAATCTTTTCTGTGTAACGTTAATTAACAGTTGATCATTACTTTAACAGTGATCTTATTTTCTTTATTGTGAATGATTTATTTTAGACATGGCTCCTCAGTTATGAACTTACCGATACAATAATGATCTTGGCGGAAGATTCTGTTAACTTTCTGGCAAGTAAGAAGAAAATTGAGTTTCTGAGAAAGCTAGAAAACCAGAAAACAGAAGATACCGGAGTACCTCCTGTGAAACTACTTGTGAGGGACAGAGTATGTATCCTATATATTGCTTTTTATGTACTTTAATATTTTGTCCCATTATGTTTAGTTACGAACAGTATATAATTTTTTGTACAGAACGATGAAGATAAAGGCAATTTTGCCAAACTTATCGACATTATAAAGGAAAGCAAGAAGGGTAAAACATTGGGTGTATTTTCGAAAGAAAATTATCCAGGTGCCTTTATGGATGCATGGAGAGCTGCTCTTAAAGCCGAATCTTTTGATACGGTACAATATAACTGTTCACAAAATGGTGTACCAAGAATTAAGGTCTTTGTTCAATACTAAATATTTTATTTATTAGGTGGACGTGAGTGCTGCAGCTGCATATGTAATGTGTCCAAAAGAGGATGCAGAAATTCTTACCATAAAGAAGGCATGTTTAGTGTCTGTAGATGTTTTCACCAAGTACCTTAAAGACCAAATTATGGAAATTATAGACTCCGACAAGGTAAGTAAATTTATTTCACTTAAGAAGGTAAATACCTTTGGCACCATGAAAAATAGTACTTTCTCCAAGAATTTATTTCACAAAAACTATTTGATGAATTGCTTGCTTCTTTTTTTATAAAAACCGGGATGCATTGTAGAGTATTTAAAAACAATTGTTTAAGTTGTATAAAAAATGTGGCCGAAAAATTAATTTCAGCACATGCGTACAGCGTAAACACAGCTACACTTGTTGGGATGATTCAGATTGCCGTAGTGATCCGATTTGAGAATGTTAACAATTGTTAGATTTTTAAAAATTGACAAAATTAAGCCATTTTAAAAAAAAATTCCATTTTCCGTAAAACTTTGTTCTTTTATTAGCGTAAAAAAAATAAAAAATCAATTTTTTAAACCACTCAAAGGTATGTACCCCCTAAAATTGTTCGGAAATGTAAGGAATATGTGAAAGTTGCTAACAATGAAGAACTATTTCGATTTCAGAAAGTCAAGCATTCGAAGCTCGCAGAAGGGGTGGACGCAGCTATAACGAATAAGAAGTATGTGACTGGCGTTGATGTTAGTCAGGTTGATATGTGTTATCCAGCCATCATTCAGAGCGGTGGAAACTATTCCTTGAAGTTCAGCGTCGTTAGCGATAAAAACACGTTGCATTTCGGTGTAATTGTTTGTTCACTCGGGGCACGATACAAATCCTATTGCTCTAATATTGTCAGAACACTGCTGGTGAATCCCACAAAGACAATCGAGGTAAAGATTGTATATATAATCACACCTGAAACACGTGCACACAACATTGACGTATTTTTGTTTTAGGATAATTACAACTTTCTTTTACAATTAGAAGAAGAGATTCTGAAGAAACTGGTGTCCGGCGTGAAGATAAGCGAAGTGTACGAGAGAGGTGTAAAATACGTGAAGGATGAGAAGCCAGATATGTTGGATCATTTGACGAAAAACTTCGGATTCGCTATGGGGATCGAATTCAGAGAAAGCTCGTTGCTTATCGGCCCAAAGACTCATGCGTTAGTGAGGAAAGGCATGGTGTTCAACGTTAACGTTGGACTGTCGAATCTCTCGAATTCCGAAGCCACGGAAAAAGAAGGGAAAGTTTATGCCCTGTTCGTTGGCGACACCGTTATGGTGAACGATGGCCAACCAGCTTCGAATTTAACGCCGTCAAAGAAGAAGCTGAAAAACATCGGTATATTTGTGAGGGACGAAGAGGATGACGAAGAAGAAGGAAATGGAAAAGAGTATGAACCGAAACCTGAGATTCTTTCCACGTCTTCTCGACGTGGAAACAGGACAGCGGTCATAGAATCGAAGTTGAGGACAGAGCACAGCTCGGAAGAGAAACGAAAAGAGCATCAAAAGGAACTTGCGCAGCAATTGAACGAATTAGCGAAAGCTCGGTTAGCGCAACAGTCTGGTGGAAAAGAACAAGAGAAAATACGAAAGTCAACGGTATCGTATAAAAGTCTGAGTCATATGCCGCGTGAATCGGAAGTGAAGGAACTGAAGTTATATGTTGGTACGTACAATAATACTTTCGTATGGGTTATACGATTTAATTCTGTAATTGATATATTTTTTTTTTTTTTTCAGATAAAAAGTACGAAACTGTGATTCTACCAATTTTCGGTATTCCCGTGCCATTCCACATATCTACGATCAAAAATATCTCGCAGTCTGTCGAAGGTGATTACACGTATCTAAGAATCAATTTTTTTCATCCTGGCGCCACAATGGGACGCAACGAAGGGGGATCCTATCCACAACCGGACGCCACATTTGTCAAAGAAGTGTTAGTATAAACGTTCGCTTCAATTTAAATTGACCGTATAACACGTTCGTTTAAAAATTGCACGAACATACGAAACTATTGTATCTTGTTTTATTTTAGAACATATCGAAGTACGAACACCAAAGAACCCGGTGAAATCTCAGCGCCGTCGTCGAATTTGAACACAGCCTTCAGACTGATCAAAGAAGTCCAGAAGAAGTTTAAAAACAGGGAAGCAGAAGAAAGGGAAAAGGAGGATCTAGTGAAGCAAGATACCTTGATATTGTCGCAGAACAAGGGTAATCCTAGATTGAAGGACTTGTACATTCGACCGAACATCGTCTCGAAACGAATGACAGGCGGCTTAGAGGCGCACGTTAACGGATTCCGATACACCTCTGTCAGAGGGGACAAAGTCGATATTCTCTACAATAACATTAAGAACGCCTTCTTCCAGCCGTGCGATGGAGAGATGATTATATTGCTTCATTTTCATTTGAAACACGCGATAATGTTCGGTAAGAAGAAACACGTGGACGTGCAGTTTTACACGGAGGTCGGGGAGATCACGACGGACTTGGGGAAGCATCAGCACATGCACGACCGTGACGATCTCGCCGCCGAGCAATCGGAACGGGAGCTCAGGCACAAATTGAAAACAGCGTTCAAAAGTTTCTGTGAGAAGGTCGAGAGTATGACGAAACAGGAGATCGAATTCGACACGCCGTTCCGAGAGCTTGGCTTCCCTGGCGCCCCATACAGGAGCACCGTTCTTTTACAACCCACCAGTGGATGCCTGGTCAATCTCACTGAATGGCCGCCGTTTGTTATTACATTAGAGGACGTCGAACTGGTCCATTTCGAGAGGGTACAGTTCCATCTGAAGAACTTCGATATGATTTTCGTCTTCAAAGATTACCATAGAAAAGTCGCGATGCTTAACGCTATCCCCATGAATATGCTGGATCATGTGAAGGAATGGCTGAACTCCTGCGACATTAGGTACACAGAGGGTGTGCAATCGTTGAATTGGACGAAGATCATGAAGACGATCACGGACGATCCTGTTGGTTTCTTCGACAATGGCGGCTGGACCTTCCTTGACCCAGAGAGCGACGCAGAGAATGACGATGTGGATGATGAAGAGGAAGAGGAAGATGACGCTTATGAGGTATGGAATATACAGAGTGTCTCAGCCAACTTGATCACTTCGAATAAGGACTTAACGGTTTACATTTTATGATAATTTTGAGGGGTGAAGGCATTTCAGAGATTCCAAGGTTACCTTAATGTTTTTAACGGAATTACCTATGTTTAATTAGAGATATTTCCAAAATAATTTTTAATGCGTACTTACTATCTGGAAGGTATAGGTACTCGAACTGACGCACCTCAACTTCAAAACAGTGATTATTTTGTAAATACATATCTCGTTAACTATCACCCCCTGTATTTATATAATTACTGGACATTTCGTTCGATAATTTTCCACCCAATACATATTTCATTCGTGTAGCCAACTGATCTGGACAGCGAAGAGGAATCTGATGATGATTCTGAATACTCCGAAGCATCGGAAGACATTGACAGTGAAGGTAAATTTCATTTACATGTCACACACAAAGCAGACGTGTACAAGATTATCTTATGAGACCTTTGTTGTTTTTCAGGGGAAGAATTGGATCCCTCGGAGGAATCTGGAAAGGATTGGTCAGATTTAGAACGGGAAGCAGCCGAGGAAGACAAAGAAAGAGGGGACGCACAATTTCGCGACGATTACAACTCTAGCAAGAAGAGCAAGTCGAGCCGGAAACATTCATTATCGCCAGCGAAGAATAGGTAATTTATTGATTTTGAGTCATTCCGCGCGAAATTGAACACTTTTTGGAGCACCGTACTGCCAATTTTAAAGTGTCCATATTTTTGAACATATGTCCATAAAGAGAGCAAGTAGGGCTATATCCTAATTTTTTTTTCAAGTTTTTAAATAGTTTGCCGGTATAAAACTTGGGCGTTTATTTAAAACAATTGCAAAGTAGATAGTTAAAAAATATTTTTTTTTAACTGACATAATTTTTATTTGGTACTTTTATGTCTCCACTGTAAGTACCCGCAAAGCTCATTTCGGTCAGTTTGTTACTTCAATAGTTATGATTAATTGAAAACAGGTTGACCCTAAATTTCAAACAATTGTAAAATCAAGAATTTAAAAATGTTTTTTAAATCCTTCGAGATGCGTTTATATATCGCTAAAGACTACACATATCCAAATTTGAACAAAATCCAAAATGGTGCTCCGAACAGTGTCCGATTTCGCGTGGAATGACCCTTTTACAACTTCCTTCGACTGCGGTACAAATGAAACTCTCTTTCTAATTGTACATTCTTCACGCAGTCATAACTCGAAACACAAGAGTTCGTCGAGTAGTAAAGACAAAAGCAGATCTTCGTCCAGCGGTAAAGACAAAAAGTCCTCATCGTCGGACAAGCACAGGTAAGATAATCATGCTGTTTATACGTGTATGGCTCTGCATGCGCTCCGAGGCTTGAACTTAGAACGATAAGATTTGTTGCGAGACATGTTAAGTTTATGTTTCAACAATTAAAGATCGGATCGATCGCGGAGTGGGGGATCACACAAGAAAGTGTCTCCTTCCAAATCGTCCAGACACAGGTGATCGACATAAATATCCCTCTCGTTGATGATGTTACGGTTGAATTTGATTTTCTTTCTGTCCAGTCCCAAGAAGAGCGACCGACACGACAAACACAAATCAAGCCATTCTTCGTCTAACAGTAAGAAACGATCTCGCGATGACAGCGCTGAAAGGAACGACAGGGGGTCGAAGAAGTCCAAGTAAGTGAAAATATATTAATTGAAATGTCGGAAGGACGGAATTCGTGTACAAGTTGTGGGTGTTGAAACGTCTACAATAGAACGTTTATTACTGTATTATTGTTGTTTTATTATTGAATTAAACGAACGATTTTTGAGTAAATTCTTCAAGCAGAGAAAAACCCAGGACTTATTATGTATTTGTATTTATTATGTTTATTACTATGCTGTATATTCTTCCAGGAAATGAAAAGGATCGTCCTAAGCGTTGGGCACAAAGCACACGAAAATAAAAAACACGAACACCAAGTTGATTCTGCATAAAGCTTTCTTACTCGTGGTACGTCGATTAAGTTATAAGAGCAGTACATTTTCTTGCATTGACTCGTTTAAATTGTTGGCTGAACAGCTCGGCGATATTGCTCGAAAGTTCGATAACCTAACTTTATAGGCATCACCTACACACAGCGGTACAATAATAAATACTTAAACACGTGTGAGCTTGGGTTCGACAGATTTTTCGTAAATTTATCTACGGACATACTTTTATAACCATTTGTTAGTTGTACATACAAAATTCATTTAACTAAGAGGCTTTATCTTCATAATATAATATAGCTACTAACACGAAACAATTTCATTCCATTGTAGGTTTTCTAATGTCCCGTCATATTTGTAATGACTAAACTGCAGATGTTTGTGCCGGTTAATATTCTTAATAGTCTGGTGAAACAAACAACAGTAAATAGAAATTTTTTTCTCTGTAGATTTTTTTTTTTTATCGATATTGAATAGCTGTATTACACGTTATAAGGTTTTTCTTCGTACTTTATTCTTTTAATTGCATACTTCGTAAGTGTATAAACATCAACAGTTTAGTGATCACTTATTATGTTTGTAAATCTGTATTAAAGAAACGAATGGTATTCATTGTACAGGTAGTGTCTGATAACGGATTATGATATTATTCATTGTCGAAAAACAACCATGAATGTTGATTTGTAATTACACGCACCAAGTGGCCGAATAGCTGGTTATACAGGTACAATTGCAAACACTCTCTCAATGCAAGACAATGCGCCGGCGATAACTGTCGTACATAAGATACCCATAGATATTAAGTGGCTAAACGGAGAAAGCTGAAACGGATCAAAAGTCTTTGATAATTTGGTTCCAATTGTTCTGAGATTTGTACCTTGGTAAACAAAATAAATACTTTTTAAGTTAATTGTCCATTAACGTATGAATAATTGTCGCTGATTGTAAAGTGTTTTCCATATTGACTCAAGAAATTAAATATTATACACTTCTAAAGAAATATTGAAAATTAATCCATAGATTTTTAACTGTCTAGTACGAGAAAAATGCTGAAAAAAAAAGAGTCTGAACCACCTGTGGGCTCCTCTTCAGATGTCCAATAGCGTGAGGTATGATTAAAAATTCATTCATCCTCGAGATCTTACGTAACGAATTTCCTGTTAAATTTGAGCAAAGAGGATGGAAACGTCGATAGATTCTCAGCAAGGAGAAAGTTTGATGAAAGTGCAAGTTTTACGAAAGAATTTCGTAGCCTTGGCTTATTTTCATCCCTTTTTTCAACGTGTTTGGTAATCAACGTATCTGGAATGAAGCTAATTGATAATTTGACGTTATGCTAAAATTCCCCGACGATGCTGCGTAATAAATGTCGAAGAAGAACTGTTTCAACGTGAATGTAGGAGAAGTGAAAGTGTACCTACCGGGTAGCGGTTCTGCAGCTTTCTCCACATCACCGGCTACATACATAATTCCTATGGATTACTTCGTCCAACGTTTCACAATACACGAGTGACACATTTTTTTCTCATCGTTACAGTTAACGATGACACTTTCGACATACATCGTAGAACCATATTTTTTTTATGTATAATATATATATATTTTATGTATAACCTTGGGAAAGATGGTATTTATATGGTCCCAATGATATTTCTATCTATTACAGATATTAAATAGGATCAAATATTTATTATCAATACCTATAAATGAATCTCAGTTTCTAATGTTTTTTTTTTAGAGAATATTATCATTTCTTTTACTTATATAAATACTAAAATATCTGAAGAATGCTTAACGCGATCTAATAAAGAACACAGGTTACATTTTCAAGTGTTTATTTACGAAAAGTGAAAAGTCTTAAGACATTAATAATAAAAAAATAAAACCGTGTAAAAAAAGAACACATTATCGCATGTCATAAATATTGCTTATATACTTAGGGCTAATGAGTTTTTTACAAGGAAATTTTTTATGGGGCACCAGAATCTGTTCTAGTGCCGCCCTATTTGGTCGATCTGAGACTGAAGGTTGTTCACTACTTCGGGTGGCACGTGGTCTCCCAAGATTTCGAAAAGATTGATCTTCTGGTCGCCGGGGATCGATTCGTACGCCGCCAATTCGATACCTTCTTGTACTTTCTGTATCGTCGCGTCTTTCGGAATCAAGTAAGTATTTTGCGCCTGTTTTATGGCCTCGTTGCTGAAAATCTGGCCATCCTTTTGGGGAAACGCCAGGGCCACTCCTACCACGAGCAATATCGCCAGAAACGTTATACGAACGGCCATCTAAAAGAGACAGAGATAGACGATTTAAATAAAACACCTATATTTAATTAAATTATTATTACCACAAGTGTTTATATTTTAATTTTTCAATTTACGACAGATCTGACCACTAAAATTTTTGTTGTAGTTTCATTAGTGATTTGTTATATAGTTATGTGCCTCTAGTATAATTATATACTAAACCACTAGTCTCTATGTATGATTAGTGTTTACTTTGAACCAGGTATGATTTTGATGTATTATGCCATCAAAGCTACAACCGAAACTGATACATTACCGAACACCGAAATAAATACCGGTATTTTTTCGGTTTCTAGAAGGATAGGGCGAAAGTACAACCGAAAGTACCGGTATAATACCTAAAAGTCCCTGCTTTGAACATCGAAACCTTAGAAATCATAATTTATGAAAATAATTATAAGTTATTATATTTTTTAGTGATCCTTACATCATAGCTTCGACAAACTAAATAATTTTCGTCTCGCAATATATATTCTGTCCGTATAGCAATTAAACCTAATGCCCAAGTTTGGCACGTGGATCGAGAAGTTTCCCGCGTTTCTTCATATGGAGAAACAGGTTGAAATCTGGAGCGATATTTATCGTGTATTTTATCATTATGTGAGAGGGATGCTCGATCCGGTTCTTGCAATCGTACTTCTGACGCAATTAAGTGTTCCTAAGTGTATAATGAATGAATAGGTTTAAAAATGACAGTGATGTGCAAGTGTAAACACATTTTCAGGTGGTAATATTCGTTACGGTTTGCCGTAATTGTGACATGCAACGTTCAAACAACGATTCGTGTAAACAAATTGTGGAAACTTGAATGTTTTGCATTAGTTTATTCGTGACCCTTGCATACCGATACATTTTTCTGAACGTGATAATGGGTCACAAATAATTTTCTTCTTTATAAGGACGCTCACTTTCACTTGCAGCCTCTAGCGAGCAATAAAACCGTTACCAGACGAAGGGATTAGACAAACTTACGGGTCGTTTCATCTCAGCGCTTTTTTTTTTCTTTTCAACGGAACCGTTTGTATTTACACGAATAATTTGGTCATTCACGACGAACACCGGTGTTTGATGGAAAAATATCGGTAGAAAAATGTGTACACACGGCGGTCAATGATCGGTCACAGGTGTAATAGTGGTTTACAGTTTTTATAAAGCTCACGTTAAGTGTACCGTTCGGATTCAATGAAACGTCGTAGGTGAAGTAAAGAACTAAAAAAAAAAAGTAATAAACGAAGCAGAAACCTGTTTGTATACTACAGATAAGTAATGTATAAGTCCAAATTTAATGTGACAATATGTTCAATGCGGTTTTCATTTTATTCAGATACTGACAGAATCTTTACAGTAAAGAAATTTTTTAATTGATTCTACTTTTTATAAATTATTGAATAAAACTCCCATGTTTGCATATACATACAATATCACTGTTTTTGTCGAACCATAAATTACTGACAGTATAAACAATCAAACATGGGTATAATTTCTTTTTTAATTCTCTACCCACTTACAAACGTTTATTTTTTAATGCAATACCTTCCAGGGGTCAGTTTAATGTTTGCAAAAAGCAATGAACGTTGCAAATGGTACTCACGTCGAGAGCGTAGTTTCTCAATCGGTCGCCACGAAGCGAAACTAAGCGCGGCGCCGGCAGTTGGCAGCTTTTATACTCGAGATGGGCACACCACTCTCGTTCATCCAGCGAGGATCCACCTTCCAATTTGTTCAAAGTTACAGGAAGAAGCGCTAGCGTTGACCACTTACACTTTCGATCGCCCAGGTGAACCGCAGCTCATCCGTTCTTCCACTCAGATGCAATTAACATGATATCGTTACCGACCGTTTCCCATAATTTAGAATTTCATAGATTGCATAATTTCTTTACAAAAAAAAAAAAAAATTCGCGATTGTTTTGAAAGCATCGAGCGATGCTACTATTCTCAGCTTTTCTCTTTACGCGTTTACGAATACCATCGATTGCTACTCGCCATGAATATTAGTGGCCCATTGACCAATTTGTGTAACCGTAGACATCAGATTTACTGGTACGCCTTTATCGAGGTTTCACTTTTACCATTGTTATTATGGAATGATTAAACTTGTGAAGTGGTATTTGGTTGTTATTATTTGCTCTGTAATGGAATCTATAGATCGAACGATTTATTCATCAATAAAGGATACATCAAGTTACATGTTCTCGCATGTAATGCACACACATCAATAAGAAAAGTGAGATCGTTTATGGTAATCAGTTGATTGGTTATTCAATCATATATCGGTTGAACATTTTTTTTCGGTAAACGAATAACAATAATTTCGGTAATCCAATTTTACACCGTATACGCTGGAAGTTTGGCGGAAAGTGGGTTTTGCATGTCGATTAAAAAGTAAATGGTACCAGCCAGGCCTAAAATAATATGTAAATATGTGTTATTAATTGGGAAAAAAATGAAAATTCTATAATATGTTACCTTCGAATAGGGAAAATTGTCTGTCAGGGTTTGTAGTCATGTGTGTTCCGAAATCCATGCACCACTCGGCGAATTTACATGCTCTGTACAAGTGGCTTACATCCTGAAACAATATCAGTAATTTAAGAGTAAATAGTTTTATTATTCGTCGGCTGTAAATATAACCTACATCTAGTCTAGTATAAATTTCGAACCTTTGTATGTTGGAAGAGGCATAAGAATGTGTAAGCATTCCCGGCTACTCCGTGACATATTCCGTATCCCTTTTTAAGCAGTCCTCTTTCCCAAATCACTTCTCCGCATTGTAAAGCAGTGTTCAGGTATTGTTCGTCTTTGAATACCTGTTTAAAGATAATTAATTACTTTCACGGGACTTGATTCTCATAAATATTATACAAACAAAAAGAACAGCCTAACCTCATAAGCTAAACAGAATAACATAGTCATTCCAGGTGCACCATGACACCAATGCACTAATTTGTCAGTGGTACTTCCGTTCGAAGATGGAAAGTTTCCAGTGGGATACCGTAACCTTTGAAGAAACTCTAAGGCTGGCTTTATGTCATTTTCTAATTGAGACTGCGTTAGGTATGCTCGTGCCTGTAAAATACGAATGTTACAGTACATTCGATTTTTGAAACTAAGGAAACAATGACGAGATTATCATACTTGTAACAGTAGATAAAGTATTCCACCTAATCCATGTGCTGCACCAAGGTATTCTGAATCATGCCAGGCATACATTAAAGGTGTTTTGTATTTTGTTGACGCAGCGTATATATTTCCGGATTTAATTGTGATTGTGACGACCTGATAAAATATTTTTTAATTACCATAATTAATTCTGTATTAGATGAATGAATTTTGCATCTTTAATTTTAATTTTGGTACCTGCTTAATAATGTCGTCTTCGACAGGCGGCGGAGATATGTGTGAGTTTACGAATAAAAGGGCAAATAGATATCCAATCCTTCCATAAAGCAATTCATCAGATAACTCACTGCGTTCATCCAAGACATGAGATGACAGTGACTTTAATCTGAAACAAAATATACGAATTTCTAAATCTATGTTTTGCAAACAAATAAAACATACATACCTAGTTATCATATTTTCTGATTCCTTCTCATTGCCTTCCGAATGAGAAACAACTGCATGTAAAGCTAGCGGACCCGCAATGCCAGTTACAAATGTAATCTCTCGTCTACCTCTGAATTTACTTACACTCGTTCCTAACAATTTTGCTGCTTTCTGCAGAGAAAGACAATTCTCAACGAAGCTAACCATTTTATTTTATTTGTATGGAAGTATTTAAAGATACCTACACGAATATAAGCAGGTTCATTAAAACATTTTCCATAGTGATAAAACATGTACGCAATCCCAGCAGTTCCAGTATATACAGAATTATCATGATCGTGTATCCAATGACTTTTCTTCTCTTCCAATTGATACAATAATTTTTTTGTGGATTCAGATAGTGCTCTTTTAAAATATTCATTAATCTAACAGACAGAAAACATGTCAGTTTTTTATACAGTACTATTCACAACAAGTATGGACAATTACCTCCTTTGTGTCACGATTTATATAAGGTATCGATGTAAAATCTGAATAATCTTCCAATGGATTATCATAGTACCGAGTGTCCTCCATCTTAATTTGTTGTACACTGTTTATATTTTTCGTAATCCAGGTCTGTTCTTTCCGCAATTTACATTTGAAGCTCACCTGAAATTACATACGTACATATATAGAAAATAATGATATAATTATGTATGTTATAATTATATGCATTTAAAGATGTGAATTTCCATAATTATCCAGAGTCCAGACATTTCGTTACATATAGACTTTTTACGTGCATTTGAAAACTACGCATAATTCTATAACAGTTAAACTGCGTAAAATTATAAACTTTGCTTAGATCTAGCGCAGTAGTAAAATCGGGCAAGCTGAAAAGAACACAAGCTTCGAGCGTCGGAACCAGTCGGAACATTCATTCAATTTAAGGGATCAAAAGGGTGATTAGGCGCTCAAACGACGTTCAGTGCCGTACAGTGTCAATTAAGATCCAAAATACTTTTTATTGTCGACAACGTACAAAAAGTTTAAGTTCTTTCGAATATTGTAAATATTGAACTGAATGTACAGTTACCCTCGTAGTTAACGAACTAACTGCAGTTAGTCGACCTTTTCCGTTTTATTGCGTCGAATCATACAACTGGAAGCCGCGCACGGTCTGTGTGCAACGGACATCAATAGGTACCGTCGCTTAACGCAATAATAATTTACGACCGCGTTTATATCTTCGCAAAAACTACACCGGTTTAACCGTGAAGAGTCAAGTAATGTATTTTCTGTCGGATGATAGTATTTCATGTATTATAGAAACAATATATTGTTTAACAAGCGCAACGTGTCAAACAGATTTTGAAAGAATATACATTTCTATGATTACATTAAAGGAAAATCAATTTGATACCGTAATCCGTTTGGAAAGTATGTTTTGACGTATAATCATCGACAAGGTACAAGAATAGACCTCACATCCAGCGTTCTTTCTTGGCCAGATTTTACGCCATTACTATTCTAATGTCAATATCCGACGTTATCCATAAAATCATGAATCCTGAGTATTGTTAGCACAGATGGAGCATTATATATATATATGTATTTGCGTGCAAATTATCGACTAACCTGTCTTTTGAGGTAGATTGAAACAATTTGTTTTAACATAAATACGCGTAAAAAAAGTTAAATAAGAACTTCAATTTACGCGACAGTTTTAACAATAGACTGTCATCGTATGTATACACGGTTGCACAAAAATAGTTGCTCATCCCCAGTTCCACCCAGTTCCGTTCCTTGAGAGACTGCTGAGAGATTTTGCCAGTCAGCATCACTAGCTACGATGCAATTATTCCATGGTGCAAATCTCAACGCCACCCTCCGATGTGACGTTCGTCTGTAAATTAACTTGTTTTGAATTTTAAATTTCTACTCTACTATGCTATTATTTATATTACTTTTTACAGGATCTGTACACTCACGAGCAAACTCAGCTTCCATTAGGGGAAAAAGCGGCGTAGAATAAAAGTCTCCTACCACTTAGTAAATTTATTCCAGGTATGAAATTAATGTTAAATCGAATGTTAATTTGACATAAATTGCAATAATTCCCGATACCAAATTTTAGGAGGCCCTTCTCCAACGCCACTTTTTCCCCTAGCGGAAGCTGCATTTGCTCGTAGAGTACATCTCACACACAGGGGTCTCTTATGCATGTACGGGGGTTCTATGACCCCACTATCTCCCACACACGGGGTCTTTTCTACATGTCGGGGGTTCTATGACCCCACGATCTCACACACATGGGATTTCTTATGCTGCTCCGTGGCTTCTATGACCCCTCCAACCAAGCTACAGTAGACATTCGATTCCCGCACGAGTTGGAGTTGTAGAGGGCTGAATTTTCAGGAACCGTACAGGAATCGGTGACCAGTTACCCGAACGCTTTCTTTACCACACGGCGTTCAGTTGTGCGACCAGCGCATATGGGGTGGGCTGGATATACGTACTTTACAGTTATGTTAATTATCTCCGTTCTTTTTAGAGATATTAGAAAAGTGTATTCACAGAAGTTTTTTAGCATGAAGAGGGCTATCACCAATGTTGACGAAATCTTGTGGGAAATATATAGTGTACGCAATAACGTAACAACAATCGTAAGATACCACCCCGTAGAAAGCAACAATAACATTTACATATCGCGCTAGAAGAAATTAGCAGGATTGTCCACAAGTATCGTATATTTAAATACTTTTTTTACAAAATCATCCGATGTACCGACGTAAAACGTTATTCCGATTCCCTTCCATGATATTGATCATCCAAACGATAATGGAACTGGGCGATATCCGATACATCAGTTTGATCACTGCGATCAAGATCGAGTGCTGCAGAAAACCGGTGGTCACATTCTCTTTTCCGATGGTCTTTATCGCGCTTCGAACGTATTTCTCGGGTGTTGGGACCATCCATCCCGGTCTCGGTGATTCCGTCGTTATGTACGCTTTCGTAGCTGCGAATACGGTCAAAAGAGGGCTCGGCAGGACGGCCACCATGGAGGCCACGTTCACGATCACGCCTTTACCCCTGACCACCATTTGCGGCAGCAAAATACGACACATGTTCGTTACGACTACCACGTTGCAGTGGACGATGCTCATATAGATTTTCTCTTTATGGGGAAGATCGAGAAAGTATTCCGGATGGGGATACGATATACCGAGGTTATTGATCAGCACACCGATCTCCAGACCGAGCATTTCCTTCTCGATCACGTTGTACGTTTCCAGACCCTCCGACAGATCCAGCTTGATCACTTTCGTCTTGACGTTGTACATCAGCTCGATATTCGTCGCGATCGTTTTCAAATTCTCCGTGTCTGGGCTGACGAGGATCACGTTCATACCGATCCTCGCGAGTGCTTCCGCGTACGCTCGTCCAATACCGTGGGAGCATCCAGTGACCACCGCCCATTTTCCCATCGAGTACAAATCAACGATTGGGGCGGAGAAGTAGCTCTTGTAGATTTTGTATATGACATCCCGAGACAACCTGTATCCCCAATATATGATCGCCGCGTAACCTATTTTATCGACCAGCATAATTTGCGACCGGTGAACGTTTCTGGGGTACGTTTCAGCAATGCATGTCAGCGTACGATGGATTCAACGATGAAAGAAGAGTGATTCCGTTCTTGTCATCACACGTAATTCGAACGTAATTAAAACGATACGTTTGTGTGTACTACGTCTGAGACACCTGAAACGATGACATGTTCAGGGGTGTACAAACAGTCGAATGGAGGGGAACGGAAGTATCCTACGGGTATGGTCACGCATAACATTTTCAATAAAAAAAACTAGAAATAATATAAGTTATTAATCGTCGTTACTTTATAATAATCGCGTATGTTTACTACCAGGTAGACCAAAATCGTTATCATCGCTCGAAAAATCTACCACATCCGCCAAGTTTCAATACAATGAAGATTTTCGTCCGGGTATGTTATAACAACGTTCACACAATTCGTGAACTATCTTTCTTCCTTTGGTTTCATTTGCTCACATTGACGATAATTTTTAAAGCGTATCAGAGGGAATAACACGTATAAAAACACAAAGACGGTTTTTTCTTCTTGTACCGTGTTGAAGGAAATAATTTATATATTATTTATTAGTACTTGTAAAAAGAACTACACTTAAAACATATAAAAAGAAGGATAGCGGTTTTTTTCTTCGATCGTGTTATTTCAAAATCATGTAATAAAAGAGTAGTGTATTTGTAACAATGCTCGACACTTGAATTCCATCAAACGAAAGAGATAAAGGACCAACAATAATATCTTATTCTATCAAGTGCCGTACCATTTATACAAGACTAGAATAAACTATTATGTAGATATGAATAAATACAATCTTATTTTATTTCGTAATTTGAAATTTACGTATCTATCAACAGCGGGAACGAAAGGGTTAACAAATAAACGCGAGAGTAATTCATTGATCGTCTTGACTCATCGTTTATTGCTTATCTGATCCTATTTGTCAATTCGTAGTCGCAATCGCCGTAGCGATCGCGGATTCCCGTTGTTTTTATCGATCCCCGAATCGACAACAATTCAAAACGTCACATTTTCTGAGTGTCAATGGTCCCCAGTCGGTTGCGACAGCACATTCTTCGAGGATTTAAAGATCATGCAAATCCATTCGAAAAATAATCGTGTCATCGAACACCTCTAATCGTGAATCACGTCGTCGATTGTAATTATTCCCTCGTTTTTTTTATCGATGATAAGACGAGAACAGGGACAGCGCCAGAGGCAGCGACGGCGATGTTGTTGGTCGGCAATGTGTACATTACTTTGTCCTCAAAGACACTTCCTTTCGGGTGGTACGTCACTTGCGGTTTCATTATACATATGTATATCAGGGGTCGCTCCCGTTACAAATCTAGAACACGATAATCGTTATCGTTATTGTTTCGTTGACCACCGACACGCGAGGACATACCCGCAGGATCCACCCAGGGACGTCCAAAAAAAAAGGGTACGTGTGCCAATTATACCAGTGTCTAACGAAATATTCGAAGGATTCCCGATTTTTTTCTCGATCTAGTGAAAATACCATTGGAAGTCAACGATGCAAGGTCCTATTCGACCGGAATCCCACGAGAACCACCGATTGGTCGGACAGAAGACTAAAGAATAATACCAAGTTCGAGGACCGTTCGCAGTCTTCACGGATAAACGGTTCGAGGCGGTTCGAGTCGATCCATCATCGCGTCTCTTATCAGGATTCAACGATCAGGGGGATAGACTGTCAGTGAGTTGACACATGGTATATAGACGATTGTTTAGTCGTAAAATCATCGTTTATCCTGCACGTGGTTTTCGTCCGTCCTCCGTGTCGATCTCGCGGAGGACCCCAAAAAATCGATTTTCGTGTGTGACGGATATTCGTCGATTTCCGTGTGATGAAAAAACGGTGGACAGAAAATGGAGCTCGTGGATGATAATGGAATTCCGGAGGATAAGCTGGACGCTGTGGAGGAGGTGGTTATCAAGGATGCCACGGTGACCGTGGACACCACCGACAAAAAGGCCCAGCCGTACAAGCAATCGAACACGTACGCGGCGAAGAAGACCGTCGCCCAGGGTATGATGGACGTTGCTCTGATCACGGCGAACGCGAATCAAATGAGATATCTGATCGAGTACCAACGCGACAGCCCGACGTTCTATGTGATTCTTAGCCTGATCATAATCAGTCTGATGCTGCAGGTAAAACGTCCACGGGGCGCGAACAGGTCCCTGATAGCAGAAAACGCCTTGAAAACAGCTTAAAGGCGCCTCAGACCTAAAATAGCCGTAAAATAGGCGTCTTCAAGGAGTCATTTGCTATCAGGGGTGTGGTTAAATCGATACCGTTAAGGTATCGATATATTTCATTAATACAGTGGATGCTCGATAGACTGCGGTTTTTATGCAAAATCACATGTTTTGAAGTAATTCAGAAAGTTAAGAGCAAATGTAGGCATTTGTTTCTTATTTTAAGTATCTTCAGGTAGTACATGACGCCTTGATGACGTACATTTTACGGCTATTTTAGGTCTAAGGCGCCTTTAAACCGTCTTGAAGGCGTCATGTGCTATCTGTATGTATATCAGCGGCGGATTAAGGGGGAGGGGGGCTATAGCCCTTGGCCGCCATTTTCAGGGGGGGGGGGGGATCTGAGCCTTCCGTTTGTGTCACAACATAATTAAATAAAATTTTGTTTACTATTTCCCATTTGAAATAATTAAAAATTGTACTAAATGTCGTAATAAATCGGTTCAAAATTGCTAAAATATAACAAAGCATTGTTCGTTATAATCAGGCGTTCGTTAGGATTAAATGATATTTAATTTTTCATAGAATAAATTTCAATTTTTGAAAGCCGTTATTTTCTCCGTCTGCGTAGATTGCCGTGGGTGTCAGCCTGATTTTCAAAGGTCGTTTCGACATAAAGGGTCAATCGAAGTCGTTGAACGCACGGAGGATCAACAATTACGTGGTGGTCGGTGTTTTCCTCATAACGATAATAAACGTTTTCATCGCCGCGTTCAGCATAACCACCACCACCCCGTTGTCCCAGCAGACGCAGATCGCGCAAATAACCCAGACGTAGCACTTCGAACGATCCTCTCTGATCCGATCTTGTGATCCAGCCATCCAGCTCTCTGATATTTTCTCTTTTATTCTTCTTTTTTATTATTATTATTATTATTATTACTATTGTATGGTACAGTAACATTGAAACACTTGTATACTTTTGTTTCGTTCACGATGACCACGATAAGATAGGCGTGACTGACCGTACCGGACAGATTTATTGTAGTTTTGTAACTCGTGGAGATTGCTGCGCAATTACCGATAAAGTTTCTATTTAACGATAACGCTGTTTTGTCATGTTTTTTTAATAAACCGTGTTTGTTTTTTTATTGCGACGCGTCAGTTTTTCTATGCGAACGATAATTACGAATTAATAAATTATTAGCTTTGTTCATGCTCGTGTGTATATACTGTCTCCTTTGATTGTGTAATACGGTTACATTGCTCAAATCTTCATTATTCGGGATAATATCGTATGGGTTATCAGTCAGGGGTGGGGGGGGGGCAATGTCATTTTTTTCCTCTCGAAAGGGTGGAGGCAAAATCTAATTTTCTTCTAGGGGGGATTCAACTTTTTTTCTTCTAAAATAGTGTAGAAGCCACTTTTTTTTGTTCAGAGGGTGAAGGGGGGCAAGGGCCCTCCTCTGGCTACGCCCATATCGTGAGTATATAGGTATATATTCTTTCTATTACGTTGGCGATTACGATAACTGTGTTGTGAAATGTTCTAGTATTGATTTTTCATTTGATAAAAAAACAAAACAAAAAATTAATGAATTTCAGGAACTATAATCCAACGAGGAAGCTACCTAGAACAGCTTAACTAACTTTGGATGTGATTCTTTTATTACATACTTCGACACCAATTTTCATTGCCTTTTACAGAATATTCGGATTTCCCTTTCAAATTTAAATCCAGATGACTTTCTTTTCATTGTTCCAACAAATCTGAGATGTTATGAGCTAAATTTTTTTTGTTTTTTTAATATTTGGTCATCACGTATCCGGGTGAGCTCTGTAATCTCATTTCCTCGTTTTGTCCTCGGCCACAAGGTAGCAGTAATACCCAGTCCGTGATCGTTGAATAAATAATATAACCATTATTTCAACGCATACTCAACATTCCTATAGGATCTATGTAAGTAAACGTAAGAAATTACAAGTTTCCTCCGTTTGCTACAAAAACCATTTCCACGAAAGTGTCACTTTCGTATTCTCTTCTGTTCTTTCCTTTGTTTAAAATAACAAAATAAATCCAATCGCATGTCTCAGTCGAACACAATTCGCGCTATAAATTATCCGTAACGGTAACTCTTGGATATCTATAAAAAAAAAGAAGTCGTCACCCGAGTTCTTAACTGTTCTAACTCAATTTTTCACAAAAAAAAGAAAAAAAAAGAAAAAAAAAGGAAATAATTAATCAATCTAGCCCTCTGTTCAACCGAGATAACCACAAATATTCTTTTAAGTCCTAACTCCGAAACGTCGAAAGTTTTTCGGTATTCCCCGTTTGGAGATAGAACACTTCAGAATCAGAGCGACGAAATCATACAGTAAAAGGAAGTTGCGTGTTCAAGTAAATTCTCGTTTGGTTCTATTTTCTTCTCATCATGTCTTTTTTTTCTTTTGTTTATGCTCCTTTATAGCTTCTTCATATTCGATAGTCGCAATACAAACCGGCGACGATTTGTAATCCATGCCTAGACACGGTATACATTCGAGAGAGAGAGAGACGAAAGAACGTGTATGTATATGTATATCACCCACGGAGCGCACGAATGATTCGTGCCGATCGGCGTGCCAGCGGCTTACGCGCCAAACGGCACGAATCATTCGCGCGAGAAGGAGCGCGCCACGCACGTAAGCGTGGACCAAAAATACACGTCCGTTATAATTCTTTCTTTTTTTTTATCATCTTAAATGCAACAAATATCTCTAATGCATCTTTAATTATCGCATCACGCTAATTTTCGCCACGATCTATCCCATTCGTGTTTTTCGGATACATTCTTAGCGTCCGTTACTATTACACTTTTATAACAAGTCTTCGTTAAAACATTCCTCGCTACTTTCTCTTTATTATAGTTCAACAAACAGTTTTATAGTCCCCCCCCCTACCCGCCCCTCCGTTTTGAATACGGTCATACGTTGCGCGCTTGATAAAAACGATACCTTAACGGCCGAACGGGGAGGGGCAGTCACGTGACACACGATTTCAACGGTCGATTAGGGATGTTCGATTCCGATTCGATTCTTCAAAAGATCGATTCTCTTGGGTAACACGTCACATGTAATCTAGAATACACACTACTGGCCAAACTATGGGACCAGAGTTCACGATTGATAGAACTCATTATTCCGTTACGATAAAAGTTACGGTATCAGTACATACATGTACAAATCTCTTCCCATCAGTTTTTACACGTTATCTTCATTAAATCTTTGTAGAATAATATTTACCTATATCCCCAGTCAGCCAAACCTGCAAAGCCACATTTTCTCCAGGGCCTGTTATAAACTTATGGCTGCAAGTTTGATGCAAAATTTGCTATAAACTTGCGCACACATTGGCAGCAAATTGGCTTGCGCAAATTTTGTTCCGGTTTTCCCCTCAATTTGACATAGGTCATGTTACAAGACTTTCTGCCAATTTGCTTTACAATTTTGTCAGCTGGCGTTGCTTGTCAATCTTTGTAGAATAATTGCCTCTACCTTTAATTATTACGTGACCTGGTCCCATACTTTTTGCCGTTAGTGCACGTGTTACCCAAGAGAATCGATCTTCTGAAGAATCGAATCGTAATCGAATATCCCTCGATCGAGAGTCCCCCCAACCGCCATTCCGTCGAGAGTGTGCTCGCACAACGGACCCGTACGGTTTACGTTTAGATAATATTGTGTTATAGAATATAATAAAATACAATAACTAATAATTAGACTGCGGATATTCATGCTGTTTCGCGTTTGTCGCGGACGAAATTTACCAAAACAGGAATTCCATAGAAGCCTTACGCGCCTAAATGGGTGAAAGAAGTATCGACACGCAGTCACTTCGTTTTTATTTTTTTTAAATAATTTTACTTTAGGTTATCGTAAAATTTCTATTACTCTACGTTCAATATACAGTAGGCTTACAAACGTATGTTTTCTTATTATTACAGACTTTTCTCATTCTGTATCTACGCAAGGTGTTATAACACTAAAATGATCCGCTTCAGCGGCGAACATATGTGCTCATCTTTGAGCTTGTTCCCAAGTTATAACCGTTTTTGTACTCCTAGCGTGGCTGTCTTTAGCCTGAACGAATAGGAATTACTGGAGTACAAAAATGAACTATAATGATATGAAGTTTATTTTATTTTTTTTTTGTATACTTATATGAACAATTGTTTTCTGATCTCCACTGAAGCGGATTTCGACGTAGCACAAAACACCCTGTATGTATTATTTACCCGCGTAAATACTTCTTTTATCCCACTATATATTTTCCATTAAAGATTTCACAAAAGTTAACATAAAATCCGCAGTCTACTAATAATTAACACGTTCCATTCTCTTCTTTTCTGTTTCTCTTTCGTTTTTTTTTGCTGGTGTGACTAGGATTTCTCCATATTCGGCACGACTCTATCCTGTGCCTCATCTCATTTACTTCCGGCAGACAATGTCTCTCTGGCGATTCACGTCCGCGGGCTTGTCACCTATTATCACACACGTGAAAATATACAGTTCTTACTAGATTGTTAATCGTTAATCTTACACTTATATATATATATATATATATATACTTTAGTAGGATATCTACGAGTCGTTTTGATGTGCCGTTTGCAATTACACCGTTCAACGATGGAAAGTTACCGTAACCTGTACAACGTGATAGTATTATGGTACCCTTTGTGTGACGCTTTCCTTTTCTCGCTTATGTTTTTCCGCTTTTTTTTTGTAATTTTTCTATCATGACGGAAGCCGATCGACGATAAAATTGACAATAATAAATTAAAATAGAGATAGACGTAAACAACAAAAAGAATACGACGTAGGTTCTCGTACCCCGTGGTTCGTTGAGTCGTTTAACGTACAGGTGTAAATGCTTCGAGGCTGTGTTATACTTCTGTACATCAGTTCAGGGTACCTGCTTTGGCTTCATAAGCGACTAGATACAAAGCCGTAATTTCGATATCCCGTCGAAGCGATTCCCGTGACGATAAACGAGACAACGAACAGTACTAAAGTCGAGTTTTATATAATAATAATAATACAAAGAAAAAAGATAAATTTATATGCCGATAAATTTAAGCATAACTTACATATACTTTCGTGATATCTTGACGATCTTCGATTTCACGTACTGTATTCCTATTTTGTCTGCTTATACGTCGGGTGTATAAATCGACCTTGAGTCCCTAACGCAAGAAATTTTCTGATGAACTATAGTTTGATTGTTACAGTCGACCTGTACAACAGTATGCGTGATAGATAATAATAATATATATATACATATATATGTATCTCTGGAGATGTTAAATATAGTTTCTACGAATTAGAACTGTTTCGATGTATCTCTTTATAATATGTACGTAGTTCATTATCAAAATCAATGCAATTTCATAAAGTATTAAGCTTGAAAGGAATCTAATAATATTTCTAATACTTCGTTCTTTTCGTTCCTATTACGACTGATAAGAGTTATTCCAATGAATTTTGGAAATTACACCTGTACGTTTACATTCGTTCCATCGTAAAAGTGCGTCACGCACCAAACTTGTTGCTACACTTAATATTATGCATACTTTGAGTCGCACGAACTGGGCAGGGCAAACCAGGGCAAAGCATATTCTCGAAGTATTGAAAATACAAAACGATCATTATAACTAAGTTTTGTGAACTTAAAATTTACGATTCCAGTAACTGTAATATACATTACTTATAACTTATTTAGTAGCTTTAATTTACTATCTTTACGATACTAATTAAAGAACAGCTTCAATAGACATCGTTCTAATACTTATTTTTATTTGGCAGATATCCAGTGTTCTTCTAGCTGAACAAAATGATAATGTGAAACGAGGAACCGATTCTTTTTACATATAATATCTATTGTGCATCATAGCATTGTTTATCGCTTAACGATACGCTCACTTCGATAATCACACGTAACATTTTCCCGAAACAATACCAGAACCATTATTCTGCCCTTACCTGCCCTATCCACGTGATTGTGCCTTACTTTCTGATAACACATTTAACGGATTCCTTATTTTTTCTTCGGAACATTCGTATATGATTTTCATTCTTCTTTGGATATCAAATTCAAAATCGTTACATTACACATTTACAGTAGCTAATCTGTTTAAATGTTTATCAATAGCAGATTTATCACAGTGGTACATTATTGTATTCCTCGAGTTGTATATTCCATCTGAAATAACATTTCGTGAAGTAACATCATAACATTGTATAAAATTCCCACTTAAGAAGGATTCGCATATCAACTGACCAGAGTTAATCATCCCATTCATCGTCCTCACTGGTTTCACTAGTCGATTCATCACTTTCACTATGGATTGCACTTGATCGTTCAGCTAGAGCTCTTGACAGAGCACTAGCCAGTCCTCCTTGAGATACCGAACTTGTCTTAGACTTTGCTTCGTTCAATACAGGCCTCAACTCAACTCCCTGACGAATTTGTTGCAGTAAAGCATTTCTAGTGTCTGGCGGTGGGGGAGCTTGTTTCGGTTCCGCTTTTTCAACTTTCTGCAAGTAAGAAAACGAAAAGACAAATCTCGACACAATCATCAAAATTCAATGATTTTATAAAAGAACGTTCAACATCGAATACTAACCCTAAGCGTGGTGCCACTTCTGATCGATTCCATGAGCATCGATCTGGGATCAGGATTCTCGTCGTTATTATTATTTCTATTATTATTATTATTATTATTATTATTCGTAGCACTTGTATTGACAGTTCCTTCATCGATGTTTACTAATGCAGGCAACGGCGGTGGAGGTGGAACAGGGACACTCGAATTACTTCTGGAAGGTGGAGCCGGGGCCGGTGGAGGCGGAGGTGGAGGCGGCGGCAGTGTCGGTGCCGTAGTCAAAGAAGGTGGCGGAGGTCGCGATGGTAATGTTCTATGCACTGGCGGTGCACTTGGTGGCGTTAAGGGCGCATGAAGTCGACTTGGAGGTAGTGATGGAGCGCTTCTCGTCTGATGCTATTAAATATCATTGTGTTAATGATCACTCAAAGTTCATGTACACCGACGGGCAAACTCGGCTTCCGTTAGGGGAAAAAATAGCGTAGTTGAAGGGTCGCATACCACTTGGTAAATGTATTTTAGGTACTAAAATAAATGTTAGATCGAATGTTAATTTAAATTTTAGTAATTCCCAATATCTAGTGGTAGGAGGTCCTTCTCTTACGCCACTTTTTCCCCTAGCGGAAGCCGCGTTTGCTTGTCAGGGTACAATCATGCTTACTCGTGCCGTAAGTTCTGTTACAGGTACATTAATACAATAAACTACTATAATACAAATATAGAAAAACGATAATAATACGATAAAGCAATGAATACTCTGATATCTGAAAGAATGTCCTATATACGTATAATGTTATACACTGTTCGGAATTTGTTTGCAGGAATAAGTAATATTATATACAATATACCAACAGGTACTGTTCGTGCAGGAACTGGCGGAGGGAATTCCTGTCTTAGAGGTGCTACAGGGGGAGGTGCTTGTTGTTGTTGTTGTTGTTGTTGCTGCTGCTGTTGTTGCAGTTGCTGTACACTAGGTTTCGAGATAAACGATGAAATGTCTTCTCGAATGGCATTCATGCCTCCGTTCTTTTCAATGAAATCGTAAATAAAATCCCGTGTGTCCCGATTGTTGAACTGATGTTCCGACACACCTGCTGTGTCCAGGAAAATTTTCAAGTGTGGATCCACTCGTTCGATTTCCACGTTATTAGCGTTAAATATCAAGCGTGTTAGATGTCTAAAAATATGAGAAGATAAAATAATTTGTCAGCAACAACTGAAACAAGATTGTTACGACTAGTCTGATAAACGTCAAACCTAAAATTGGATGGTGGCCCTATATCGTCTTTCGTTAATTTTCGTTTAGCTTTGTCCCGTTTTTTCTTTTTACTTTTGTACATGGAACTACTCGAAGCACTTCTATTTACACCCATTGTACTTGGACCTCCATTTAATAAATTAGAGGTCGACCCTGTGCTAAACGCAGCAGGCGATGTACCACCCTGATTCCTCAATGGTAATGTTGCACCATGTTGACCTTCTACCTCCATTTTAGACCGTCTTTGCTGCCTTCTTTGACGTTTTGCATTGAGCTTATCAAGAAGGATATTTCTAAAACAGTTAACAGTTACTTTATCTTTTTGCAATCGATTGACTTTAATGCAGTCTCCTTGTATTTGAAGATGAATTAGAGAACACAACCGAAACAGTTGTTCTTGGTTTCTGATCTGTGAAATTCATTTCAACTGAAATTACTAAAGTTTCAATGGAAGTTACCTTAACGTTACGGCATCTGTTTCACTTGCAAAATTGAAAGCAGCCATTGAGTCTTCAGCTTCAAATGTATGGAAATACATGAACGGTGCTTTATAATCCATTGCATTGTACACTTCATGTTCCCATAACATTACCCTCCTTTGCAGACAATATAAACGAAGGAAGAAGCTACGCCTAGGATTATCCCTAATCAGTGTTATAATACCTGTAGTTTTCTTTATCCATTCTTTATGGGAAGGCGGTTCAGTCAAATATAATTGAATAACTCCTGCCGCTAAACACTACAAGAAACAAAGAAAAATTGAAATACTGTCATTACAAAGTCTTTCAACATTTTATTTGCAGACACCTTACACTTATTTTCCTGAATTACAAAGGGCTGCTATACATATTTCAGGAAAAAAAAACTGTTTGTACAATAATTTGAATACATTCCTCAATATTAACATTATATCTTTATCAACAAAAATATGTTGCTAATTAATAATAGCAAATAGCTGTAACACTGAAAACATGGAGTAGTATAAAATAACGTATAATGTAAGAATAAATAACAAAATTGTCTGTGAATCACAGATAAACTGTTGAAATTATAAAGAACATAAATATCTGTTTAAATCAACAACAGACATATATTACAGGAGTCTGTTAAAAAAAATATACTGTAATCGGTTGATGAAAAATTCTTGCATAGTTATGAGTCCTCTGATGTCATACAATTCACTCATGACTAATTTTAAAGATATGATGTTACTCTTCTAGTAATTTTGTCTATAAAGAAATGGATGCAGAAGGTATATTGTGTACAAAATATTAGTTCCAATTATAAACCAAGACAGTTGAATGAATAGAAAGGCATTTAAAAATTATTCAACCAAACAGATGTTTCAAATAAACTATTACACAGTACTTATATTCATCATTGATCATACGAATAAATTTTTCCTTTATGCCTGAAAATGTAGAGATCTAGCAATATATTCCTAAGAGTTTTTCGAATGAATATTGACGGAATCAATTTTCGAAAAAAATATTATCATTGCCTGTAATGTTAATAACGACAGCGTGGTGTATGACGATATAACGTCAAAATTGAAATGACAGTACGTGTCCGTCCGTGTCTGCCGAACGGACGAGATTTAGGTCAAAATCGGTGCGTTCGCGTGACAGTTGTTAGTAATCGGAATTCGTTGCAGAAGTAATTCTCACCTGGCATCGATTTCCTATTAATTGAAAGACTTGCTCATTTTCTTCCGGTTTTAAAAGTGTCGAGCCTCTATGTTTGTCCATGGTGCCCGACTTCATTTTTAAACAAGGTTAGGATCCTTGCGCTATCGCGCCGTGATGTATTCCTCGCTGCACGCTCTCTCGATCGATAGATTCGCTTTCATAATTTAACCCGAACACAGCCCATTTTTATGCATTCTTACGTGACCCGGTGCACACGTCGACCGTGAAATCCGCTGGATAAAACGGGTCAAACACCGCCCACCGAAAGATATCTCTGATACTATCCGCACAGGAAACACTACCAGTTGATGATGACATTTTCATCTATCCGGTTCAATGTTCCGCGTTTCTTCATTCGATATCTCCTCACTCTTAAATCAGATTGGACCCCGCAGAACCATGAAGTGTTGTTACCAGATTGCGGATTTTATGTGAATTCAGAATTTTTTTTCACAGAAATTAATGTAAATTGAACATAAGTTTCTATACTTGTATTTTTTATTTGTATTATTCATATTATTCTACACTTATAGACATTGTACCTTATAAGTTTTAAAATGAAATATTTTATTTCTTAAAATCTTAAGATTTTTAATGAATTTCATTACATATCATATATTGACACATTAACTTTTGCTATAAATACATAAGATACGACATCTAAATATCGTGAAGAATATGTATTCAAGATCGGGGCTTAAGTTATTTAATATACACAATTAAAAATAATGTTTCAAATTATTTTATTATTTATACATTACAAAGATACATTTTCTGTTTACACTGACAGTTTCGAAGAAGATATCATTCCTTAAAACTATGTATTTCTGTAGAAACATTTTAGACGTATAATTCTTTACATTATTCCAATTTTCCTAGAGAAGCCAAATAAAGAATACTTTAGTGTCGACAACACTAATAAATATAAATGCAATATATTTGTCAAACATATCGCAAGAAAAACAATTATTAGCTATGATAATCGTAGAGAGCAAATTGTATACAACACCCAGCCATGATCTGCGTGTATCGTTCGCAAGTCAAATTCAATTTTTCCCGCGTTTCGTTACTCATCATTGGTCACTATAGTCACACACACTGCAAATGGCCACGGGTGCAACTCACGTAGTCTCAGAGATGCGATATCAAGCGGAATCCTGTTTTGTATGGAAAACAGAATCGTCCACGATGATCGGGGACCAGTGATCGCTGTTACCGTTTGCGTTTCCTCGACAGTAAGGTCACTCGCGATTATTCTGAGGGTCGCGCAATCGAGTTTTCCGCGGGAAAACAATGTCTGGATACCGAAGGGTGAATTACTACGAGCTGTGCAGATTGTGTACCAGTAGCGAAGGCAACAAAATGAACATTTTCCGGGACGAAGGTCGTAGACGGCAACTTCAGTCGAAAATACAAACGTGTTTACCTGTTCAGGTGAGCTTTCTGGAATAACGTATCCTCGTGCTCTAAATTGTCAGACAGGCTACTATTTGTGGACGTTTCCAATATCATAAGTAGACTTCGAATTTCCATATATTTACGGCATATACGATTGTTTAACAAATTTGAGACCGACACATTATGACAAAACTATCCCTGGAAACCGGCAGTGTTTACGTGCAGTCCGTACGTGACGCTGATACTGAGCCGTCGGTTAAAGGATGAGATATTACATGACTCATATGTTGGGTCATCAGTCTCGAATATGTTAAAACTCGTTATACTAAAATATTTAATAATGTTGAGTAAAATCCATGTTTTTTGGTACCGAGTAGAATCCATATTGGAGTGAACAAACTTCTGTTTAACTTCAGTTTCTGTACAATAAATGATTTAGATGTTTACATAAAATTATATTAGTAAAACTTTGATTATTCATTGCTCTATTATATATCAATCTCTGTTAACCATGAACACAATGTTTTGTTGATCTGTGTAATGAAGTCTCTACTACTGTATGCCATAATCCCATAATGGTTTTAATGAATATACTCCTGTTATGGTTTTGCTTCCATATCTTGACAGAAAATCAAAGTTCTAATGTATATGGAGACGACACATTAACATAATCGAGACCGATTACCCAGCATATGAGTCGTGCAATATCTAGGCTATTTAGCAGACGACTCAGTGTATGGGTCACGTAAAGATGATGCGTAAATATTGCCAGTGTGTAACAATACGTCGGTCTCGAATGTGTTACATGAAAGCCTGTTACCTCAACAAAAAGCTCCGTTGGATGATATTTTGGCAATACTTTAAGGTTTTGGAAGAGGATTCCTTGCCAAAAGTCGTCTGCCACGATTGTGTAAAGAAGTTGGAAAATTTTATTGAATTCAGAGAAACCGTTGTGAGCGCGGAGGGTATGTTGGAATCGTATTTTACTTCGTTACGATTTTCCGAGGATTTCCTGAAAGAGGGTAAGGTTTACGTGAAAAGCACGGAAAAAGATAGGCCGACAACACCGGAGAATGATGTGTTGAAGTCAATAGAAAAAGTATCGCCCGCTGCGGCAAATCAAATAGTTAATAATGATCAGCCGATACAGCATCAACAGCCTGTTGTTGTCAGTAATATTAATGCTTCTAACATTCAAATTATCAGTGGAGTTCAAGCAAGAGTGCAGCAGTACAAGTGTGCCATGCAGGTTTGTTAAAAGAGAAAAAAATACTAACGACAAATGTTATTGTCGCAATTAATGTCGTATTAGATAAGATTCATTCTGTATCTAACAATAATTATGTATATTTCAGATGCAGCCAGGTGGTATGGCGGCAGCTGTTGTGGAAGCAACAGCAGAAACGCATTATAGTTATCAGCAACAGACTTCCCAGCAAGTATCCCCTCAATCAAACGATGCGCAAAATCAAATAACAGAACAGCACAGCCCAGCCTCGCAAATTCAGCAAGTGCAAGGTCAAATACAAAGTCACGGTCAAATGAATCAGCAAATACAGCCACAAAGACAGATTACACAGCAGATGAATCAGTCGGCACCGATTCCGCAACAACAAAATCAAACGCAGGTTGGTCAACAACAACAGAATCAGTCGCAGATAACGCAACAGATTCAACAATTGCAAAGACAGCAGAGAGAGTTCGAGAAACAACAGCAGAGACAGCTTCAACATATCGAAAAGCAGCAAGTGCAGATTAACGCGCAACAAGAGTTTCCGATAAAACAGGAACCTCAAGGGCAGGTTGTGCACCAGAATAACAACGTTATTTTAAAAACGGAACCCGAGGCTAAACAAAACCAGCCAATCATACAAAAAGTACAGTCCGACCCCCAGAAAGATGATAACGGTGCACAGAGTGTACAAGCGTTCGCAGCGGTGCATTCGTCGCCGGAAGTATTTTTAAATTTAGGGTTTAAAGAAAGTCCGTTGGTCACGCAAACCGTTCGCGAAGACGCGAAAGAGTTTAAGACGGACGACGACGAGGACGCGATATCCCGTAATTCGATTGGACAGATTTCAGAGTTTCTACGAATCAAATCAGGCCCGGAACCTACATCGTTGATCACGGTGAATCCCCAAGTTATTACTCAATCTAGAGACATCGTTTGTAAAGATTGCGACAAAACGTTCACCTCGGTAAATCAACTGAACAGTCACAGTTGTGCTGGCTCGTCGTTCAATTCAAGGTCTAGTTTACTTCAAACCCTATTAACCGACGCCACTGAGAGTGAAATCAAAGAGGACCCTTTACAAACTAATAATAATTCTTTTAGTTGTAATGTGTGTGGCAAGCCGTTCAAACGGAGAGAGCATCTCTATCAGCATCGAAAGTTGCATACCGGCGAACGTCCATTTGTCTGTACCACGTGCGCAAAGGCGTTCAGTCGCAAAGAACACTTAGTCAGGCATTCTGTATCCCATACAGGTGAAAAAATGCACGAGTGCGAGATGTGCGGTAAAAGTTTCTCCCGGAAGGACAATCTTCACAAGCATCGTAAAACCCACGGCGTGTCTGGTCCGTACATCTGTGAAACTTGTGGTAAATCGTTTGTGGTCAAGCATTATTATTTGATGCATTTAACCACGCATGCGACAACTACCGGCGATGGTGGAAATTGTCAGGATCCTTTGCCATACAAGTGTGATCTTTGTCATAAGGCGTTCTCGGTTAAACAATATCTCACGACTCACAAGCTCAGACACAGATCGAAGAACAGTAACAATTCCGGTCAAAATTCTGTAAACGGTCAACAACAAACGCAACAGACTAACACGACAAACAACGTGAACATAGTAAGTAATAATGTTGCTAGTTCTGGGCCATTAAATGGTAATAACGGACAGTCTAACAATGGATCGACCGTCGAGATCGAGAGTGTTATAGAGAAAACTGAGGAACCGATCGGCTCCTTTGATAATCAGTATCATAATAATATACAAGAATTTCAATGAGATAAGGGGAAGCGTGTCTATTATGTCCTCTTGCCGAACGGTAACAATCACAAGATTGTCGTTGTGTAAGCGAGAGAAATTTTACGACGCGCCAGAATATTTTCTTAACTGGATGTGGCTCTTATTTGAAGATCGATCTTTTTTGTACTTTAATAATCTGAGATATCGATTCGGGTACTATTAGTTTCAACATTTGTGATTCATTTGGTCACAAAGCCGTATCTTCGGTAGCGCAAATGCTTGAAGTGAAATACATTGTATATATGTTTTGCCAGTGGAAGTATTACATGCACACTATTATTTAACAGTTAAAATAATCGTGTGCTGAGAAATTTCAATGTATGATAGTCATGAGGTTGTTCCAATACCTAAATATATATTATTTTTTTTGCTCCGTCGGTTTCGATCATGAAAATATCAAATTAATATATAATAAGAGCATTATACATAATGTTGTATAAAATTAAGTTTCTTTATTATTACAATTAGAATAATATATTGTGAATAACTCGAGTCTTTTTTTTTTTTGTACATTTTAGTTAAGTTTAATCATATTAAGAAAATATTTGTTATATATTTTTCGGTAATATTAACGGAAAAGGATTGACGATTTTTTTATTGTAGTAATCAATTGAATTTGGTATGAGCAAAATTATATTTTGTTTTGTTTTATGCAATATCTTTATACTTATGTACATTAGGCGAATAATCAATTATTGAGATTAGTAAATGAATTTCTTTCCTAACCGGTGATTGTAACAATCTATGACCACTTTACAAAGTATTTTAGGATATATGATTTGTATGTACACATAGAATACAAAACAACATCTAAGACCAAAGAAATTTATATTATGTATAATATATATATAATATTGCATAGTACTTTATAATCTGTACAATGAGTCATTTTCTGACAAGTGAGGGTGTGCCATACAGTGAACTTTGGAAACAAGTGTACATGAAACACTGATTGTCTAAAATTCTTTACATTTATATCGTATATTTGACCAAAATCGAGGAAAATTACGAAAATCTATATTTGTTGGATTGCATTCAGTTTCATCGTATCTGTACGTAATTAGACCATGTTTTGAATTAATTTATTACTTCTTTTTACCGAACTTTTTCGTACCATAAGATTAAAAGGACAGGGGGCAACTGTATCTTCAGGCAACAAATGGTTCCCAGTGTATCGTATTAAATTACATTCTATATACATATTTAAATTTTGTATTTCTGCACAATACGAATAATCCCAGAAATTAATGGTGTGCACGTTTGATAATACCTAGTGAACATCGGTAACGAGCATTAGATAGCACAAGTTTTATGTTGTGTGTTACAGTGCACAAGGATGTCATATTGTTCACTGAAATAAGTACAACACTTCTGTTCGAGTAATAATGCAAAACACTTGTTGTTGGACACATAATAACAAATTTTTTGTTTTCTCAGAATGAACATCTTAAGGTGTAAGAAGACCTTCCATAGTACAAAAAAGTTTATTTTAATTACCGGTCAGACTTTATTTGATCATAAAGTCTTGTACATATATATCGAAACAGAAGTAATGAATTTAAGACTGTGTTTCTATATCACCTGCCGCTAGGTGTACGTTGGGAAGTACATAGATTTATAGTGACGAAATTGTACATAACATGGTCCAGTGAGTAAGACGAAAAACTGTTAGCGCGCTGTTCCTAAAGAAATGGTATTTTCTGCAAAGCACGAGAATGCCAGTATTCGTATTGAAATCATGTAAAGTAAATATTAAATCCAAAGATACAGTGCTTTTATCACTTGTTTACTTTGTGCCTAATCATGAGATGCATGGAAGACAATTATTTTAAACATTTATACTTAAAGCTGCGCGCATCACTTTTAATAGCCCCCTGCTATGTACAACTCACAGCCAATTTATATTAAGCCAGTGCTCTTGATATAATTTCAAAAATTTGTACTTTTCATTTTGGAACATTAAATTGTATACATATATCACTAAATCAATGCTATATTTAAATATAGTGTAATGAATTAAAGAATAATAATATATTTTTTATTTAAATTTTCCCGTATGTATATTTCATTGATATGTACTGTAAAGTTTTATTTAACTCAACAATATATTAAATATGTACTAAAAACCGTACGCATAGTGGATATTCAGTAACCCATTTTAAAAATTACATTATTCAGCTTTGTATTCTTAAAATTTGATATATACGTATAAAGGCAACAGTTCCTTTTTTATTATTTATTTCTAAAATTATGCATTGCATGATACTATTAAATGTACTACTAAACCAACTATAATTTGTATAAAAGAATTTTACATCAAATCATCAATGTTGCTTTGTATTTATTAAAATAGTACAGTAAAAAATTTGTTGAAAAAATTGCAAAATAAATTTTAATAATATTAATTTAAAAATATAATAAACAGAAATTTACTTTCTTAATTAATGTTATTATCAACCTGTAAAAAAAAAGAACGACTCTACATATTCAACATTATTACAGTTGTTCTTTTATTCATTTTATTCTTTTGAGTGCACTATAAATATGTATAAATATCCACAGTCAACTCATGTGTCTTTCATATGGCCGAATATAGATATTTCTTGTGTTACGATGAATTTTTTTCTTTTTCTCAAATAAAATCTATCGTAGTAAACGTAAGTCAGGTTTATATATAGTGAGTTATCAAGTTGATGGAAGAGTGTACTGGAGTGAACGTGATCGCTGTTTTATATGTATTCTTTTAAGAAATCAGGCATATACTGACTACATTATGTTAAAAGAAGTAATCTTTGAAACGATACTTTACCGAATATAATAATACGTGAGTTGTGATATTAACAAAAAGAAAATAAAGGTAGGCGTCACCACAGGTATAGTGACAGCATTTCGTTTTAAGGTTACGTTGTTACTTGTTGATTTTTGCCAATAATGCAACAAATTTCACGATTCGATTAGAGAAATCGTTTTTTACGCATAAAACCAAAGGTTCTAGAATGAAACCTTGCAACGCATTTTACGTTTTGTAATAACAACATTGGATCACTTTCTGAATTTCTCAAATACCCACAGGTCTAATGGGGTATTCTTCGAAAGTTGCTTTTCAATAGGAAACAAATTATTTTTCATTAAACATTTCGTCACACAGTCTGACAGCTTTACATATTTACAAGTGACAATGTAATTTTTCCATTGAAATAAAATTTTCGTAAAATCATGGCTATTACAAACTTACATTATAAAAAAAGTAGTATGAGTGTATTTGGAGCACAGAAGCATTTATTCAAAGCGAAATACTGATTCTGAGTTGGTTAGAACCTATTTACGGAAAAAACTATTTATTCAAAACGAAATACTGATTCTGAATTTGTGAAGTCTGTTTACGAAAAAAGAAAACATTTATTCAAAGCGAAGTACTGATTCTGAGTTGGTTGGACTCTGTGTACGAAAAAAGAAAACATTGATTCAAAATGGTTTTTCCCGGTAAACAGGCTCAGTATTTCGCTTTGAATAAGTGATTCTTTTTTGCAAGCGCATTTGAATTATTCCGCAAAAATGGCTGCCACCACGTGCATCTCCTTACAAGCAGTGACACCACTGATTGGGCAAATTTTGTATAGAAGTCAATATGGCGTTAAACTAACCTGTAAAGTACGCTAAAAATGCTTGGTTTTACATACACATAACTTTTGAACCGGTGGATTCCTAAACTTAAAACTTGCATTTTCAGATTCTACTCGTTGAATACTACCAGGAGGTATAAAAAAAAAGTCAATAATTTTTGGTCCGGAAAAGTAAAGTTTAACCATTGAATTTATTGAAGGAACAAGTGCCTCCGATATCTGATCGTTTAATTTGTCATCTGTACATCTGTACATACATATACATATATGTACTTATTTTGTAAATTATATTTAGTAAAATATTAATTAAATGTTTATAAATGACTGTGCATAAACACGAAAGTCTCTTTGTATATAAATTATTGAACTAGTTTTTAATATGACTGTAAATGTATGAAATGATTCATTAACACATTCAAGACTGATAACCGAATATATGAATCTTAGAGTATCTAACCCGTGTGGCCGATGACTCGGTATGTGGGTCACGTACGTATATACGTCAGTCTCGAATGTGTTAATATATTGAGATTTAGGGAATTGCCAGCGAACAAATATTTTAGCAAATTTAATGACGAATCTATGTTTTCTACACAGTTGTAAGAAGAAAATAAAAATGAAACGCAGCAGGTCTTTGTCTCCTAAACCCTCGAGCAGTGAGGATGATATGAAACGTAAAAGGCTGGAGGATGATGCTAAAACGGATGAAGCAATATTGTATCCACGTATATTAGATTTCTCGGATGATGTTCTTTTGAATATATTTCAATACTTAAATCCTCAAGATCTCATGGCAATAAGCTTGTAAGTTTTGAGGAAGAATGGAATTGCAAATTTTTTTTCCAAATTGATAACACATAATGAAACATGTGTACCTTTTTTACGATCGGTGTGTTACCAGGTGTTGTCAACGATTAGGACAAGTCGTGCAAGATAAAACATTATGGAGAAGAGTGGATTTTCGCGCATCGCCTATACAATTGAATGACTTTTTGAAAGAGTATGTAAAATTTCTTCAACCGATGACAACGAGCCTCGCGATTCGTGGCAGTTTGTGTTCCGAGGAAGAAGGAGCCCTTAGTCCTTGTTTTTTTAAATCTATCGAAACTATATGCACTCAGCTGAAAGAATTAATTATCGAAGAATATTACATTGACGGTGATAAGGTGAAGTTGAATGCTCGTTCGATTCCGTATAAACTAGAACTAATAAACCATATTTCGTTTCGTTGCAGATTCAAATCACAGACATTCCGCGCACCATTGAAAAACTATCGTTAAAAGGCTGCAAGATGGGTTACTTGCGTAGCAATAAGTCGTATTTCTTTAAAATGAATTTCCATATGCCTAATCTAACAGTAAGAAACTTTACTTTACGATCGCATGTAGTTACATGTTATTTTCGGCATTACTTGTATGTTTCACTATTTTCGCTTTATACCATTTGACTTTTATATTTGATTATACATGAACAACTCTATAAATTACAGAACAACTGCTAATACTAATTGAAAATTAAGAAGTACTCTCACTTAATACTCGTTTGGTAGGTTTATTTTGAAATGATTTTTAACCAAAATCTGCAATACGTAATAATGCTCCGAGAATTTGAACAGAAAAGCAGATTGTACTATTCTTTCATTTTTACAATTTCACAGTTTTCTAATTCTTTTGCTAAAAAACGCACAGGCTATTTGTATAATACTTTACTGTTTTTCACCATGTATGCATTTTTCAGTGCTTGATTTTAAGCAATTGCCAATGGTTTACTCCACATTCGCTCCTGGTTATCAGTAAAATGCCAAAATTAAAAGAATTGAGATTAAATTCGTGTCACCGTTTGGGCGAATGCGTTGCTTATACCAGTTTAGCAACACGTTTCGGATTCGAAACATTGGAGGTACACCATACTTCATGTGTGTCTCTGCTTCAAATTCATATACGATTCTACAATAATTGATTAACCGTCCGTCCAACGTTTGTAGATTTTGGACCTACGAGACACAGCACTTGGCGATAGCGAAGTTAGTTGCTTCAGTTGCACTAAAACCTTGACTCATCTGTATCTAGAATGCCCTTCTAGTTTACGAAACACAGAGACAGCGGAACAGGAATCACGACCGTTGGATAGAGATGCATTGTCGAATCCACCTGTGTACGAAGATGCACATGTTGCACAGGTTTGATATACTGATAATATGTAGAGTAAGGTTAAGACGTGTAGGATAGTATTATCTTTTTCTCGAATTTATTATTATTTTCCTTTCAGTTCTGGGTTGAAGATGGATTTAGGTGGGAGAACTACTCGTTTGGGAGTTGTTTAATAACAGACAGAGCTATTTGGGCTCTTGCAATCGACGCGTGTGGTCGTAGGATAATTAACGATCCGGCGGAAGGATTAATAGTTGCGGAAGAGGACAGAGTATTTAACAATCCACATTTAAAAACATTAGTTGTTAGGTACGGTGATGTTAATACATGCCTCAATTAATAGAGAAGTGTCAATGTCAATTTTTTTTTATCAAATGTTTCAGGAATTATCCACAAATTACAAACACAAGCCTCACACATTTGGCTTTATATGCATCCGGTCTCGAGTATTTGGATGTAACAGGTACCTCTGTCACGAAGCGCGGTGTCGAAGGTTTCAAATCTCAGAAAGGAAACGTTAAAGTAGTGTCCTCATTCGACGAGACATAGTTACAATGAACTGCCATGAATCGTGAATTTAGGATGGTTTAAGTGTACGTTTACCGTGTGTGTGAACATTGACGAATAATGTTTAAGGAACGGAAAGTCATTCTGAAGGCTTCGATAACACGGTACAGCTGCAGTTGAATAAATTTATTTTTTTCGCGAACGACAAACAAACAGGAGGATTAGAAGTAAATAGTTTTTTACTTTCACGAGGCAGTGAATGTAAAGAAGAGGCGCGACTTGTTAGGAGAATATTTGAAATTAATACTTCTTAACTTTACAACTTTTGTGTGAACTGTGTTCAGTGTATTTATTCGCAAGTGCTCCAGTTACATTGTATTGTAAATACGTATTTGTGTGCAATTTAATAACGTATGAAATTTTATGTCGACACTTATTAATATAACATAATACTAGATCTCTTTATGGTAGCGATAATGAAACTTCATTATCAGAACGAAGGTATAGAATGCATGGAATATATCAGATACATTATTTGGAAGGGCCGGGGGTTAGTGATAAATGACATTGATAATAATCGAAAGAAAAGAAAAACTAATGGATATCACGAAATACGTTTTTATTTTTCGATTTCAACTCAAAAGACTTATTTTTTAATATATTTAAAAGTAGCTTAATAGAATGAAGAGATAGAGTGAAATGAAAATCTATACGTGGTAATAATATTTGAGAAAATTGTTACTTCGGTAGTTCCAATATCAATGTAAGCTCACGTGAATTCTATAAACAATATTCATGTGGCATCGTCTCGTAAGAAGCATATTTTTTGTCACTTACATTTATGCAAAAGCTAATTCAGATCAGCATGAAAATGACAACTTATCGAAACGTTGTTTCATTCATTTTTATGCCGTAGGAAATCATTCCGATACATTTCCATATTGTTAATGACATCATTGCATTATAATAAAACTTCACATCATTGAACGTCAGTGTCTATTTTTATTTTAAAACGAAATTGCAAAGACATTTACACCTTCAGTTGTTATGTGTGACGAAAGTATGCAGTTTTTACATTGTATCTAATGTAGATAGCCTGAATTATTTACCAGGTGTATAATTGTACACCATAAAATGGTGGTGATATCGAAGTATTTGCATTGTGTGCAAAAAAATACCGCATTGAAATACATTAAAAGAGTAGGAACTACATTTTTCTGTAGATTTAAAGAAAAAAATGTTACACTAGAGGTAATGTCATATTGAATTCCTGTTTTTTTTAAGGGATACGTTTCTATCTCGAATTGTTGCGAAACGTTTCAAGACCACGAAAATACTGTTAGAAAAATGTCTACAAGCTCGGATGTGTGTCTGAGCACAGACGATTCAGTAGAATCTAGTGATTTGAAAAACGGTATACGTCTCGTATGCGAAAGTAGAAGTTCTTATACAACCACCGTAGGATGCTTCTTCCCAGCGGGCGCAATGTATGAAATGCCCGAAGAACGTGGTAGTTCGTTATTCTTGGAACATTTACTTTTCAGGGTAAGAGATCGAACGTACAGAAAAAGTCACGGTTTTATTGCAATGAAACGGAGTGCTAATCTATTATAATTATTTCGATACTTCTCGTTGGAATTTTGTGGAATAAACGTTTCCTATTAGTTTAGCTTGCCATTTAATTTAGCGAGTAATCGTATCTACGAACAAGGGGATATATTTACTTTTAATGTAGAGAACAAGGCGCAAGAGTCAGGAAGAATTGATGAAAGCGTTCGAAGGAATCGGCGCAAGGGTCACTGCTATTACGGCCAGAGATATGTTCCTTTTTTATGGAACCGTACCTTCCCGTGGAACGGCTAAACTAATTAATTTATTTGCAGATGTGATCATGAATAATGTTATACGTAGGTTGAGCGAACACATTTCAAATAGTTTGGTATAGACTGCAGATTTATTGGCGTGTAATATTTGTTATTGTAACAACTACAGAGGACCAAGATGTTACAAGAGAAAAGTGCATTATTCTGCGTGAACTGTCGACAATAGAAGCAGACAGAGAAAAAGTTGCAATGGATTATTTGCCAACGATTGCGTATCAGGGTACAGGACTTGAAAATAGCGTGTATCCTGAAACTGATGTAGTCAAGTGAGTATCAAGATTGAAGCGTAATATGTATGGAATTATACAGAATTACTAGATAAGTACTGTTCACGTTTATATTTGTTAATTGGATTGTCGAATTGTCAGAACATTTTCGAAAGAAACATTAACTGAATTTCAAAACCGTTTGTTCAAACCATATTCCATGACACTGGTCTGCACTGGGCCTATTCGTCTACAAGAGTTAGAGAGAATTGTTTGCAGCAGCTTTATAAGCGACTCAGAGGTTCATGAGAAAGCGCAGTTATGTACAGAACGTGAATTTCGATTCTCAGGTGAATGAAAAGTGAAAGGATTGTACCATCGGCGTGAATAGCTTCTAAATAAAATGTTCCAGGTACTGAAGTACGACTCAGAGATGATGACGATGAGTTAGGGTATGTAGCTGTAGGTGTAGAAGGGCCAGGCTCTAAACAATGCGGAGATTATTACGCACTTAATGTAGCCAAAGAAATTGTAGGTAGCTGGGATAGGTCATACAGTGAGTGACTACTGTACTTTTTTAACGATAAGTATGTTATGAAAGTTACCTAATACTTTTGTATTTAAATTTAGGTGGAGCAAATCATAATGCACCATATATTGCACACGGTGCGTTCAATACAGATTTGTGCCACATGTACAAATCATTTTTTCAGAATTGGGCACAGACTACTAGCATTTGGGGATGTTATTTTGTATGCGATAAAATGTGTCTTGAGGTATACTGTAAATCTGCAAAACTAGATTCGCCGATAATGATTTTTCACCGTTGAAACATTTACGCAGACTATGACTAAAGTACTGCAAGCAGAATGGATGAGATTATGTACAACGATAAATCAGAAAGAAGTATCGCGTGCTGTAAATCAATGTAAAATGAAGGAATTAATGTTACTGAATGATCCAGTAAGTCGTTTCTTCGATATTGTCAGACATTTCTTTAGATATGGATATTACATACCGATTCAACAAAGAATTACAGAATACGAGGTGAAATTTAATTACATAGTAAGTTGTTTAGTGTTGAATTAAACATAAACACGTTTAACGATCATTACAGAAAATAACAGCAGATAGGATAAGGGAAACATGTGTAAGATATATTTATGACCAGAGTCCAGCTGTTGTAGCTCTTGGTCGAATTGAAAATTTGCAGGATTATGTTGTCATAAAAAATGGAATGTATTTATTAAGATATTGAAATTTCATTGCAAAAAATTTAGGTAACAGTATAAATCTTTTCCATATTTTAATAGAAAGTGTAACATATAATTTATAAAAAAAATTATTCTGCAATATAGAGTTAGAAAAACATTGTTACTAGACTGCCGATCTTATGCATCTGTGGTTATTTACTTCCCATTTTATTAGAATTCACAGTCTGTTCATTCAGTATATCAAAAAGATTTCGCTACAATATTTTATTAACATTCATATAAGTGGCATTGATAAAACAATGGGAAAGGGGGAAGATAAGAATCAGAATTGAAATATATTTTCCTACGTATCCCGATTACGAAACAAAATATATTCAAATTTATTCGTGAATAAATTATTGATAGTTTATAATGCATAGAACAAGTATTTGCGCACGGCTATTTATTGTAAATAATTTTATTACTCGATTCTAGTAAACCTTCGGTGTTTTCTTAACGTTGCAATTCTTGCATTCTGTTCAATATATTTATTTTTACAAGACTCACAAACATGTAAATAGGATAAACTAACCAGTGAATGATCGAATTGTTGAATTTTTGTACGTTTGAGATTAATGCTTGAATGTATTTCTTTATAACAACAAAACAGCTATTGAAATTGCAATTACTGGTTGGTTTACCCTAATAAATAAAGGGTTCGTAACAATTCTTTGTATTTATAGCATCGGTTTCATCTGTTTTTCGAGAATAAACGCTACGCATAATTTGATTACATGCGTGTTCTATAATTAGCGTATGAGCATTGACATTGCTCAAGCGCATTCCAAACTGCCGTTCCAAAAATCACAAATCAATGATGTGTAACTCGTTGAAAATTTCGCTGAATTCCGATGTTCGAATATTCCCCTATCGAATATCAGGAACAGTAACATGCGTTCAATTAAAGTGAATTAAAGGCGACTGTACATCGTATAGAGTTACATGCGCGTTGTTAAATCGTATTTAAAGGAAAAAATCGAATAAAATGGCGGGACACGGGGTGGTCCGGACTCCATGGACCGGTTGGATTATCTCGGTTAACCCTGTTCCATGACTGTGGGATGACAGGGTTGAGTGGCGTGGAAATGGTATGGACGAGTATGCGCGCGACCGCGACCGTTAGAAAATTGCGCCATTTTTTTCGTTCTAACCAAGATTATTGCTCGAAGTGTTGTGTCGAGGAAGTGTTGCGCGACGCGTTCACGGCATCGTGACAAAGTGGCACGCGCCGAGACCGATGCTGTTGTGAATATTTACGTTCACGCGAGAACGATTCGCGATATTTGTTTCACGTTACGCAGTATTGCCTGGCGGGGGAGAGGTTCGTGGCACGAGGGAACGTTTTAACCGGGGGGGCCCGTTCTCAGAAAAGAAATATCATTTCTTTCCACGGTTAAACAAAATGTCGGTGGACACTCTCAGTGATTCCGAGTTACGTAGCAAACTGATGGAGTATGGGTACCCGGTGGGACCTGTGACACAAACCACCAGAAAGATCCTCGTGAAGAAATTGAAGAATCTGATCGAAACACGGGGCGGCACAGGCTCGCGGCACTCGTTGGCCGCTAGGTAATTTCAGCATTTGTATCCTACCGATTTCCAAACATTCAGTAACGCGATCGAATGTTTACACGAATGAAGCTTTCGATTTGTTATCCGAACAACACCTTTCTTAGTCTGGTGGTCTCTGATCTTGTTTATATTAATTGACGAACAGAGATGTTCGGGTTAGGTTCGTTTCGATTGAGGTTTTGTGGGATCCGAAAAAGGGACAGGCATTTCTCGAAGAAATACCTGTCGAAATATATTTAAAAAGGGGGTTACAGGGAAATCCAAACAGACTCAAGCAGCAGTGTTGTTACAAATGTCAGAGAGAACTGTATTCCGAGGGATAATATTTGTCTTTTAATAGCTTCTACTTAACCCCTTGTTGGTTAGTGGTTTTGCTGCGAAACCATTGTTCCTTGTTAATTTCACTAATGACTAGCTGGTTTTAAAATGAAACCACTTTTAGCTTTTGTTGATTCATTTTGATTGATTTCATTTGAGCACTTTTTGTTGATTCATTGAGCCCACATGGCTCCACAAAAGAGGTATTACTAAGCCTCTCAACTGCCAAAGAAATAAACATTGAGGAAATGTGTACAGTGTAATAATGCAGATGAATCCCATTGTACTAAGTGGAGGTGTGTACAATGTAAAGTTGGCCTCTCTATGACAGCTTCGAAACACTTTTAAAGCTCAATAACATGGGCATATTTCATGTAGTCTGGTGCAGATGAAGCAATGACACAGCCCAGTGGTTTTACTGTAAAAATCAGGGTCTCGATAATATATTAGAATAATATATTTTTTGAAATTGTATAATTGACATTTACTTCTAAGTATTTGTATGTATAATAAATTATTGTCTTTAAAAAGCAAAACACTTTTTCTTTGATTGGGTCACAAAGAATTAAACGTGTGTTTGTTATGTTTTACAATGTTATATGTTAATCCTATATGATATCTAAAATTCATGTTACGATCGTTCTATTTTATGAAATGTTTTCTGTATCAGATACAGTAGCGAGGATACGGATGACGATTCGAGTTCAACAGTTACGAAAAAGAAAAAGACCACTGGAAATGCCCGAAGACAAACTCTAGCGAATCCAATGCCTCCGCCATCCGCGGTTCTACCACATCCGGATACGACCATGTCGAAGAGTCCAGCTAAAGAGAAAACAACGCATTCTGAATTCAAGGATCCTATCGTACCCGATTACGATAGCTCGTCGACCTTCACCACTCGTACAGTAACGAAAACTACGTCGAAGAAATACATGAAGAGTAATAAGTCATCGAACGTCGGGGATGGCTTAGAGACGGGCTCGGATTCAGACGTTGTAGAGGAAACAAATAGAAGTTATTCGCCGTCGAAATATTTGTCGAACGTTGGAAAATCCCATGACCGTAGGGGCATGTACGAGGACGATCATGAATCAATTTCAAAATCAAGGTCTATACACACCATAAAGGATAACAAGTACAATGATTCGCTTTTCGAAGCAAATCTTTCTCTGATACAATCTTCCAAAGAAGATGTCAGCACAAAAGATAGCCCGAATCAAAGAGATCTGTTGGCAAATTACGAAACACCATTTTTATCTGAATTCACCAGGAGACTTAGTTCACGTTCATCTATAAATCTGCCTTCTGGCGGCTCCTTGTGCAGTTTAAAAAGTAAGTCTCGAATAAGTGAAAATACGTTTATTAACTCCTTGTGTTTACAATCGTGTATCATTATTATTCTTTAGGTCCAACTTTACGTCACACGTCCAATGTACCAGAGTTGAAAGAAAAAGATTCAAACGGTCACTTTTCTTCTATGAGATCGTTATATTCAACAACCAGCCCGAGGTAAGTACAAAATACATTGATGTAAGTATGTGTATATACAGATATTACAGTATTCCGTACATAAATATTGCTTGGTTCAAGGCATGCAACAACATCCATTGATAGACCTCGAGAAACAATGAGTAGAACGTTTGGGTCATCGATCCCAGGCAGAGAAGATATGCGCAACAATCAGAATATGGTATCTGTAATTTTGGTTGTGGTACTTGCCTTATTTTTTGGAATACTTGCTGTTATATACATGGGACTTGGTGGAAAATCGGAAACTTTTCCATCGCTTTCTACGGGTAGGTATTCAGAGTTATAGTATTGTTTTAGATAGCAGAAATATTTGAAGAAGTATTATTATAAAAATATCGGGAAAAAAAAGAGAATGGTATATTTGAATTATCAAGTTTGTGGGAAAGTTTCTTAAATGAATTCAGTAATAATCATAAGCATGTTGTATCATTACATTATAATAGTATCATCAGTATATGTTATACATATTGTAATAGTATACATCATATATTTGAATTCTTCATTGTATGAAAATAAAATAATTATTAACATTGTAATGTAGTACAAGTGAAGTAATATTTTACGATAAATTTTCTAAAGACGAAATTCATAAACGTAATCTGATTATGATATTCAAGAGATCTAAAATGATATTTATTGCATGGATATAGGTACGTCTCATTGCATGGTATTACATTGAAAATCTCGGATATATATACATATATAAAAAAAAATAAAATGCAGGACGTTAGAAATTGTTTTATTAGCTTCGAGAATTCTGTCACACAGTGTTTTAGACGTATTCTTTTATAGACTCTTTTTAAAATCGAGATGTGTAATTGCTTTCGCAAGATCGTATTTGAAATATGTATTATTTTTTTAACGAGTTTAATAAAATAATAAGTATTAACGATGTATTAACTTTGATATTTTATTTCCTTTCCCGTTGCATAATGATTTATTATCCCAATTTTCTGTTGTTCGCTTCGGGTTGTTGAATAATTTTGTAAGAAATTGGAAATTTTAAATTATACAATAACGGATTACAAAATTTCGAAATACAAATTCCCATCACATATTGTATGAATTTTGATGATCGATGTCAGTGTTATTATATATATATGTAAATATATATATTTCAATTTGTAGATAGCAACATACCGCTATGCTTTGTTGGAGCTGACCTTGAAGCACCCGGAGTTAATTGTGTAATGAAAGAAAACGTAGATTCTGTGCTGCAACTATTAAAGCGGCTTCAGCCGATTTTAACGAAAAAGGCTGTGTCCATGATATGCGACAATTCCAGCGAAACTCCTTATCTGACTGATTTCGAAATCATGCAAATGTTCACGAACAATAAAGTGGTACGTTCAATCAATTACAATCAATGTGAAATCATAACATATGCTCAGCTGTACGACATGCAATTATAAGATTATTTTACAGAAAAGTTTGGAAGTGAAAGAGGATTTACAGAATGCACAGTTGCTCGTCATAAAGAATCCAAAGTGGGGTATTTCGTTGGTAGACATAAGCGACGATAACGGCGCACCCGGCGATGTTTTGGATTCTTTGGTATTGTAAAAGTTTTTCCATCGTTTTTCATTTTATACGATATCGATTCTCGGTAAACGTATATAAATTTAAAGCAAAAAAGCCTCCTTCTCTTACAGGATAAATTATTTTCCACACGTCTGAATGGGAAAGTTGGAATGGTGATCATGAACCCGGAGCTGCCGATGCAGTGTCTCGTTAAGAACAAGCTCTTCACCATATTCTCCTCGCTTCTAATTGTGTCACTTGGTAAATGTTTGACCGACTTATTATGGGATGAGATTTGTTGAGGACATAACGGGAAATAATGTTCTTCCATTCAAGCCATTCCGTTTTGTTGCGAACGTGATTTACATTCATTCTGTAACTTTTGTCGCATTAGTAAATTATTACTTTATCGTTATAATAATGTCTGTTATGCGATTTTTCTTTGCCGCGCAAATGCATGTTTTGCGTGATAACGTTAGACTGAGAATACATTGTGTTGTTATTAGATTGCAGGTTTTTGTACAGACTCGTATTTTAATGAACGAATTTGCCAAAAAGAAAAAAAACTAATTTAACACTAGAACTACCAAGCAAGTCAAAATGACTTGTCAATACACTCTTACAACGACGATAAAAATGTTATGACAATATATTTTCTCAGATATTTTGCACTTTTTATTACGATATGAAAGCGATGAAATTAGTCCATTTCTAAATTTCTAAATTTTCAAAAGTTTTTCACGTTTATCCACTGATCAAAGCAAATATGCGTTTATCGTCGGTAGTTCTAGTGTTAAATAAAATTGATTCTCTCTATTAATGGTTTCACTGGATTCAGTATACTTATAGTACTTTATGGTGTCTCGAAGAATGGGGTATAACTGTAAATGTATAAACATCTGCAATCCAGTTACCTATATCATCATCTATTCTAATATTTTCGTAATCGTCTTATACAAATAATATCGCAATATATTCTCAGGCCTCCTAGCAGCTATAGGAATGCAGAAATTGTTCGTTTGGTATATAAAGTACAAGAAAAGTACTGAGAGGGAAGTGTTTAAACTTGTTAGCGAAATTATTAACATGGTTGAAATGCACCATCAAAACACTGGAGTCGCCTCACCGGGCGGTACGCAGGAAAGCTTTCTAGCTATAAGCCATGTACGCGACAATCTCATACCACCCAAGGACCGTAAAAGGATGGCAGGACTTTGGGAGAAGGCGGTCAAGTTCTTGGATGAAAATGAATCCAGGTAAGAAAAAAAGATCAGTTGTTAATCCTGTTTCTCGCCGAATAAGGTATATTTTTGTGCATCGAATAAAACCATCGTTATTTTTCCAGAATTCGAAGGGAAGTACAGCAGGTTGCGGGAGAAGAATTTCACGTATGGCGATGGCTACCTAATAACAGTCTGAACCAGTCGAATACACAGAATTTCGTTTTGAATAAAAAGTCCAAAGTGTGGCAGGGTCAAGCGTTCGAAACCATGGAAGGCTCGGTCAACAGTATAACGTGTTCACCAACACCGTGCCTGAAAATAAGGCACATGTTCGATGCAGACGTGTAAGTGTTTTTAATAATTTTATTAAAACGAACGAGGCTACATAGAGTTCTGACCCTTCATTGAAATAGGCCTCACTTGTTATGAAATACCCTTGTAAATATCATTTATTATAGACCAGAAATTTGGTCCTGTTGCTTGTGATCGGTAATTCATTTTGTGTATCGCCATTTTTGTACGTTCAGAGAGTTCGAGGATGACTGGGAAACAAAGGTACAGGATGCTATACTAGAAAAGTGTGGGGAGGGTGTAAAAATACTTCATATCCGTGTAGATCGTGGCAGCCGAGAAGGTTGCGTTTACATGAAATGTATGTCACAAGAAGACGCGGGGAAAGCTTACAGGGCTTTACATGGATGTTGGTTCGATGGTAAGTACTTAGATGGTCGGGGAAAAGAACATGGTCGTAAACTGTAGCCTGGGTAATTAAAGGGGTCAGGGGATGAAGAAGTTATGTAACATTTTTGTGAAAATTAAGTTTTTTTGTTTTGGTAAATTAAAGTGGGGTGTGATGTTTTTTCACGAGGTATCTTATTTCACTTTGTCCTGTCGTAGAATAAAAAAATACAAAGAGGATGAAAAATGTAACGAAAGGAAGAGTAACTTTTAAACTCTACTAGAAACTTAATATTTGTAATATAACACCTTTGTCCTCTGACATCTTCAACTGTGTTTTTACTAGATTGTTAAATGAAAACAGGATTTCTAAGTCGACAGTTTAACACTTCTAGGTCACTTAGTAACTGTGAAGTACCTGAGATTGGAAAGATATTACGAGAGATTCGCAGATGCGCGCCATTGTACAATACCTTTGAAGCCAAGTAACAATCAACGATTATCTATGCAAGCGGATTATTAGGGCCGCCAGACTTTTTTTTTATGTAAGCTTACAAAATACCTCTTTGCTTGTATATACACGACAGCAAGCAACATTCGAATATTTCGCCGCTGAATAATTGTTCGCGGACCAGAATATGCGGGATACTTCTATTTTTTGGCTCTAGAAGGCAATAGAACTTCATACATGTCGCGCAGAAACACGAAATCCAAGGGACTTGTAATTGTGTGATAATGTTCTAAGAATTCGAAGAGGCAGAGACTTTTTATAACTGTTTTCATTTAGATTTTGTAACGTGTACATTATTATTACATTCTATCATCTTTTATTATTATTATTTTTTTTTTTTATTTTTAAAGAAGGAATGTCGAAAACGAGACTCAAGAATTCAATTATTTATGAAACTATTGTAAAGTAAATGTAAGGATATCGTTTCAAAGCTGCATTTTATGAAGTTTCCAAGTAGCAATATACAAGATAACAATATGCATATCCAAATTATTATAATGTAATATATTCAACTTGTGCATTGAAAAAGATTATTTGATTTATTGTCAAAGTATTCGATCACAGTGCTACATGGTAATGGCTTTTGGATAAATTCTCGGCGGACCCTTATGCTTTGTTAACATTCATTTAATGAAGATCTGTTTTCTTTACACGGACACGTTCGTTTTGTTCTAATAAGTTTCATAAAATGTGCTAATACAAGAATTGGAATGTAAAGTGTAAAAAGTACAATATCGAAGAATTATTATTAAAATCTAGTATATCATAAAAGCGTGTTACTGTAATCTATAACGTAGTTTGTATTTGAATTTAATAACTATAGAATTAATATGTTTAGGTAATAAATTAATGAAAATATTATATGTTTTATAGACAAGCAACGCAAGAAACATGATCTTAAACATTTGTAGTATTCCCTTATGTTACTCATAATTTTATTTATTGTATTTCAGTATATGAATACTGTAAAATACAGTTCATTTTATATTTTGTGGTATCGATGTTCTTTAATACTTTCGTTTACGCACATCGACGTATTACGGCGTATATTGCTACTTAAAAGTACTAAATAAAATTAATTTTTGCATTTTGTGTTACTTCTTAATAACTTTTCAACATCCAAACACAAGGCAACGTTAACGATAAGGCATTTAGAGCATATTCTTTGTAAATAACATAACGAAAGAAGTTTCAACGGAAATACGAATTCTTTCATATTTTTTCTAACAAAATGCTAATTTCTTACAAATAATCGAGTATATATACCTTATGATGCAAATAAAAAGAGACCTAACTTGCTCTGTTCGAAAAATACATTTTTTTTTTTAGTAATTTTTGCTTTGACAACGGGTGCAGACAAAAATTATTAAATGTAGAATGTCAAACTTTGAGTAAAACAATTTTATTTAATTTTGAACATATATTTAACATCTGTCCTACTGCAACATATATGTACAAATTTAACATCAAGATACATGTATATCGACAACATCTTGCGCAAGGAGAACAATTATAATACACAGAGAGATAGGAGAATTAGAATTTACAATTCTATGATGCACAGTGTCCTTTAAAACATAGATTGTAAAAAATTAGTTTTTGATGATTATACGATACTCATTCAATGATATTACTATAATCGATCAAGGAACAAAATTAATATTACATGACCTTAAGTTCTATAAATGTATTGTGTAATTATATTATTAAGAATATCATCTTGTATATAAAAGTTAATGAAAGTTCACATTTTAAAGTGATTCAATTGATTTTAACGTTTTATATGTTAAAGAGGAGAAAGAAAATTTTCAATAAACACAATGTTCTATAAAATATGTACATCAGTCTTTGTGTTTCTGTATTCACATCCTGTCTAATAATATTACAATATTTGTTACCGTAACTATAGGTAGTTGTTCCTATTTGAAATATGCATAGTCACATGCAGAGACACATACTTCGATAAAAATGTAAAAAAATATATAAATGTTTTTTTTAACACAATATTTGATTTCAATGCATGTTTAGAAAATCTTCTACTGAATATTCCTCTAACTTGATATATTATTAATCAAGTTCTTCCAACAATTCATGAGCTTTAAGAACTTTCTTCAACTTCATGAGTCTAAAATTCATCAGTTGCACTATACTCTCATAATATAATATACATTCCCTTTGTTTAGCAATTTGTTCTTGTAATTGTGCTATTAACATATCTTTTTCATCAAATGTGTCACTATTAGGTTCACATTTTGTTGCGATTTTCTTGGAGATTAATGCATCTGATAGTTCTTTTCTATTATTTTTCTGAGTTGCACTTAAATTTTTTGTAACTTTATTATCCATGTTTAACACTCGAGCATCATAGACTATTAATAAACTAAATTTTAAATATTTTTTTAACAAATTATTAAGTACTATTCAGTTTAACAATGTGATGTAAAAGATAAACTGATTTATTATTAACTAACTTTATTTACGTTAAAATGTTTAAATAAGTCTAATATTTTAGTTTTCTTTTTCACATTTTTACGCATATATTTGACTGTGCTTGACTTTTCATTTCATTCGTGAAAAAAGAAAAAAACTTAAAAACCAATATTTCGTGAAAAAATTAAGGCACACGTTACTTGTGTTATCCAAACACACTAATAATTTGATGAAAACATGTTGTTAGTTTATGCAGAAGTGTCATACAAAGTGTTCTTCGTTCACATTCCTACAAGCTGATTCCTTCTTCGCAGAATCCTTTCAGTTCTCCGTTTCTATCTTCAATAATGATCCAACATTACTGCGTCGACTGTAACGTCGTAGAAAATAATGGGGCTATGTAAGTGAATGCACAGATAGGAAACAAGAACTGTCAGGCAATTATAAAATTATGTCGATTTATTTGCAAACTTCGATTATTAGACACTAAGTAAAACTGACACACGGAATGCATACAATGTTTAGGCACGTATAATGAATTTACTTACTTCACAATTGAAATCGTCGCGATACTTCGGGATTTTCTACGAAAAAGTAACCAAATCATTTGACTTCGGTTTAAAGAAAGGACATTCTAAATTTCGTATGATGTCTGGACGACCTCGAAACTTTATGTTTCTAAATATTAAGAATATTTTACGCTTTGAGTAAATATACTTTAAAGTTAAGCGCGGGATTAAGAATCGAAAAGTTATGCACAAAAGACACTAGTCGTGTCTAGCGACTTCAGTAACGTGATCGGCCATTTTACAGTCAGCGATTTGGTTCTATCTTTTGCCCACGAAAAAAATTAATTATAGATCACTGTTCCATATAATATCCCTGCATTTTCGATACAATCATTTAAAATTACGTTTCGCGTACATTAGCAACATTCAAATTAATATAAGTTAATATGTTTCTAAAATATTTATGTACACATAATTTATTTACAAAGATTTTGAGGTCTAATAATTAAGATATGGTTTATTTAGTATTCATTCTTTCTAATATTTTGTATGAAAACGCCTGTTCAAGTTGAAGCTTTTCCTTGTAAGAAAGTAATATATTAATAACATAATGTATAATATTGATAATACAAAGTAAGTTATCCAAATAAGTGATAAAAGACTAAATTCATTCATGTATAGTATGTTGACCTTCAGATGACTTTCATTGCTATTTTATGATACATAATTACACAACATTATATAGCATAATATATAATATTTTAACACTTTTATAATTCTATCATAGTTTCAATCTCTTGATTAATTTAGACTTTGTCAGCTCAATTCGTAATCCGCGCTCATACTTACAAAATATTAAGGCAGGTATGCAACAAGAAATTCGGAATGCGCCATCTATAGACGAAAGGCAGTAAGGATGGAAATAGGACCCGATTTTCTGATCTATGAGCTTCACGTGCTCAGAAAGTGAGCAGACATGCTTTTTCAACACCTCGGTCTTTTCCGGTTATCCCATAGCGTGCGCGAGGTAAAGAAATCATAAAGAGAAGGGATCCTTTGTGAAATCCAAAACAATCTACCGACCAAATAAACGTTACGATACTTTAATCATATTATTTTACATAGTTCGATATGTTTGTGCAAGGCTGAGTATTATTTTTGGTAAAAGTGGTAATTTTGCTCGTACTGAAATATAACCTTGTTTTTGTGATTCTGTCAACATTGCATTTTGAAGACGGAAGTTTTTCATTTTCTTATTTACGCTCGCTTTTACGTTAGTATCGACAAAAGTTTCGTAAGATGAAAAATTGTATAAATTATATTTACTACATTCTTATATAAAAGTTCCAAATTTTACAACTATTTGATGTGATATTAGGTTGTGCATAACGTATAAACATATTAAAGGTATGAGAAATCGAAAACTGATTGAAATATACGAGTGTTAATCAATTATGTATCTTGTCTACCTTTCTTCTGTGTTTAAAAAAAGTTCGAGTTTGAAAATTAGTGTCAAGTTTTCTTGTGTACATGGTGAAGCAGAATATTGAATGAAACAAGTGAAAAAGATAGTATATAAGCATATACATTAATCGTACTTACTTGCACAAATAAGACTGTGTATTAAAGATTTATTGAAATAATGCCTCCTTGTTTGGTAGTTTAAATTTGAATGTTACTGTATAATACAGCCATATTATTGAATTGCAGGATGAAGCAAATTGTAACAAATCAGACCGTGAAAATACCTGAGGGATTGACTGTCACAGTCAAGTCCCGATTGGTAACTGTCAAAGGACCAAGAGGTATTCTTAAACGTTCATTTAAGCACCTTGCACTTGATATTCGTGTAAGTAAATATTCTCACTAATAATTCACAATTATAATACTAGAAATTTATATCACAACATGATGATCTTTGGATTCCCCTTCATTTACTGTAAATGATAAATCCTTTTCTGATTAATTCAATATTAAGAATAACTTATTCTTATATTAAGTCAGTCCTTTTTTAATCAGTTATATTATCTCTGTGTAGATGATCAGTCCAAGGATATTGAAAGTGGAAAAATGGTTTGGCACAAAGAAAGAATTAGCAGCTGTTCGCACAGTTTGCTCTCACATTGAAAATATGCTGAAAGGTGTAACTAAGGGTTATCAATATAAAATGCGAGCTGTATATGCTCACTTTCCTATTAACTGTGTCACAACTGAAAGCAACACAGTCATTGAAATCCGTAACTTCTTGGGAGAGAAGTACATCCGTCGTGTAAAGATGGCACCAGGTGTCACTGTCACAAATTCGGCCAAACAAAAAGACGAACTTATAATTGAAGGAAATTCTTTGGAAGATGTCTCCCGTTCTGGTAAGTGCAGGGAATCCGAATAATCTGTTTAATTATACTTTTCCTACAAGGATTACACTGTTACAATCTGTTGTTATTTATGTTCCAGCTGCCCTTATACAGCAGTCCACAACTGTAAAGAACAAGGATATTAGAAAGTTCTTAGATGGTCTCTATGTATCTGAAAAAACTACAGTTGTACAAGAAGAATAAATGTTATTCACAATGTGAACGTAATTTTTTTTATTAATTCGTACTTTGTTATTAGCCTATAATTGCTAATAAGCATACTATTTTTTTTATTACATCTAGGAATTCCCATGAAGATAGAAATTGGGTGCCATAGTTATTTTATGAAGGATCAATAAATTAGGATAAAATAAATAGATTTATAATATATATTTGTAAATAGCATAGTAGCTTTTATTTTTCAGTAATTCGTGAATGAAACTGTATGGTTGATGAGCATATTGGATTTTACATGTATTGAAAGGAATTCACAAACGTTCATAGGAAGTGATATACGCATAATTAAAGTAATACGTATAAATGTTTATAGAACGAATAATTTCGAATAATTAATGTGATCAATTTAGCGATTTTATCGTAGAAAACGTGCATGGATTTATCGAGTATTGTTAAAAGCACGTGGGTAAACTTGATAAACACCAGGAGGCCGGGTCAATGGTCATAATGATTCATACATTGCATTATGATAGCGGTTCGTTGGATGGTAGAGATTCATTTTTTTTTATTTGGATGCATTGTTCTATTCAATGTTACGTTTAACGGTACATTTAATTCACCGGATACTCATATTACACGTATTTTCTCCTTCAATGGGTATTCTATAGAAAATCTGTAGCTTTTAATATGAAGAAATAATACTTGAACGTAATTCCCTTTGATCATAAATATAAATATTTGTACCTCGTTTTAATAATATTGTATCTATTACGTGATATATATGTATGTATTTAGATACACTGAGGTTTATTATTTTTCACGTCAGAATTAACGCTGACATAATAAAGTTATGTCATTTTTTCTTTAAAAAAACTGGTTAGCAGTTTCGTTGAACGAACATCTATTATTGTTTTTATTGCTCGTAACAAACCTGTTACGAGCATAAACTGTCTGGACTCTTTAGCGCAGTGCACAAAATACGTACTGTACGTCTGATTACTACAGCATTAAGTATGTAGAAAATGATACACTCGCGATGGCTAATACAACACGCTTAACTGCACAACAGTTGCAAATGTATATTGCAAAGAATAATAAAATTGTTTATACGATAAGTATTGAAAAATAGAGAGAGAGAGAGAGGGAAAGAAATAATTGAAATGGGTTGCCTACTGCTAGGTGCATTTCCCGCTCAATTTGACACGGTTATGATCAATATGCTGAAATTTCTATTCAAACATTCTTTTTTAAAGTTACTCACAGTAATTTCTTCATAATCACACGAAGAGCGATTCACGGAAAGACGCGAGACATTGTTGAAGCGGTAAATATTAAATTTTAATTAATTACATGCGTACACTCGCGAGCAAACTCGGCTTCCGCTAGGGAAAAAAGTGGCGTTGGAGAAGGGCCTCTTAAAATTTCGTATCGAGAATTATTGAAATTTATGCCAAATTAACATTCGATTTAATATTTATTTCAGTAATTGAAATAAATTTACCAAGTGGTAGGAGGTTTTTCTCTTACGCCCCTTTTTTCCTCTAGTGGAAGCCAACTTTGATCGTGGGTGTACGATACATCGTAAATATCTGCGATCGATTATCGTTGTCGATCGAGGTGGGTGGATAAAGTGCGTTGGCGATTCAAACGCAGAAGTAAAATCAAGGGGGAAAATGTTCGAGTGTCGAATAATGCCTGGGCACATAGATTGTGAATGGTCGCGTGAAATAGAAAAAGAGGAGAGGGGCAAAATGCTCTCCATCGGCGGTTGAGTAGTGAGGGGAATAAAGCCGCGATAGAGGGAGACAGAAAAGGGAGAATACGCGTCTTCACGAGTGCAGTGTTCGATCGGCGGTGGCCAACGGTTCGCGTTTCCTGCGTATGCAACGCGCTCTGCCGCGTCCCCATGAATTTTTCGATTGCAAACGGTGGTCGTGCACGCGACACTCTTACCCGCGCTTTCGTCGCAGTAAGCTCATGTTCGAATTTTCTTTTGTGACCGTTTAAATGCACGCGACGACGTCCTGACACCAGTCGTGTTTTCATTGTGCTAGGAACCGGTCACGCCGAAATTACACCGCTGAGGTTGACACGGAAAGCGATTCACCGTTCCTTCGACATCCTTGCGGTAAGTACCTATTATTCATCGTGTATGCTGTTCGTCGTAAACAGATTGCGGACATTTATGGAAATGTAATGATTTTCTTATCGACAGTCTACAACGGAAGTTGAAATCAAAACAAAGTGATTTTATTGTAAATTAGAAATATTAATATAACTATGTTATCCCATTTGCAGTGTAATAAAACACTTAGGTCAATAAATAACACGATGTATTGCGTAATTCCCAGTGTGTTGAAGTAGTTCATTAAAACTATGAATTTGCATAAAGATTCGCAGTTTGTTTATTCATGTTGCTATCTGTTAAGTGAAAAGTGTCGAATGCAATTGCAAGATGTCTGTTTTGATGTGTGTAACGTGATTTATGTTAAGAATGAATTTGCAGTAATCAAGTGTTTTTTTGTTTTGTTTTAACGACCATGTTTTTCTTGTATTTTCACACGACTGACATTCATCTTTTAACGATTTCCCTGTTACTTCCGTGTGTCCACAATATCGTTGCCGTATGAATAGTCATGAACAAAGACGGGAAACATAAACGCCGGAAAACGGGATTATAAGTAGTGTACTTAAATATTCTATTGTCGATTGTGACATATTTTTACATTGTGATTCAAGGAGGTAAAAAGTCTACGAAGTTTGACCGATATTTTCGTAACGAGTGCTCTCAATGCAAAAACCAGTTCAATTACGATTACGCACGCTACAGCATGCGGCGAAACTTTTTTACCGACTTTGCCCGAATAAACACAAAACTATAAACAAGTAAATTGTACGCAGTTCTTTGATACATAACGCGAAACAACTGTTTTGTTCGTCAATTTATACGAATATTATGATTACTATTATTATTGAAATTTATGGAAAAATCAAAGTTGCCGTTTGAGGGTTAAACTGTTAATATTCTTTTTGCTTTAAAGTTGCAAGGCTTGGGCTGTTCTAATGTGCTTATCCATGAGCAACATGGGACGATAACGCCAAGATTTTGAAACAGATCTGCACGATTACGCGTCAACGGTCAAAAGGGCAACGAAACGTTGACAATGTTTCGACGATTGATCAGTACAATCTCATCAACGCACCTGTTGTAGATATTCTAGTAAACTTGTTATAGATTAAGTAGACAAATTCTTCCATGAAAGATCTATAGTTTGATAATGTCATTTGTATCGATCCGTAGCCTTCGTGAATCGATGGCACATTGAACTGCCATCTTTGACGTTTTAGCTCGAAGCACTTTCGATTATTTCTGATCTTACAAGAGAAGGAAATTATTTAACTCGTTCGCCATAAAGGACGGAACATAAAACTAGTTTACAATTATTTTCTTGCAATAGACTATGGGTCATTTCACGCGAAATCGGACACTTTTTGGAGAACCATTTCAGATTTTGTTCAAATTTGGATACGTTGTAGTCTTTAGCGATATACAAACGTATCTCGAAGGATTTTTGAACATTTTACAAATTGTTGATTTTACAGGTGTTTGAAATTTAGGGTCAACCTTTTTTCAATGAATCATAACTATTGAACTAACAAACTGGTCGAAATAAGCTTTGTGGGTACTTACAGTGGAGACATAAGAGTACCAAATAAAAATCATTTCAGTTAAAAAAGAAATAGTTTTTAACCGTCTATTTTGCAATTGTTTGAAATAAATACCCTGTCTTTTACCAGAGGACTATTTAAAAATTTGAAAAAAATGAGGATCTAGCCCTATTTGCCCTCTGTATGGACATATGTTCAAAAATATGGACACTTTAAAATTGGCCGTATGCAAATTAATTAAAGTGGTTTAATGTGCGGAACAGGCTTAAATTTGTTCCGACATGTGTACATACTACTTGTTCGACTTCCTGACATCTTCCGAGAAAGATAAATAGAACCACTCATCGTCTCGAAGTTCACGGTGAAGACAATTGCATGTAGCGTTTATTGACTGGTTCGATTGAGAGTGACGAAGTGAAATTACAAAAACTTATTTTTTGAATTTAGATACAGGCGAGTTGTAATAGCAGCTACGATCTTTTTAAATGTCGTCGAATGCAAATTCTCCTTGTCGTGGCAGCGATACTCGAAGAGACTGTGGGTTAAATACGTAATAGATATGTCCGTTAGGTTACTGAGCAATTTAGAAATATATCAGAAATGACCGAACTCTTCTGAAAAAAAACAACAATTCAGCAATGATTCACCCTAAAGCGTACCGGTGGTAGCCATTGTTTGGATACTCGAGACGTATCGTATTTCACGCGGTCAGCAAAGACGAGCGACATCCAGCCAGTTTTTACGTACAGGTTATATTACGGTGACCTGTGTCTAACGGTTTTCGTTATTATTTGTATATTAAACAGTTACAAGGAGGTTCACACGACAGAGTAGAAAATTCTTTTCAAACGATCACTTCCTTTTTGTCGACGCTATAAATGTCTTAAAAATAATGTACGATACATGTTTAATGATAATCATCGACGGAGAGAGAAAGAGGCAGCCCACTTATGTAGCACACGTAAGCATAAACGTATACTCGACGAATTCAGGAACTCGATTTCCAGGAAAACGAAAAATTAGTATGATAAAATGTTTACTATACATTTTTGATTTCTACCGTGTGTGTCAATACTTCTAATATTCACGCGTGTGTAGGATATTTATTTTTAGCTTTTCCGTGACATAATTTCATTCTATACAATCGATATCCTTCGCAGAAATTGTTGCGATCGAAAACGAGATCGCACGCGTCACGTATCGACCGTAGGAATCGGTTCGAGAACGATTATCGAGATTCCAGCAATTTCGCATGAAAACGACCGATTGAACTTTGCACGTATCGTCGTCATCATGCACTCGCTGAGTGAAATACGCGTTATTAAGCAGTTCGTTATCGGGGTAGTATTTAAAGGGGATGCAATCGACGCGGATATGTATGTACTGAAACGTCCAATGGAACGTGCACGATCTTCGATCTGGTAGTTCTTTTGTAATTACGAAACGCTATCGTCGTTTGACGGTCTTCCGTACAATAGCCGAGATAAATCGTCCGCGGAATTAGATATTTACTAATCGATAGTGTGTGTCGTTTCTCTAGGGGACAGAAGTGGCCTAACAGCGATTATTTAATCGATCGTTGTGAACGATTTAATTACAGTTTCTATAAATATATGTGTGTCGGTTATCTGGAGTTGCTTATTGAACTGGCCCGTTTCTTCTCGTTATCTACTAGCTTCGCTGTTTTTCTCTCTCTCTCTCTCTTTCATCACGGATGATTACGTTTTAATCGATCGAGGAATTTCTGGCGTTAGGTGGAACGACCGGAAATATATGTATAGTTGCATCATGCATTCGACTCGGACAGTTGATCGTGGTCGTTGCTGGTGAAATGAAAAATCTGCCAATAGTACAATAATGAATTGCGTAAACTGTAATTGAAAGGGTAATAAAGATACGCAAGGAGATAATTGGTAACAATAATGGACGATATCATTAACGTTAATTACAGAGTACCTTATAAAGGCGGCATCAACTTAGTCAGCATAATGAATGCCAAGGAATGGCGTTCCGTTCTCGGAGAATGTACCGATTTTAACGAGCAACGTGCAATTGATTAAACAATGCTCGGAACATATTCACTTGTATCACTTTGTCCCGTGTAACAAAAAAAAAACGATGGTCTCTCTCGGGTATTTACTAATTATTATCCTACTCGCGCCAAAGGCAGTACATACGCGACAAGATTCCAATGATACAATCATGCAAATCGATGCAACACGAGTAGTCATTACTGTATTTTTTTTAAACTACCTTTTTGTTAATTGTCAATGTTTTCTTTTTTAGTTTGACATTTACACTAGTAAATCACTGTAATACAAAAAAAATTTGAATTTCAGTTACCCTATGTAATTTAAAGGGAATATTTGTATTCTCATATAAACATCATGGAAATACGGTATTGCGTTTAGAAATAGCGTATCATTACCGTAACTACTTTTTACGTGCTTCTTTATCTATATTTTAACTTTATGTTTATTTATTATCGTATTACTCTCAATTCGATGAATTCGCCTTAGGTATTATTATTATTATTCGCACGATATGAGCAAAATTTGGGGCCCTTAAAAGCATTGAAATCACTAATTTGAAGATTTTATTGTCAAAAACAGAAGGATACTGGCGCATAATAACACGTGTATATCGGTTACATAAGAAACCATACTCATATCTCTGTTATTAATGTACCTAACCTAATGGTGCAAACGATGTCCAACCGGTAGTCCACTTCCCAACAACGAGGCGGGCGGTCTTCCTTGATACCGAACGCAATCCTCAAGAATCTATTGTTCGGACGAATAATACATACACGTAACCGGTTCGGAAAGTAATTGGGTAGCTTTCATTTCACTTTCAACCCGTGTGTACAGTACCGATACGGGCCGCTTGGGGGGTCATTTATCGTCTCGGTGAAAGTGTGTATCCTTGCAGTCAGGGTTGCCAGGAGTAGGGCCGTTGAAGTCCAGAAATATCACGTAGTAGCAGCACTGATCTTTATATACTAACTAGTATATGTATAGAGATCAGTGATTAGCAAGGACTAGTGAAGGGGGAATGTATGCCAGAGCAATCCTCGCATGGTGTGTGCATGGGCGTAGGTAGATTATCAGTCATGAGGGGCAATTTAATTTTTTTTTCGCCGGGAAGGGGGGTGGGGCAAAATTCAATTTTTTTTCTTCTAGGGTAGGGTAAAAGCCACGTTTTTCCGTCGAAGTGGAGAGAAAATGTCCCCTACATTAAACGAATGTTTACTGTAGAATCAACACCAAACGTAGAAAAGGACAAAAGTGATTAAAGAAAGAGCGACTGAAAGTTGAGGCCACGACAAAGTTCACAGACGCCCACGTTTTTACTTCAGTGAAACTTTTACTAATGTGCCTGTGAGATTTTTCTGATTAAAATGATACCGAACACGCTATAATTTCGATCGTATTTATTTACTGATTATTTATGGTGTTG